TCTTTGTAGAAGGAGACAAGAATTTTTTTTAAATACTGGTTTGCATATTGGAGGAGTTCTCTATCCCACTTCTGATCTAAGAAAAACTGGTAAAGAACACAATTATACAGGAAAAAGGTATAATTTTTGCAATAAAAGTCAGTGATAGATAAGAGGTCTGGTCATGATGAGGTCTCGAGTCAGAATGAATGCAATTTCCATTCTGTTGGTTTGCTTGTTCTTTTCTGCCGTCTCTTGTTCAGCAGTCCTGCTTTCAAGATTGCTGGGCCAACAAAAATAAAAGTATTTTAGTTTTTCAGTTAAAAACATATTAGAGCTTTAAAAAACCTGTCTCTGTGGCCCACATTCTTTTTTTACCATTGGCAGTGCAGTGTTAAATTTAATTGACAAATTTTATCGAAAAAAATAATTTTTTTTTACAGATATTCAATCAAAAGTCTAAGTTTTTGTGAACCAACCGTGTGAACAGTTGTCCATTTTGCTAATGTCATAACGAATAATATTGTTATAGCTGAATATTTTTGTTTGTATTTCAGTGCACTCATAAATTTCATTTGTAGTGTGACATCACTAAAATTGAATTTTATCATCAGTATGGGGAAAATTCAAGTTTCAGTCATAATTATTAAAAATAATGATGAAAAATGCTTAACCTAACTATTAATATTTGTAAGTAGTTATTGAAGTTAAAATTATATTTCATTTACATAATTATAGATAAATTGGGACAGAAAGAATTTGCATTTCAGAACTACTTGTTCTTTGTTTACTTTTGAGACTTTTTTTTACACATTTTGAAAGAGATTAACAAGGCACCAATTCTTTCCCGATTTCAATTATTTTGTATGTGTTAACTAAAAGGCCAATATTTTACCAGTTTTATAGTTTAACTTAAAAATTTTAAACATTTTGTTTATTAACAAATTGTTTCTCTGTTACATTGACACTGCAGACAATTATTTTTTGTTTGTCAAAATTGAATTAATTTTGATGGGCGTGTATGTTCAACCAAATATTTTTCTATAGTAAAACTACATTTTTTCACAATATTTCATTTTCTATCTTTAAGTAATTTTCATTTTACTTCCTCTCTGATCCACTTCTTCTTTTTTTCCCTTTCTTTCTTTAAGAAAATGAAAAATAAATAAACAAACCAATCCCTTGATCTAAATCATTTACAGTTGCTGTGCCATGCATATTTTTCAACATTTCTAACAATTCTCCAGGCAAAATTAATTAAATTGAAAAATAGCTAAAATTGTGATTCATTGTCTATCCACTATTTAGAGCAACTCAGCAACAAACCTGTGCACCACGACCAGTATTTCTGGTGTTAAAAAAAAAAGTTGTATGTCAGCTTTAAATGCAGGCCTGCAGGATTCGAACCCAGGACTTTTACCTTACAGTGGTGAGTGCTCTGTCAACGCCTAAACTGCCAGCTTGTTATGAACATTGCATGTTTTGAAAATAAATGTGGAATGAATTTTAAACCTAAAAAGAAGTAAACTTGACCTACTGTTGGGAAGTGGTATTCAGTACACAGCGAATCGTTGAAATCTATCTTTATATCCCCAAATTTGCACTGCGTAACATGCCAAGTTCTATTAAAGCCTAATTTGGCTAGTTTTATTTTTTCCATCAAATGTATCGTGAAATTTGAGTCAAATGTCAATGAGACCACCCCCAAGGTCAACTTTTATATTAAAGTATGGCTCAATTACATATTTCTAAAATTTAATTTTTAATTTTATATCTTTCGTTTGGTCGTAAATTTACTGTTTTTAAATATCATAATTTTTGATTTAGCGGTATTAATTTTAAGTTTCCAGTGTCCCAATACATTTCTAACTCTTCTATCATTTTTTGAAACACCAAAAGAGAGTCTGCCAGTAAAACCACATCATAAAGGTACTTTGGTCTGTATCGTATCGCTTGTCACTTTGCTCCTGAGGACACGATAGTGTTGCGCCGATAAAAGTCGTATCGGGCGATTAAAGATCGCTTCAATTTGCACCTCTATCGCAACGCTCCAGTGGGCACTGCGAACTTCCGACGGGATTGATGATGAAAACGCAGTGGACACCTTGGGAAAACATATCCCGCACTTCTCGGGAGGTAATTTTCTCGAGTTGCAGCAAAATGAGAACAACTTATTTGAGAGGAGAAAGGTTAGATACCAAGAAAAAACCCAAAAGCTCAACGGCCAGAGAAAAACAAAAAACTGCCGAAAAGCGGACTATATCTGATCATTCATTTCATTTTTTTTAAATAACAAAATCAACCAAAGCCCGATAAACCTCAAAAGTAAGGGTTAGTAATTTTACATTGGTCTAAACTCTAGCGTATGAAAAATAGCTTTCCTTCTCGAGTTTTCTGCAGTACCGTACTGTTTTTTTTTTTTTTTTCTACTTGGTTGCATACAGTACTGATCAGTTTCTTGACCAATTATGGGTGGGTACTTTGTACAAATACTACGGTTTGAACGCAGCCTGCCAATTGTGATAGTGCTATACCGTTTCTCGGGTGAGCCAAGGCTGGCAACCGACTTGACGACTTGACGAAAGATAGATTCCATTCTCCACCATTGGGAGTTTTCAATGTTAAATTTGGCATATTTAAAGTTTTGTTCCTTAGTTGTATACCAAATGAGCGCTATTCCACTGAAAAGGTCACACGCGGAAAAGAAAACATCCTCATCATCAACATTCCTGCTGATCTTCAGTTCTTCTACCATTTCAAGAAACGCGTTTACAATCAGATCTTGTCCATCCCCAGAAAATTTCATCTTCCACTCACACACTGGTACTTGTTTCTTCTGAACGCGTTTACACTCCTGGCAAGTCTGGGAAGTACTCCCATTTGTAAAGGTTGATGGGAGAGGGGTTCGGATACTAACTGGCGATTCGTCCCCGTCATATCCCAATTGGTCTTCCTTCCTTTTCCGACCTTTCTCTTTCCCATGATGGTTTATTTATATTAACATCACTCTCTTCTTATGGCGGGCCCGACGTTGGGTGCCAAATTTGTTACAACTGCACGTACGTTGGCGGTAGCTCAGTGGTGAAGGGAGAGATAAGTAATGCTCGGAGAGAGGGGTGCAAAATTTATTTACCGTTGTTACGTTGAGCGCCACGGTATTTTTTTTAAGAAGGTTAAATACCGAAACCAGGAAAAAAAGGAATAGAGATAGAGAAAGGGAAGGAAGAGGAATGAAACTAAAAGTCATATCGGTTCCCTTGAACCGACCGACGAAGCGCTTCTTACTTATTCTTCCTGTGTCCTCGAGGAGACCACCTCTCACTCCTATCGTCTGTCTCGATGGTATGGTATGGTATGGTAGAAAAGGATACTAGGAAGCGGGGTTTGCACTCCCCGGGCACTGCAGCCTTCTGGCTTATTGTACCTTCCCAGTTCCCTAGTTTANTTGGGGTCTTCCTTTACAGGTTCCCCCGGTGTTTTGTTTTGTACTGTAGGTTTTTCCATGTAGTTCCCACGAGTGAGAGGGATCTAAAGGTCCGCACCGGAGGAGCCCTCTCTCCGGTGTAAGGCTAATTACTCAAGGGTGTCGCCTGGTGCCCTTGAGGCTCCGTTATTGGCACAGTTACCCCTGTGCCATTCATCCATCGGCACGGGTCGCATAACACCTTGGATTTGGGCTGGAGAGTGGGACCAGGATAAGGTGTGGGGTGGGAAGAGGGGTAGGTGTTGGGTTTAGGATTAGGAGGTGTCAGGTCCAGCTCCTGTCCCTCCATACCCCTCTTTCCGTTTGTTAGTTAACAGGGTACACCCGCATACGCTTCGTGAAGGTGGAAAGTCGGAGTTGGGTATTAGAGGCTATTGGAGGCGCATAGTACCCGTTCGTACCCCCGTCTGTCTCGAACTGACCGCCATCTTCTTTTTTTCCAGTCTCGAACCCGGAGCCCACTAGCCTCGAGCCCATTGCCCTCCGGGTCAGTATCTCTCAGGCCGCGAAATGCTTCCTGCTTCTCGCCTCGGTTCGACGCGTAAAGAGTAGTTCAAGAAACAGATTTTAAACATTAAATACAGTGCTCTCTGTCATTAATCAGAACTGAAAAAATTCGAGATGTCAGAATTTAAAAGGATTATTTAGGAAGCTACCGTCTTAGCAGAACTTAGGAGGCCAATGGTATTAAGGTAGAATAAATATTGGAAGTCTCAAGGTCAAATATTACTGGTCGCAGATGATTTCTTCTGAATGCTAGCAGACCTTAGAATAGGATGACCTGGTTTTTGAATAAGAGCAGGTTTGAGATTACGGAATGTTTCCGCATTATCAGGCATATGGAAAATTCTTCAGTTGGGAGTTTAAGCCATTCTGGTCTGGTGGACAGGGATTGTCTGCAATTCCCCGAGTCATGACATCAGTTATGTTGTATTCCGACCGTACGTGATTCCACATCTCTAGATTTGTTAACTTCAAAATTCGAATAATACTGTTCACCCAAAGGATTTCTAGGCTGTACACTGCCTCCACTGTGGCACCCAAATTTCTTGTTAGTCAGGACGTTTTTCTTGTTGAGTTAATCTTCCAATATTTTCACTGGAACATTTGATATTACTGGTTTTATTACTTCTCCTGTTAAAATTAGACGATTACTGCTGTTTTATTGTGACATTTCCTCAGGGAGTCCGCGAGATGATGAACCTGTAGTTTGGTCTTTTTCAATCATTTGTTTGTATATCTTGCTGTTTTGGCCTATCAGACTTGTTTCACCGTGTTCAGTGATGCTGGTCTCTGTGATTTCTGCACTTTATCGGTTCCTCGAGAACGACTTTTCATCATCAACAATGTAACGGGACTATAATATTGTAGGAACCTAAAATAACTGGATCCTCGCTTCACATGCTGCGGTTCAAGCAATTAATCACAAGTTTATTTGTTATCACATGTGCTTTAATGTATTAAAGTTATAAAATTGTAATGCCAGCTTGAAATGTTTACACAGAAAACATGGGATGTGACATTCTTAGTGATATTCATGGTAGATGTCATCGGTATTTTTTCCAAGAGTGTTCATTTAGGCGAGTATCCATATGTTGTAAACATAGAAGCGAAACGAGACCGCGCCCATTTATGCCCGGCAACTTTAATTACCCCATCCCATGCTGCCACAAGCGCCGGTTGTATCACGATCTGGAAAAACTTCACCAACGACGAGGACGACGTCTGGCACCTCAGAGACTGCAGAGATTATGCTATTCACGCTGGCAACAATCACCTTGACAAATCCAACTCGAAGAGTCAGATACAAGACGTTTCATTCTGGTGGGCACACCCGAGGTACAGGAAGTCGTCAACGGGTATAGCTAAAAACGACCTCGCACTCATCCACATGGATGATGACCTCGAAATGAACCACTTCGTCCGTACGTTATCCCTTCCTTCTTCTTTTTCAACCGAACTGTTCATTAAAAGTTTGGAGTTGTACGGCAAAAAGTGCGTCGTATTGGGATGGCTCAAAAAGGCCACCTGCGTCGACTCAACTCTCGACTCGAATTCTTTACAAATCTACCAAGTTCAAATCATCAAAGACGACGCTTGTTCAAAAAAAATCTGTGACCATTATAACATCCGTCTTTGCGATCTGGACGTAAACAAATTGGGTTTTTTTTGCGCCGATCTGCTAAACCGAACAGACTGCTTTTGCGATAGCGATACAGGAGGGCCGATTGTCTGCGACGGGAACCTTGCCGGCTTTTCAACTTGGATGCCGAAATGCAAAAATAATGACAAGTTACCGGCATTGTTCGTCAACCTGGAAGTACTTTATGAAATGGAACATCATGATTTTTATTCCGGCAAAGCGTCTATCTCAAGAGCTTCAGATCTTGCAGTATTCATTGCCCTTATAACATTACACTTTTTTGTAATTTTTTAAATTTTAAAAAGAAAATGCGTTACTCAATATTTATTCCATATCACCTGGAAGCTGCTTGAATTTATGCTATCTTTAAGTTAGTAGTTTTAGTTGCTTGGTATTTCATTCATTTTGATATGTCTGTGTTCGCTTGTTTTGGTCAGACGCGTGTAGGCTTTTCACCATCTTCAGTGATTAGTTTGTGTAGTTCATTTAATTGTAGTGTTGAGAGAGACATCTGCGTTTTTAATATATTCATTTACCCGAACCTTTGTGCCAGTATTTTTCGGGAATGACGTAACACGGGTGACTACAAAAGTGTGCTACGCTGAGAAAACCAACACAAGAGGCACGTTTTGTTTTTAATGAAAACTGCTACAAAAAATGAAGTTATATATAGAAAATCAAAAAGTTACTTTATTGGGCAAAAAGAGAACATGGAACATGACCGAGAAAGGAAGTTACTGCTAATCAAAAACACAAGTATTTTACAATTTTTATTTGGTTTTTTAGATTAAACCGTATTCCTTCAAGGCTCGTCAACAGAGTCTACCCGTGTACCAATCTACTCTGTATGGGATAAATATCGGAGGGGGATATTCCGTCGGCCTGTTCGGTGGGCAATACCAAGGCGTGCAGCAGTACGCTCCTACATCTGGGTAACAACACTCTCTTCTACCTGTGAAAGTAGGAATGTTTGAGAAATAGATACTTAAAAAGACTAGACTACAAAAACAAATTGCACTAATCTACTACTAAAAGCTAAACCCTGGGCGAAAGTTAAGTAATTCCAACTCTGACTAAAATGAAGTTTACTTCTTTTCATAAAATAAATAAGAAAATTTGAGGGGCATCGGTGGCCTTAACGGGGTTTAGGCGTTGACACGGCGCTCATCACTGTAAAGTAAAGGTCCCGGGTTCGAATCCAGCGGCCCTGCATTCGAACCCGACATACAAATGGGCTTTTTTCAAAACCACCGGCACCCCCGAGGGTAGATATAACCTCTGATGTTGCGAACCCTCGTAAAAAAAATTCCCTAGCTCTCAACAAAAAAAAAACAATTTGGACTTGATTTTTCGCTCAGTTTAGTACATATGCCTTTAAATTTTTTTGTTAAAGACAATTTTAAACCGGTAATAAAACTGAAATTTGTATACCTCCTCCTCCTCCATTACCGCAGCCTCCTCTCTGCGCTGGCGATCCACCGTGTCCGTTTCCATTTCCATATCCATTTCCATTTCCGTACCCATGGCCGTTTCCATTCCCGTTTCCGTTCCCGTTCCCTATGCTGTTGATGCTACCACGCCCCATTTTTGCAATCAAATTCTCTTCTTGCAAAAAAACTCGGCAATGTGCAACTAGCTCTTGAAAACGGTCGTGCTTGCTTGACACGTTTAGTGCATTTGAATTGAAGCTGTCATGTGTTCTATTTGAGAATTTGATCAGCTGAAACAGTAATTTAAAAAAATTAATAAATCACGTTAATGGTTTTTTAATAAACGATCCATGGAACCATAAAAAAGCAAATTTCTTTGTAGGAGAACAAAAAGGAAAATATGACGGTGTTAAAGTTAATAATACATTTGTAAATAATTAGTGATAATTTACATTATTTTTGTTCCCTTTTTGATATACATGCTGGTGTATTTTTGAACGCACCACCTCCTTAAATTGGCTCTCTTGCAAATCAAACGTTCTTGGTAAACACAAAAAGATTTTATTTCCAATTTTCCAACTTGGTGTTAATAAATGAATTACGTAAACAAATATATTTTGTACTTCAATAAATAAACAAGGCCATGAAATCCACTGATAAGAAATAACAATTACTACTTTTACGAATTAGATTTTTTTTTGTGTAAAGTTCAGTGATCTTGAAGCCAAATGCAATGTACAAATTCAATTATTTTTATTATATACTATCTTTTAATATGTACAAAGAAATTTTCTTAATTTATTTTATCTTATTTATTTACACCAGAGTCCAATGGTTTTTTTTCTTAGGAGAGTCGAAAAATGCATCACCCTGTATAATAGGAAGCAAAGCTGTTTATAGTAAAATAGGTTTGGCTAATTTTCTGCTAAAACTGGTTATTTTCGATATAAGCTCAATGTTTTTGCTTGAATTGATAATATTTTAAATTTAATAATAATAATAATACATACTAATTAGGACGATTATTATCATCATCCTGATGACGAGGAAAGGACCAAGCATGAAATTAAATATCTATGTTGTTCAAGCCAAAGTCCAATTAAGTCTTCCATTGGATACGTTCTAGACCGAACAAAACTTCAACGGACAATTATATACACTGAAAGGCACATTACAAATGGATAACCCGACTTCGGCCATACTCGCAGAAATATTTTTTACAGTACTTTGAAGAGAGATGCTTCTCCAGAAATTAGGGGGAAAAGTTTTTTTACAGAACTTTCTCACAGTGCACAACAAGGCTTGTAATGCTTTATCGCTTACTTCCTGGCTTAAGAGATTTCTTGCTCTTTCAACAAGGGATTAGCAATTTAGATTCATCACGTGTAAGGATTTAGAAAATAGTTTTTCTTCTAAGATGATTCCCACCTTCGAGGATTTAATAAATTGTATCACTGAAGGAACCCGTTTCTCAATTTTACAAAGTTGATGAGAAGTGGACCCCTTTCAATAATGCTACACTCGAAGGACCGTTTGTAAGAAGGATAAAATGCCGCCGTCGTCCTCAAGAGCAGTGTTGTTGTTAGGTCTATTGTCTGTTTGGGATATTCGAGGAATAATTTATTAGGAACTGTAACCATGTAATCCTTTACAGCAGAGGTAGACTGTGCGCAGCTAGAGCTCCTTGGGTCAGCGTCGAAGGAAGAACGTAAATTGTGTTTCACCATGACAATGCCAGGCTTCAGCTACATTCACTTAGTAAAAGGCCAAGTTAGGCTGGCAACAAATGCCCCATGCCTTGAGACCTTGCCCCTTCGGATTTTCACTTGAATATATTTATATTTTGAAAGTTTGAAAGCGAAAAAACTTCTGCATTCGCACAATAGGTGTCATCAAGTTGCAACAAAAACACAAGGGGTAGTCACATGAACTCTTCAATCACGGATATCTCCTCGGAAAATTATTAGCGGTTACCCCTTAACTCAGCTGGTGGGGGAACGAACGCCATAAAAGAAAAGCGATCTGGTCTTATTTTACAAATCTTCGGAGTCGCTATCTTTGGTCAATTAACGTGCTATATATCTCCTTGGACCAATAAACTCGTTAAATCATCTCTAAACCGGTCCGGAATCCATTAGTAGAAGACTCTCCTCCGCCGCGTCACAATTCTATCGTCGATGTTTTATGTTGAACCGTGTGTAATTTGGGTTATCCATGTAATTACAATAAAATGTTGGTATGTTCCAAACGGAACGTGACTTGAAAACGTACCGTCTCCTGCTACGAGTATTCTAAAAGTTTTAGAAATGGGGCCATTCAGGAGGCTGACATTCCCGGTGCTTCACGGATGTGGCTTGAGAGGAATTAGCCACGCTATTTGAACTTCATGATTCGTTCAGCTAGTGCGGTCTAAGGGTTGATTGGATTTACCACTTCCATCCAGTGCGGGACCTCTTCTATTTTGAAGGGAAAGATAGCTTATCCACCCTACGAGGGGGTTGTTTGCTGGGTTCGCCACTACCAGTAGTTTCGACCATTCGATCTATTGATTGTACGTAGTTAGGTCGAGGATAATAATATTTTTTGTAATTGATGTGATGGGATTGGGAAAAGTGGCAAAAATAATAAGTTAATTTCAAAAGAATAACTTGAAATAAATTGGAATAACTGTTGATATGTGCAAATATCTTTAACTACTTTATTTTTTTCATCATTATTGACCTTGGTATAGTTCTGTCATGTTTTCTTTTCCTATAAGCTATTCTTTAGAGTTAAAATGGTTATTAATTTACCTGAGTCTGTAAACTAACGATCATATAACCACAAATTACATTTTTCACCAACATCCACTGTAGCATCCAGGGTATTGAACACTGTAGCATGGATAACAAGGTGGCGGATAGTAGCATGGAGGGCAGTAGTAATTGCAAGGCTTTGGGCAAGGCGGTGGGCAAGCACAACAATCAATTTTGCAAGCTTCTAAACGTAGAATTTAACAGTGTTACAATCATGCTAAATCTTGTTCGTAAGGTATCGTAATTACCTCGGGGGTCTCCTAAACATGGCGTCACGTCCAGTTTGTCGAGGATGCATTTGATTTGGTTGAGGTAATTCATCCGTCTTTCGCCTGTGGCGTGGCAGATGACCTCGTTGTGCTGCATCTCGATACTTTAGGATTACGATTGCTTGCGCTTACACGAACCTTGAGAAGGCCAATTTAGAACATAAACATTTTTGTTGTAATTTCTATGTCGAAAGACATATGTAGGAGGAATAATTGGAACAACTGTTATCTCACATTTTTTATTTGTTAATATTTTTTTTCAACAGCATTATAACCAGAGCCATTTCCATATTTTATTGTTAACGTCATCGTTACCCCTGTGATAAAATTACATTTAACCAGCTCACTTACGTTTGTAACTGAAACTCTCCAAATACCGTTCATCCTAGGTCTACCGTCCAATCCACTTGCCATCTACACTGCTGGCATACCACACATCCAAACACACAATTCCTAACCTATGAGGGCGATACAGCAATCCTATCTACACACTCCAATCCTATCCCAACCACAGAAGCAATCCGAACAACATGTTAATTGCTGATTGGTGCACTCGATGGCGGATCAGCTTGAGCGAGCAAAAACGCTAAGTAAGATTTACTCTCAAACTTCAGGCCTGCCCACCAATGCATCATAAAAAGGTGATAAATACCTCCATCCAACTAAACAAAAAATATGGACCACTCAGACACCTACTGGAACCAAAATCAACTGTAACCTCTTACAATACACTCATCAGATCGAAGAACTTATGGAGTCGAATATTGGGGCTCGGCCATATCCTTCATTCACTACTCAATTTCCATGCTAAACTATTTCCTCTTCAACGCCTCATCCTTATAATCCTTCATGCCGTATAAAATGACCATGTCCTCCGATTTTAACCCTCTTAACTAGATAAAAGAGTTCCAGCACTGGTCTGACAGTTAATAAATAAGAAGTCCATTACAGCTGTGTATGCCTCCCCAGATCCGGATCTAATAATGTTTGTCAGCATCCTTCTGCGTTCCTGATTGTATCGGGAGGCACTCCATGATGATATGTTGCAATTTCCTCACTCCCACAAACGCTTTTCATTCTGCTCTGTTTTTATCTTCTTTAGATTAGGTATGCATTACACAGGCCGTGGGCGGATCGTAGTCTGTTCATTATTCTGAACATCGATTTAGTTAAATCCATATTTATAAACCGTGGTAGTTGTGATACTTAGAAACATTCGTAGAATATTCTTCTCTTTTGTAAAATAGTCACTTTCCAGCCTGTCTTTATTGTAGCCACGCTTCTACTTCTTTGTTTGACCAAAGGTAAATGCATGATGAGAATATTTTGTGTCCTCGCTGGGCTTCGAGCTACTCGCTTACACCTCAGGTCCCATATGGCTGCTTCCTACGCCAACGAATTAGCTATTTCATTACCCCTAAAAAAGCACAAATCCTGGATCCGAATCACAGCCGATCGACGTATCGTATCTTCCTTTATCCATCTATGGTTACCCCACGTACATTAACCGGAATATTGTAAGAATTGGAAAAAAGGACGCAAGTTTTCAAGGAAAAAGTATATTGATACGATCAACTTCAGATTTAGCTGAAAGCCGCTCTCGGTGAAGGCTCAAGTCAGAATGGATGCAATCCTCGTTTCCTCAGCTCACTTGTTCTCTATGCTATTTTTTCAGTCATCCAGCTGATCTGCCGCCAAGATCGATTCCAACAGGATGGAGTGTTTCTGATTCTAAGGAAGCTAATTCTTTACCACACTCAATGTTCTCTAATTGGGGTTTGAAACTAAAGAGATTCTAAAGAAGCTAATTCTTTAACACAATAGATGTTCTCTAATTAGGGTTTAAAACCAAAGAGATAAAACTAACACAAAATTTACAATTTACTTTTTCTTTTTTAAATTAAACTTTGAGGCTCGGTCTTATGCATGTACTGATTGCGACTTGTAGCAGTTAAGTTGAACTATTTTTATATCTGTGTTTTGAGGTGTTGAACATTGATTAATTTCTTGACATTTTCTTTTTGCTCACCTATCCCCATGTCCTCAGTTTGTGTGCAGTGTTGTATTATTTCACAGTTCTTTTGTGTGTTCTGAATTGAATCTGGTGATGTGCCATGGTCGGTCGTGAACCTAGCTCTGGCAATGGCTCTCACGTGCGCTTCGCACATTTGGGATCCAGCGTGAAGATCTTTGACCTTTATTTTCCTTCGTACCTTTTCGCTTATCATGTTATCCTGCTCATATACCGAGTATTTTTTGTCGTTGGGTTTGTAGATCAATTAGGTCGGGTTTTTTGCTGTTGTACTAAGTTTTTTTTTATCTTCGGGCCGTTTCTTTTTTAATTTGTATGATGTTTTTGTGGATTTATGGTTTGTGTTTGTATAAGTTTTTTAGTATTGAATGTGTTATATTTTTATGAGTTGTCAAATCATCACTTGTTTGTATTGTCGTTGGTTCGTGGTTGTTTTCTATTAGATGTGTCGCATAATTCGCGTTGAATCTTGGCTATCTGTTTTACTATTTATATTTTTTATCGAATTAAAGACCAGAGATGCCTGATTTCTATTTTTTCAAGAGGTGTTTTTAATGTTAGAGGTGTTTCCCTTAAAAACTGTTTAGGTCAAGTCTTGAAGAAAAAGCAAATTCAGCTGTTACTGCTAAGCTTTCGACCTATTTTAAAGTCATCATCAGGGCAAAACAATCTTAAATATGTCTACAAATTGACATATTTTAAGAATTTTACGTACGATTTCAAATTTCCTTGAAGACCGAATTAGCCCTACATTTCCACCTTGTTAGTGAGTGGGTGTGTTGTGTGTGTAATCGTGTCAGCGGATTCCAAGTTATTCTCTTATATAATGTAAGTCCTAAACAGGTAACTTTATCAGTTTTTGTTGTTTTTTATTCATAAGAAAAACGAGGAGCTGGTGGTTCGTTCAGGTTTGTCTTGAACACCTTTCAATGCTTATACCAAAAAAACTGATTCCTTCCTGTTTACACAAGGTCTATTGATTTCTGCCTGTGATTTTATACCAAACAGAAATATTATGCCAGCCGTCACGATTTTCCGTGCTACTTGTTGTTGCCCGAGTGGTATAAATAATTCAAAAATTTGACTGAATTATCATTGTGATAATTCGAACTAGCGTTTAAAAAAATTATGCTCAGTACTTTAATCGTAAGTAGTTTTTGTGATTTTTTTTCATTAATTTATTATGTAACGAATATTCTTAGTTGGTAGTCGCTTTTTGCGTTTTTGGAGCCGACTGTGCTCCTTTCCTTGGATTATCCTTCCTCGATCTTCCTGGCGTTAATGTCTCTCCATCTGTTGGACTCAGCGACGTTCTCTCCCCCAACGTCTTCAGCAACCGAGTATTGTCTCCCAGTTCAACATTCGCCGGAACTTATACAGACTTCTAACGAAAATACTTTTTTCTTCAAAAATGAACCAAAATGTAAATTAATTATACTTAAAATGCTAGCGATATAAATTAATCTTGGAAAAAATTGATTTTGTATGCTTTTATGTTCCTTTTCACACACTAATTTTCCAGGATTTTTACAGTTTTAGTATATATTTTACTTTTGGTGAGTGAAGTAGGATTAACGTTAAGTTGAGAGGAAGCTGCAAGTTGAGTTTTTTCGTTCTTGAATAATCATCAATCGTCCTTTTTAAAGTAGTTCTTCTGGAATGATCAACATTTCATCCTCCAGCATAATTTCGATTCCTTGGCCATGTTCAGCATTTGCTTTTTCTATGTTCTCCATCGATCACCTACGTTATGTTTTATTACAGTGTCCGTATATGGACATTGTAACACGGCAATTACTTAAAATTTGAGTTTTATCCCGCAAAACCTAACACAGTCAATGATTGCAACTGAGGGGGAACATGCATCGAAAGCTTTATAAAAACTTCCCAACTTAGTTAATTTCAACAGGTAAAGGTTCTCAGTCTAATTGGTTTTCCCATAAGTGCTGAGAATGCAGTTGGCCGACAATATAACAGGTGCCAAATACCCGAGAGGATCGTACAGGTGGGCAATAGTGGATAAAATCCCTCGTTTGGTAATGTGGTTTCTCTACAAATTTATGATAATCCGTACCATAGCATATCTAATACCTTTACTATAGAATCGTCAAAAAGTGGCACTGACTGGTATTGAGTTTCGTCAGAGATATTAACCAAGGGTTCATCGCAATGGCTATTCCACTTTTCAAGTTCAAAACCGCCTCGACGCATAAGTTTTATGAGTTCCCTCTGCAACTGTCGGGCTACATCAAGAGTATCAGCGCCAGTCAGAACGTCATCAACGTACATGCCTACTTTAATCGTAATGACAGCATTGGGAAACTTCGCGCCTACATCCACGGTCTAAATAGGGTGAAGATGACAACCCAAAGTGTAATCGTTTCCATTCGTACTCAGATATAGCCTGCGTACTCAGCACCTCACAAAAAATGCAAATAGGCGTAGTGAGGGGGGATAGTAAAATTTGCACATACATTTGGACAATGTGTGCCACAAATGCAAATTGAAAACGTCGGAAATTGAGTAGGCCGATTTGATGTCCCGTTGGAGGTCTGAACCAGTGAGGGAGAAGTTTGTCATTTGATGGCCGTTGGGAAGTGGAAAAAGTTTCATCAAATACTATACGCAATTTGGTAGAGGTGCTTTCTTTAGTTATTCCAAGTTAAGGAAGAAATGTCTGCCAGACCCGAGTGGCAATCTTGAGATTTTCTTTGTCCATATCTCTTACGACTATCGTAATCCTGTTTTCGACTAGGGGACTTTTGAAAGCTGCATTCCAGTCTTTGAAATCTTCATATAGCTCCTTCTCTGGAATCACCTAACGTCACGGGTTCGATTTTGAAGAGAAGGGATACAATATATCGCCCAGGCCTACCTCTGGCGTGCATCTCCAGGAAATGCTCGAAGAGAGCTGTTTACCCTCAGCCATGCCTACCCTGGTCAAATCGAAAGATCCGTTTCGAGTGCAATCCATGTTCAACGGTACAAGTACTATATACAACCATCAGATTGGATTTTTTTTTTTTTTTTGGGCGGGGGGGTTTACACTGGCATATTACCCATGAAGTTTTTTATTTTCATTTTACTGTCGAGCGGGATCGGCCGACCACGACCAGGTCCCCGCCGCGCGCCCGCACCAACTCACTCAGCTGCATCATCTTCTCATCTTCTAAATTTTCATGGTTGAAGATAATCAAAAAAGAAACGTTTATCGACTTTAGAAATCCGTAGGTTATATTGAATGCTGATGGATTGTTGCTTATTAGAACAGATTCTAAGTTTATTGGTTTGGAAACGTTTGGGACTTTGCTCAGATTTTTTAGCAGTTTATCTCTTGGATTGGATTTCAAAATGTGATTGTGCTGTTGTCGAGAGTTTGCTAGTAGCAGTGGGCCAATATGTAGGATCAGGGGGAAATATGTAGTTGACGGGCGGAGAGGACACTGTGTAAGACACGACCTTGTGGATTAGCTACCCTGCAGCCCCACTGAGGGTGCTTTGCATTGTAATCACCACCGGACAGGACACGCGGGCCAATGTACTGGAAAAAGATAGAAACTGTTGGTGCGAAATGCCATGATTTGGTGGGCAGTATACAGCTGCTATAGTAAAGTTGAAGGGTGAGGAGAACAATTTAATGGCTGTGCATTGTAAAGATACAGATGATTGACTAGGAATTAGATAATGGTTTAAGGTGTTGCGAATTAAGATAGAGGTACCTCCACAAGCAATACCCATGGGATGGTAAGTCCTGAAATTTCGAATGTAAACATTAGATCGTGATATAAAGTGTGTCTCCATAACTAGTACTACGTCTTTTCTTTTTTCTTGTAGAAGTATTTCCAGTTCGTTGAAGCGGGAGTTCAAGCCGTTTGCATTCCATAGGTGGGCAATCCCATAGGATTCCATAGCAGCCAGTGAGTTTTATTGTACGCGGTCCCATCGTGGGTGCGAGGATTACGAGCAGCAAACTGGACAACACTCCTAAGTGCGCAGAGGTCGGCTTTATTGGCTATAACGCAAACTACCGGACTACCTCAACTGGTGGGAAGGCCACCGCTTGACCTACAGGCAAAGGCTTTGGCCGCCGCCTGGAAACTGGCAAATGGGTATCAGCCATGTATCCCAGTGACGAACGAACAAAACACGATTGATGGCAGCGACGATGGGATACGTCGGTAAAAGGTAGTATACCCATAGCACCCTTCCGAGCGTTGAGAGGCGAATAGAAGCAAAGTACCTTATAGACCACTACACGTCCCTACTCCTAACGGGGCATGGAGACCTCGATATAGCTGCATAAGTTCGGTTTAAAACCCAGCCCACTATATCACTGTGGAAGTGAAGAGTCTGTTGAACACGTAGCCTTCTCGTGTGATATGTATATTATCTCACACGAGATGGCTATATGAAACAAGCATAGCTAACTTAGATTCGCTAGGGAGCTTGATTACTAGCCCAGCTGGCTACAAAGTCTCTCAAAAATTTTGGAAGGCTGATATGAAACAAAAAGGCTGGCCTGTCTAAAGTAGCTCTGTCATAAGCTCTGAAAGGCTATAGCTTAACAAGAACGAAAGAGAGGTAGCTTTAAACCTAGTGTGGCGTCTCTGATTAAGAGAAAGAAGGAAAGAAACATAAAGCCTATTCCTCCTCCTCCTAAAATTTCGAGTGAGCGATGCCATCCTGGACACATATTGTGTTCCATACTGTGACTAAGAGCTCGCCTAAGGAGGAAGGAGATGCGACCGTCTAATTGACAACAGAAACAACACAGCTTCCGTCTATAAACCAAAAAGCTTTATAGGAATGCAAGCCAAGAAGCTGCAAAGAGCCAAATGGCTTAGGTGCGGGAAAAAACAAAGGCACAGACGGTTCGACGAGCACGATCAGATCTTACTTGCTGTGGTGGTCTGACTGGTGTCTTGATTCGGAGGAATTCTGTCTTAGCCGGTAAATTTTTGTGTGTGATGCATCGTCTGTAGTTGCCTGGATGATTACCATTACAAAGCGAACAAACAGCTGGCGTTTTCTTTTGATTTGGTACAATTTTTGCTCCAATGATACCCTGCGCATTTCACACACCGAGGTGCATAGTTGCAATATGATCTGGTGTGTCCGTAACTTTGACAGCGCTTACACTCCGAAATTTGCTTATTTTTGAACGGTTCTTCTACGAGTTTGCGACAATCGAAGAGATGGGTCATCATAAATATATCTTGATTATTTGGTGAAGGTTCGAGGTCCAAAAAGAAAAGCGGCTGTTTGATTTTTGCTGCATTTTGGATGTTGGTAACATTTCGGGCTTTGAAGCCAGATTTTTCTATTTCATCTGGCGGGATGGGGGATGTAGGTTTCTTAATACAACTCTAAATGCACGTTCCTCTTAATTATGTGAAAGTCGCAATTTTGAGCTTTAAATATGTGTATTAGTTTCTTATAATCGTCGAAACTTTTCACGCGAACAATAGTGCAGTCAGTTCTTGCCTGACACTGGAAATTATTTTCTCCGAGAACTTCTTTTATACTTTTATAAAATACGGTAAAGTTAACTTCAAACGAAGATAGGGGGAAGCTGTTTGGAGGTGTTATTTGTGAGTTTGCATTCATATTTGGTGTTATTTGTTTTGGTTGGTCTTGTACTTCGTCGTCGCCATCTACATCCAGAAATCCAAATTTATTTGGTGATATAAAATTATGAGCATGTGTTGTAGATAGTAAATGGTTGGAGGATGAGGTAGAATCTATTCTTTTAACATTTGCCAGGTCACTATTAACAATGATCTATTTGGCTATTTGCCTCCATTTTTTAATTTTCCCGGCTCGCAGAACGTGATCTAATTTCGGATTGGTCTATTATTTCTTCAAGATGATCACCAAGCTTTAATTTTTTAGAGGAGGCAGGAAGATTCTTCGTAGTTCCAGGTCTTTTGCTTGGAGACATTTGTTCTCCAGGGGAAACACTTCCTGGGTTTTTAATCCTGCGACTAATTGTTTTCAGCAATTTTCAGTCTGTAGTAGGAGCCGGCAACAACCGACATTGGCCAAGCAACGTCAATAAAAACTTACAAACTGCTTGAGAAGCCCAATTTAAAATGGGTTATTGCCAGCCGGACGTCAATAGGAATATACACACTTTCTAGAGTTAGTGTCTTTTTTGTGTATTTTGCTCTCTCCTCTGATCTCGTTAACACGTCTCTCTCTCTCTCTCTCCCTCCTCTCTCTCTCTCTATCTCTCTCTCTCTCTTTATTTATTTCTATATTTATCTACTTACACATCAGTGTATCTCATACTCTCTTCCTCTTTATGTATAAAAAATAGTGCAAGGAGGACATTATTTCAGCAAATATATAGATTAAGGAAAAACAATAATTCCGTTAAACCAATAACAATAACATGCCAGGTTGCGCTAACAGATTGAAATTGTTTTGTCTTGAACAACAGTTAATGCATAATGTACAAAACATTATAAAGGAAAAATAACAACTTTTTCCTCCTGTTTATGCAAGAACACTTTACCAATTTTTACCTGGGATTTATTCCAAACAGAAATATTTTGACGTCCGTCACGATCCCCCGTGCAACTTTTCTCCTGCCTAAGGGGTATAAATATTTCAGAGTTGTGACTGAGTAGTCAGAATCTTGCCGAACCAGTATTCAAAAAATGACGTTCAATGCTTTATTCGTAAGTAGTTTTTTTTTAGATAATTTTTTAATTAATTTTATGTAATATTTATTCCTAGTTGGTGGTCGTTTTGTGCATTGTGGGAGGCAACTGTGCTCCTTTCCTCGGATTGTCACTCCTAGATCTTCCAGGCCCTGGACAGGGTGGACTCAACGCTGCTCCATCACTTGGAGTCAACGACGTTCTCTCCCCCAACCTCCTCAGCAATTCATTGTTTTCTCCTAGTTCAGCATTCACCGGAACTTTAACCAACTTTTGAATCACTCATTTTTAATCAAAAATATCTAAAATAAACAAACTGCACATAAAATGTTTTCAAATATAAAGTTTAAAATATAAGTTAAAAAGATTTTGTATATTCTTATTTTCCTTTTCACCCTCGTTTTCTATGATTTTAGTTGTGTTTTTTTTATATCTAGACACTAAATTTTTTAGTGAACTGCAATTAATCAACACACTATTTTTGCCATACTCTGTTTTGGTAAACACTACATCTTTGACTATTGAACACACATTAACGATTTAAAAACAAACATTTACAAGAGTTTGTTCACTTAGAAACACGGGTGTCTTCCAAGCTGAAATTCACGCAATCGAAAGATGTACCCAACTCAACCTGAATAAAGGGTACAAAAACAAGAATAATCATGTCAGATAACCAAGCAGCCATCAAAGCACTAACCTCAAATGTCATTCATTAGTTCAAGGGTGGTGCTGAACTGCAAAACCAAATGAAACATATTACTTACGCGGAACAAAGTCAGCTTCTTACCCCCAAATACATTCACTCATACAAGACACAGAAGCATATAACTTAACTTCTATACACAATAAAAAATCCCCAATTCCCTTAAAAAGCGAAATAGGGGACCCTGAAACTCGCTGCTGGTCCGAGTACCCTTTTTAAATCTGGTGGCATGCCTACTCGAATCAAAATTAAAAAACGTTTAAAATTTAATAAAGTTTTTTATTTCTTCTTATTATTTATCTTTCCACCTTACCAATCCGTTAACCACGGTTTTTAAATGTGAAACTGTCATAAAAATATTGAATCTACCGTAGAAATGTTTAGTGGCTGTTAGTTAATGATTATTTAGATATCATGAGATGCCGTCTGGTATGATGTAGGTTTAAATAAACCGTGGCCATTTTATTTGTCGCCGAGAATCAAATTGATTACAGACATTTGAAAAATGGCAAAAAGGAGGGAAAATTCAAAAGGTGTGGTGAGATGGGAGGCTGGTGTCCGAGTGGATCGAGGTCATCATAGCTCAAGTGGTAGAGCAGCGGCGTATCAAGCCAAAGATCGTGGGTTCGAATCCCGGTAGTGCCATTGACTTTTCTCAACTGAAAATCTTAATTAATTGTAAGATATTAATTGGTCAAGCGGACCACGAAACTAGTGAGTTTAGATAAACATTTTCTTTATCGAGCCAATGTTTCGATCTTTGTTGAGATCATCTTCAGAGCTCAAAGTGTGTTTTCTGTTTAAATGTATCATTGTTGTGTGTCGTGTTGAGAGTGAATCTACACTGGATCCATTATCCACACATGTACCTGTTCATATAATAAAACGATTTTTTCGAAGTCCTGATGAAGGCGATATATTCTGCCGAAAGCGCGACAAGAAAATAAATGTTTCTGTCTTCCTGGCCTCATCCCCAATCTACCTTTTGGAAAAAAAAATATTGCTTGCTGAGAAGGCTGATGAATCACCAATGAAAATATGAATACACTGTACACACTCAACACGTCACATCTACACGGATAACACGCACTTTGAGCCCTGAAGATAATCACAGTAAAGGTCGAAACGTTGGCACGATAAAGAAAATGTTTTTTAAAATCTACATCACCCCACAGCATCTCACGATCTCGAACCTTTTTCTTTTGCTCCATTGATGACATGTAATTTTTGGACCTTTCTGATCAGAAACCAGATCCCACACATTAATCGTCGTGGTCGATTTCTTCTCCATCATTTTGTAATTTTGTTTGATATCTGGAAATACGCTTTGAACCAATTCTTCTTGTAAGTGATATTGTAAAAATCGTTTGGGAATTTAAGGCAGACATTGTTTCTTCAATGGTAATTTCTCCATGTCAAATATCTAATAATTGTATCGCAAAATGTTCTGCAGAAGGATCGTTTTGTGATTTAACACAGATGAATGTCTTAACGCAATGATCTTAACAATGTCTCCGAAAATGTGATGGTTTTAAAAACGAATTTGGTTCATCGTATGGTGTTCAAAACGAGGAATAACAGCTAATGTCTGTAGAAAATTACATGCAAATATTAATAATAAACATTACCGAATGGCGGTTCGTTTCCCTGTAAATCTTCCATTGTTTGATCCAATCCAATCCTACGAGTTTTCATGCGCCATTGTGCATTACCGGAATATTTTTCTCCTTCCTGGTGTTTTTGAAATGTTGTAAGTTGGTGTTTCTCTGTTGGTTCAATGGCAATTTAAGAACTGAATGTGCTGTAAGACAACCATTCAAAAGAGTCACCGCAATTGCAGATGATGAGGTTGCCGATGTGATTGGTGCCTCCAAATCGGATTGGAAAGACGCGGGAGACCTGTAATTATGCCGAAAGCTAGTTGTCAGGTACATAATTCAACAAATAACATACCTGAACAAACGGCTGGCCATGCGAAAAATTTGAAGAAAAAACAAAACCGGATGTTTTCAGTCCTTTTGTAATCATCTACTGCGAGCGGATTCAGATATGTAAATTTCATTTTTAAGGCGCGACCCCACCGTTGACACCACTTTTTCTGCTTGCAACATGCGTTTTCCAGTTCAATATGACTCTTGAACAACAATCAAAGGAAAAAGTGCGGTGCATTTTTTGCACATTCATCTCTACTCAACTCCTGGCCTATTTCTTCATGGGGATGCCCTTTCAGTTTTAATCTGACAGACACATTTACTGCTAGGAACCAATGCTGAAGATTGCAAGAAGCCATAAGAGCAAGGGTAGTAAGGCCATAACGCTTAGAGAAAAACCAAATGATTTAAAATAAGCCAGCAGTTTTATAATTATGTTGCCAATGCGGCCTACATTTTTATCTAATAATTTATATGTATTTGTATTTTGGTCGTTTCCAATTATCTTGGTCTATCCTTACAGTTTTGATATCACAAGGTGAGGCTACAAACGTGGGATCACTGATTTTAATGAAACTTTTGATGATCCTACTTTGTAAAAGTATTAACCATGCACAATAAAGACAGAAGACCATATGCATACAAAAATTATGCACATAACATAAAATAATATTTTTTAATCAGTTCCTAGGGCCAATTGGCAACACTCAGATATTTGTCGAATATATTTTGACCGTCTTACCAAAAGGTACCACCCAACCTTCTAGATCACCAATTTTGTTTTTGCTCTCAACACTCCATAGCCCATATCACAGTGCAATTTATAAGGGGCGCCCAAAGCCCTTCCACAAGCCACTAAAAGGAGGAGGAAGCAGACTTTGACTGGAAGAAGCCTGTTGGGCTTGCGCTGGACTAGAGGCGACACGTTTGATTTTTCTGGCGAAAAAGCAGCAAAGATCAACCTATTTTCATCTAGCGAGAATCAACGCGTTTTTCCATTTTAATTTGTTTTTCGTTGGAAAAGGATTTTTTTATCTTATAGTTTACAACAAAGAGTCAATTTTTCATTTGTTTAATCAACACAAAGTCTGTCTTGCAGTTTGTTTATTTTATTTTATTAATAATAATAATTAGTCAAGTAAGAATTGTTTCTGTATTTTAATATAAAAAAATAATAATCCAGTCAGTTTCCTTTACAAAATTGTCAAATTGTTAATTCCAAACTGAGACCTTAATTTCAAGTTTTGTTAATATTTCAACTTAAGAATTGTTTCCATTTTTTAACTTAAAAAAAAAATAATAGTAGTAGTAATATTTAGTCAATATAAGAATTGTTTCTGTTTTTTAATTTAAAAGAAGATAATAATAATCAGTCAGTTTCCTTTAAAAAATTGTCAAATTGTTAATTCCAAACCGACGACCTTAATTTCAAATTTTGTTAATTTCTCAATATAAGAATTGTTTCTTTTTTAATATTCTTTTGTTTATTATTCATTCATTTATCTAAACAAGGAAACGATCCACTCCCTCGGGGAAGGACCAAACGCAATACCCAGGAGGTGCTTTGCATTGCAGACCAAATATTCTATGAGGACCTTGTGAGGTATCCCTGCTAAATTTCAAGGAAAGACCTCAGTTGGGAAGAAAGGTCCCCAAAGTTTCGGTGGTTCCTTCCCCCAGAAATAAGCTAGATTTTAAGGGGATAAAAATCTCAACTCTTAACCTTTAAAACCAATAAAACTTTGAAGTATCATTTAAAAAATTAAAACCAATCGAAATATAACCATGTAAGTTAAAAAAAAAATGTACGTTTTCAATTATTTACAAAGATTAATATATGCAACTCCTTCCAACAAAGTTACATAAAAGTTCTCCCTGGACAGAAAAAACCAAACTCATTTAATAATCAACATTAAATTAGTTAATTAATTTTGACTCATTGGTCTGGTTATACTCTCTTGGAAGTAACATGCACACCTGAGGAACCGAACCAATCATCAGTGGAAGAGGGCAGCTGCATCCCCCGCAAAATCCAGTGAGCACAGGCAGGTGCGTCAAAATCCGTCCAAATACCTTATACCCAATTCTTTGCTCCTTCCTTACAGTATGATTCTTCAGAGTTCACCAAGGGTCGGAATAAGCCTACTGCTGTCCTGTGGGAGCAGTGTCATAGGGCAGTTTGTTGGGGCCAATTATAACCAAATGGAGCAAACTTTAAAAGATAAAGATTGACAAAAACAAATGCACCCATGTAACATTTACCCTCCAATGTAAAACCCCTTACACAATATTCCTCAATAACATAACTATACCTATAACCTATTTTGTATGCTACCTTGGGTTCTATCTTGACTCTTGTTTGACAACTAACAAGACAGCCTGAGGACCTTCTCATCAAAAACAATCAAGTATGATAAAATCCATAAAATTACACAATGTATTATTTTATAGAAGTGGTAATAAATATTTTATTTAAAAAGTTGCCAAAAACAATTTTATTCAAATTGGTGATACCACGTCTGTAGCCTCTCCATGTCAGACACAGAATTTTACCATCTTCAGTGATGGGTTTTCTTTATTTTATTTATTCATCGCCCATGACGAACTGAAATTACTACTCATCAATAAAGATAATTATCGACCAGCGATGATTAACAATTAAATGGTTGATATAAAGGATGTAGTATAACAAATACAGCTAGGATAGTTACTTAATTTTTAAGTTCCTGTTGTACAGGTAGGCTTAGGTCCAACTAGCTGTTAGTATTTGTGGCCAATGTAGAGAGGATCAGCAACCAGCATAACCAGAAACAATCAAATTTATGTTCTTGGTTCCTGTTAAGAAATAATATAATTTTAATAATTTCTTTGTGCAATTTATTAATTTATTAAATATACATATTCATCATTATAACTCACTCCACATTTTATTTTAGGAAAAGTTTAGGTAGGTTTAAACTGGTACGGCCAAGCTCTACTTTCTTCGTTTCCAAAGCCCATTAATCATAGTAATTCATAAAAAAATAAATAATTTATAAAAAAATACTATGTAGTAAATATTTAATTTGATAAATCATGATTGAATGATAAATAAAAACAAAACCACTTATAATTTCATCTAAAATGTATTTATGTCAATTTATTACAAAAAAAATTATCTTATAATTACGCATTACTTAATTCGACTAAATGTAAATTTATATTATTCGACATTATATTCAAACAATAAAATTGATTTAACATTAAAACAAGACAGTTCGGTTTACAACAATAAAATTACAATACCAACAACTCCGTAGTGTTAAGAATCAACTTATTAATTTGACAGATCAAATAACGATCCTTTTATGTTTTTTCTTTGGAACTACCTGAAATTCAAGAAAAATATAATTTCAAAAATAAATATATATAATTTTGTCATACCTCTGTTGAACTTGAAAGTCTTTTTGAATCGACCACCTTGGGCGTGGGAGTAGATTTTTCAGATTTGTCGGAAAAGTCTATTTTTATTTTTTTGTGCTTCTTTCCGTTGAATTCGTCCCTATCCTCGTTAGTCTCTTCTTGGCAAGGCGCTGATCTTTCTTTCTGAGAGGAACATTCTTTACTCTTGTCCTTAATAACTACCTTTTCCAAATCATCACTTTTTCTTCGATTTGTTGAATTTAACTTTATTATTTTATGCTTTAAATTAGACGAATCGATGGGAGGCTTGATCCGAGTATCTTGATCAGCCTGTTTTGACAAGCCTGCAACCATCGACTTCCTTGGGCTAACTTCAACATGGGTCAACGTCCTAAAATTGATTAAATTTACAAAATTAATAACCCAAACTACAAATCTCACCCAAAATTGAAAATAACAAAAAAAATCTTAAAATACTCACTTAAAGCTTGGGGTGGAAGTTCTTTTCTTGTTTTCCAAGCTTTGCCTTCTCGCTAAAAGTTTACCCCTCATTGTTTTAGTAGAATATGGCCTTTGTGGTAATGGATATGCCACCCTTCTAAATATTTCGACTAGTTCTTCTTTGTTACATTTAGAAAAATTTTTTGAAATACATTTCTATAAACAAACAAATTTATTGTAGTAATTATTTAAAAACTTTATTAGATTTAAAAAAGTGAAGTAATTTGTCATACAGAATGGCTTAATGTCCTTAACTACCTATTAGGTAACGCGGATGAGGGGTCAAACCATTTTACAATTTTTATTTTCAAATTATTGTTTAAAATTCCATGGACTATGGAATTCAATGCGAGTTTGTGCGAGAACAACGAATATTTATGCAGTTTGAAGCGGACAGAGAAAACGACAACTAGCTGAGCGATGCGAGAATTGAACACCCATCCCCACTAGTGATTCAACGAGCTTTTTCTCGGCATAAATCCATCCGACATCCAAACCTATAAGTCAGTCAGTCAGACAACCATTAGAATGTTGCCTAGGTGGCACAGTTCAGAGTACCTCTTCGACAAAAGCACAAGAGGGTTTATGGAGTACCTGTCACAGACACTCAGGAAGCCTGTGCAGACGAGGTAGGCATAGCCTTACTAATCTTGAATCACTCCAAGTGGAAGCCAAATTCCACTGTGTACACTATAGTGCAGCAAGAGCAATCACGAAGTGGATGTACCTTCACCTACAAACAAATGCAGAATAGAATCGGAGACTGTGGTAGCTGAGTGGTTAGGACATCTGACTTGTACTTGCCATTCTAGCGGTTCTGGGTTTGTATACTGGCACAGCCCATCGATTTGAAAGAAACATTGTAAAGTGGTTGGACCCCCTGTCCATGACACCCAAAGAGTAGTTGGACATTAGCCATCACTATGAATAATATAACTGCAAGGTTTCGAACATGCCGGAATCAAGAGGAACAAATCTGAGCCCAGAAGACAGCTGCCACAGAGAAAAGGTAGTTAGGCCTTCAAGAAAGATAAAATTTCCTAGCATTTAAGAGGAACCAATTATAAACTAAGCAACTTCTATCGCATATTTAAAACAAACCAATGAAAACTCAATATAACTAAATAATTAACATGAAAGAACATAGGGTAGATTACGATATTCCTTCTGAACTAAACCGCTTTGCACTTCAGCTATGTCAATATTTATTATTTTATTTATAGCAGTTATAATATCCAGCCAGTTTGTTTAACAAAATTGACCAAAATCCTTTTTAAAAAGATAGTAAGTTGTTTTCCGATCCGCATTTCAAGCTTTTAGCTCATCAGCTTGAAGTTCTACAACCACGTTCTCTTGTAGAACTCCTTCAACCTGATGATGAGCTAAAAGCTCGAAATCCGGATCGTTGGAAAACAACTTACTGTGAGTAGGAATTATCTTTTTAAAAAGCATTGAACACCGCACTCATTCCACCATTCATCATTTCTATAAATTGACCAAAGCCCTATAAACCTCATCATTTTCTGTCCTCATTATTTTTTTTTTTTTTTTTTTAATTATATGGCTTTGTTACATTGGTCAAGCATATGAAAAAGAGTATTTCTTTCCGCCTCAAATTTTCGACAGAATCACACAATACATTTCACGTTTTTCACTTAGTTGCATATGGTACACAGATCGCCGTCCTGACCAATTATATGTAGGCACTTTTAACAGATACTATGGTTTGAATGCAGCCTATTGTGACGATAACGACAAAAGCAATAATCGACAAGACGCAGGCAGTTGTCGAGTTAATTGTCAAATGGTGTGAGCTTGCGAAGCTAAAGGTAGCCCCCAAAAAGTGCCAAACCCTAATGCTCAAAGGGAAAATGGGTACCCCCCCCCCGTACATCCAGATAGAGGGAAAACGAGTAAAGCCAAGCGATCAAGTCAAGTACTTGGGAGTAATATTAGGCAATAACCTGAACCCAGTACACCACGCTATTAAAATAAGGGAAACGACAAGAAGGGTGTACAATAGATTGAGCGTAATAGCAAGAGTGGAATATGGACTTAGCACAAAAGCGCTCTCCACAATCTATAAAAGTGTCTTCCTCCCAATAGTAAGTTATGGTGCAGCCGGATGGGCCAAACGATTACCTAGCAAAAGCAAAGCTACAATAGAGCAAAGCCAACAAGTAGCTCTTATAAGAACCACAAAAGGGTACAGGACGATTTCAACACCCTACAAGTAATAGCCGACGCACCGCCAATAGACCGTCCTTAAAGAAAGGGTGGTCATCCAGCAAAAAAAAGAAAAATGAGGCTATTGATATAGGAGCAAGCCAAGGAGAAATAGACTGGTTCCGAAGCACAATGGGGAAGGAGGCAAAAGAGTACTTTAGAAAAATGACAAGGGCATCATGGCAAGAAAGATGGACAAATAGCAATAAAGGTCGGCTAACATCCAAATTTTTCCCAAGTGTTGAAAAAAGACAAAAAGCAAAATGGCTACACCCCGACTACTGGACCACCCAAATGCTATCAGGACATGGAAACTTCGCAACCTATCTTCATAAATATAAGAAAAGAAAAGCCCTTTATGCTCCGTTTGCAGCACTGAAGAAGATGCCGAACATAAACTCTTCAGCTGTATCAAATTCAAGGCAGAAAGAGAACATTTACGAAAGACCATCACCTCAACAGAATGGCTGCCTAATCTCTAAAAGCTAGTCTGTGATATCAAATCTTTTGGAGCATTAAAAGACTTTGCCTCAAATACGCTTAAATGAACAAGTCCCTATTTATTCTAATTATTAAGTCCTAAATATTGTTATTATTGTTAGAGTTTTATTACTGTTATTTATTTATTTATTGCATAATTAAACATAGGTTTAGGTTTTGGGTTACGGGCTGTTTTCCTCTTCTTGGTAAGAAAATTTTAGATAATATAAATAGATAGAAAATAAAACAAAGGAAAAGTAAATGTGCAAGGGAAAACCAGCAAGGGAAGACCTTTTGTTTTAGGTTTTAAAATGAAAATATGGTCCCTTCAAAAACCGACCAGCGGTCTCGCCTGAAGGAAAGATCGTTAGGAGGTATTTTTATCCTATTTATTTGAAATCCCTTAGATATACAAATTTGATTAAGCTAAAGCGTTTGTCCGCCGGTATGGGGTCTTCCTCAGGTACAGCGGGGTGGTGGAGGGTTAAAAAAAAGCCTATTGTGACAGAGCTGTACCGTTCCAAGGCTGGGAACCAACTTTTGGAAAGATATATTTATACAATTCTGCAGTACTTGAATAGTTAAATCTGCCCTGCAATTGCTCTTTTTTTAAATAACATTGATGACTTCATAATGGGACACTTAAAACCCTTTTTTCTACTATTGGTTTTTTATAGCCACTTTGTCCTGTTCATCGGCTCTAACATTTCCGATCAACGAGCAGCGGCCTCTTACCCATAGAAATAGAATTTGTTTATCTTTGTCCTTCAAATCATTTAATTTATTAATTATTTCAATTGCCAATTCTGTACTGTAAGATTTGGAGCCAAATGATTAAAACACTCCTACTGTCATACATATCGTCGATAGATTCTGCGGATTCAGGAACCAAAAGGACATTCACCCCGAGATGGTACAAAGTATATTTATTGTTGGAGTCATAATATGCACCATCTGACTTTCCACTACTTAGAACCATGAGCAAAAATAGTAGTCGTATTATCCATTTTTGGTGGATCAGCTTGCAAAATTGATAGTAACCAAAGGGGATTTTTGCAATGAGTAACTTGTACATACAGTTTATGCAAATATTTCTATTTGTTATGCAGCAACATTGAGAGGACAAAGAGATGATCAGTAAAGCTATAAATTCAGCCCAAGAAGTTTAAATGTACAAGCCAAATAATGACCTTATTTGTTCCAAGAAACCACGTGTTTATGGTTCTCCTGTTAACATTTAAATATGTATTTGTGTTAAAACATACGTTCTAGTCTAAAAATTATTACGAATCACCACCAAATCCTCTCCATATATCAATTTGTTTGCTGCTATTTTAAGGAAATAAGGGGCAAAAATGTCATTTTTAGCCTACCAACCGTGTGCAGGATTTCACACAGTTGTTCTACGGTGAGCAGCTCAGGCTGAAGAAGATCGTAAACTGTTGGTCTTTTTGTCTCCATTCCATGCAAAAGTACACTTTCTTTTAACTTCTGTATAAATAAAAGAAATAAACAACAACGTAAATAACAAAAAAATAACCTGCCGTTGGATAGAGGGAGCCGGCAATGATCCATTCCCTAAAGGTTTCCCTCCAACTCGTTTCCAACTACTTCCAACTGGAACATACTTATGTTCTTAGTCCAAATGATTTTCATCAATAAACGTCAATAAAAATAAATAATTTCCTAAATTAATATTGCAATAATCATGTTAGTATCCTTCTTTTTGCGATCATAGAAACTAACACATATGACTTTTTTAAATTGTATGAACAATTTTTAAATATGCATATGCAAGGACATTAAGTAAATAAATCCTTCTTATTTAAAAAATAAAAAAATATGGGTGGGTTTTTTTTCTGTAAATTTTACCCAACAAACAACAAGCTTGATGAATAATTAAGAAGTGAAGTACTTAAATAGTAACTCTAAAATGAGTATAAAATTATTACCATAAAATATAAAAATTTACGAAATTTCAACTGATCCTAGCCAATATTTTCTAATTGCCAAATTTTCAGAATTTTACGTTTTTAACAATTATATATTTTGTAGTTTCAAATTATCTACTAAATAAATCTTTCAAATGTACCATTTGCAAACAATAAACAATAGAAAAGGTAAAGAAGCAATAAAGAAGAAGAATATATCAAAGGTTCAGAGAACTAAATAGATAATTTAGACTATTTTTATATGTAAAATACAAGCAAAATGCTGCAGACTGTTTAGAATACATGTAAACCAGTATAGAATTATTAGCATAAAATGTAAAAATTTATCAAATTTCAACTGATCCTAGCCAATATTTTCTAAATTGCTAAGTTTTCAGAATTTTACTTTTTTAACTATTCCATATTTTGTATTTAAAAATTATCTTCAGTATATACCTTTAAATTGTACCATTTGCCACAATAAACAGTATAAAAGTTAAATAAGTATGTAATAGATAAAGTAAGATAAGTATCCTTTTTGCGATCATAGAAACTAACACATATGTTTTTAAAAATGTATAAACAATTTTTAAATATGCGTATGTATGGACTTTAACTAAATAAATCATTATTGCAATATATAAAAAATAAAAAAATAGAGGTGGGGTTTTGTGTATATTTTACCCAATAGACAACACAGGCAAGCTTAACCAATAATTAAGTAAGAAGTGAAGTATTCAAATAGTAACTCTAAAATGAGTGTGAAAGAGTTAGCATAACATGTAAAAATTTAACAAATTTCAAATGATTCTAGCCAATATTTTCTAAATTGCCAAGTTTTCAGAATCTTATGTTTTTAACTATTCCATATTTTGTAGTTAAAAATTTGGTGGTTTTTTTGTTGTGTATATTTTACCCAACAGACAAGTTTACCAAATAATTAAATAAGAAGTGAAGAATTTAAATGCTATCTCTAAAATGAGTATTAGCATAAAATGTTAAAATTTGCCAAATTTCAGCTGATCCTAGCCAATACTTTCTAAATTTTTTCAGAATCTTACGTTTTTAACTATTCCTTATTTTGTAGTTAAAAATTATCTTCACAATTAACCTTTCAATTGTACCATTTACCAACAATAAACAATAGAAAAAGTTAAAGAACTAATACAAAAGAAGAATATATCAAAGGTTCAGAGAACTAAAATAATTTAGACTATTTATATATATAAAATACAAGCAAAATGCTGCAGTGCATTCAGAATTCAGGTAAATCAGTATAAAATTATTAGCATGAAATGTAAAAATTTACCAAATTTCAGCTTATTCTTGCCAATATTTTCTAAACTACCAAGTTTTCGGAATGTACATTTTTAACAATTATATATTTTGTAGTTTCAAGTTATCTACTCAATAAATCTTTCAGATTGTATAATTAGCCAAAAATAAGAAATAAGACAGCATAAGAAGAATAAAAAAGGTTCAGAGAAAAAAGATAATTTAGACTATTTTTATTTATTATTTTTGGTTCTTTTACATTTTTGAATTTATACAATAGTTTTATCTATAAGTTGTAAGAAACATTTTACCTTAGTACATTACACATTAATCTCATAAAAATAGAAATTTCTTTGTTTGTCCCAGGTTTGTGTTGAGGCAAAACTTTTATAATTAAATTAATAGACTTCTGAGAGATGAGGATGTTTAGTCATAATAGATAGTTTTGTTATTGTATTGATTTAAATTTTTTACTTAATTTATTTATTTATTTTAACCGAGTTGTGTATGTTTAAAATTATTAATGTTACCAGCTTTTGAAATTAATTTTTTTTTTTACTCTACATTTATTTATCTATAATGATTAAGGGGTTTTGTAAAATAAATAGTTGCCATATAATCTAGGCATCTCTCATCAATTTTGTTACTTGGAATATATAAGTAGAACAATCCAGCATTTCTTGTTGGTTTAATTTTTTCCTTGTATTTTCTAAAAGTTCCTCTTGAACATCAGAGTAATTAGTATGTTAGTAATAGAGTTTGGGAGTTAGACTTATACATATCTGTAGTCTGTTCAAAATTCATGTAAATTAGTATAAAATTATTAAAATATTTTCAAAAATGTCAACTTATCCTAACCAAAATTTTCTAAACTGCCACATTTTCAGAATCGTACATTTTTAACAATTACAAATTCTGTAATCCCTAATTATTTTCATTTGTGCAATCAGCCTACAATTAAAGAAGTATGTAATAGATATAGAATAAGAAAATATCAACGGTTTAGAGAACAAATATAATTTATGCTATTTTTATATATATCAATTGTTCAGAGTTTGGTAAGTTTTTCATACTTTTGTGTGTTAAATAAAATACAAGTTTAACATCAACGTCTTCTTCATCAAACTACACTATGGGCTCCTGTTGAATATGGAGAAGGAAAGAAAGAAGGAAGAGCTTGTCAGGGCAAGCACTCGTCCTTTTGAGGATCTGTATGATACCGGGCTTTTTTCGTGGGTTTTGGATAAAAATCATTTACACTGCATATATTTGTTATGGAAAAATCCACATACCCCCAACTGACCTGGGAGGAATTTTCTTATTCACCCCGCCAAGCATCCACAACCGAACCCTTCCTAAGGGTGCACCCTCGTACATAAGCCCCCAAGCTCCCCCCAATCTAAACCAAATCTACATGACTATATTTGTTTTATAAGCTCTGTTCATTGTAAAAAGTTAAATAGAGAAACAAGAAAGTACCATTGCCCAGCATCTCATGCAAGGACTCTGGTAGTTGGAAATCTGATCTTCCCTGAAACATATGGTAAGTACATATATGTTTTACAGTCTCTCATTACATATCAAACAGATATGTGGAGATTTCCTGGCGATGGGTCAGTCTTGTATGTCTGATTCTTATTCTGTTTGCCATTTCCAAGTTGTATCTTTTATTTCCTATAATTTATTGCTACTTGTTGTCTCCCATATGTCAGGTCGGCTTTCTCATTTCCACATAATCCACATTTCCCAGAGACCACATGAATGTTATTTTATGACATCTATTTTCTGATCCAAGAATTTATCAGTTATTGCTTGTCAGGTAATCAAACAGTGTAGAAAACCATATGTGAGTAGTCCATTTTAGGACTTTGGATATTGCTAGCAATTCTGATGAAAAATTTATACATATCATAGGCAAATAATACATTTTACTAAGAATGTTCAGTTCATTGTTGCATACCACTAGAAGAAGACTACAGGTTTAAATACTTTTTGTATTTCTCTTGAGGTCTGCAGGCGATGGCCTACAGTCAATGAAGATGACAAAAACGTGTCGGAGCGGCATTTGTTTATCAGGATAGAAAAATGATGTTCTCTCTTTCTCAGGTATGTAGTACTACACTGCCGAATTAATTGCGATCAATAAATGCATTAACATCCTAAACTTGAACCGCACAGCCCTAGTTGTCTGCACAGATTCCCTTTCTGCTCTATTAACCATCAAAAACAAATTTTCCATAAATCCAAGAATCCAAGAGATTTTACTTGCTATAAAAAATAGTACGAGTACAGCAGTTAGTTTTTTGTGGGTCCCAAGGTCACTGTGGTATAAAAGGCAACAAGGAGGCTGACCGAGCAGCGAAATGTGCTGCATCGAATGGTATTTACATACCGGAAGTGCCATGTGAAGACTTTGCTGTGTTTATTAAAGGAAAACTTTGAAACCTCTGGCAATCGGAATGGTGAAATATCGAGGATAACAAACTCAGAGAAATTAAAGAAAGTGTCAGACAGTGGGACACAGCAATGCAAAGATCTCGAAAAGAAGAAACCGTGCTGGCCAGGCTCAGGATAGGTCACACAAGACTAACACATGGTTACCTAATGGCCAGAGAACCTCCCCCAAGATGCACAACTTGTGGTGAAATAATCACCATCAAGCATATTCTGTCAACATGCAGAAACTACGAAGACCTTCGGGTCAAACATAAGCTTGGAAACAATGTGACCGAAATTTTGAAAGATTCCCCAGCTAACATTAGAAAGCTTTTTGAGTTCCTAACTGAAACTGGGTTGACCGATAAATTGTGACAAACAATGAGTAGGCTCCTGGGGGGCCGGGGGTGGGTGGGGCTGGCCTCTGGGTTGAGTTTGAACCCCGGAACTTGGGAGGGCTGCGGATGCTGGCACACCATGCGCAGCCCTCTGAGAAGTCTGCCACTGTCTCACCACTAAGGTCTTGTGTGGAGAGGAGCTGGTCTGGGAGTCTGGTTCTTGCCTGGTCTTGTGGTGTCTGGTTCGCTGTGGGGGTGCGCCCGCTCTTGATGTCCCTGCCCCTCCAGGCCTATCGCTCTCTGTTTTCTTCTCTCATCGATTAATTCATCATCAAGACAGTTTTGACCCATCGTGGTTGTATGCCTTTATAATTAAATAAATAAAAAAAAACCTAAAACATACCTGATGATCAGAAACAGCCAAAGTACAGATTTTTGTCTTGTTTTTTTTTAATGATTTTATGAAAGGACATTTTTGTAAAAACATAAAACGTAAAATTTATAAAAAGAAATATTATATTTTTATAACAAATTTAAACTTTCATTTAGTGATAAACTGATAACCATTCAGATCTACTCTACACATAATATGTCCAACAATTTAACTACCATTTGAAATATGTGTTTGATCGATTGCCCCTGTCATAAAAAATAGTAATCATATTTACAAACATTTTCCAATTGGTTTCTATTCCTAGTTATTTTTGTATTTTGTATTTTATTATATCAGCTAAGACATTTTCTCGCTATGAAAACTACTCTTTGGTTCTTTTAATAATTCTTCTTAGGCTGGCATATGGGATAAATTGTCGGATGGTGATCTCTGTCTGACGGGGCAGGCGCCTGGCCAGGCTCTGACAGGGCTGGGTAGATCGAGTACACCTCGAGGTAGTGCTTCGACAGAAAGGCTAACTCCAGTTTCATTAATGCCATTTGCCTTTAACCTTCGCTGAGCAGCCATAGAGGCTCGTAATGTCTTTCGCTTCTAAAAATTAATTAATTTTAATATCAAAAAAATAACACCATATTTTGTGATTTACCTCAATCACACCTCTCCATTTGTCCGCAGCGTGTCTGGCTAGTTCCATTCGTTTCTGTTTTCGAATTTGGTGTTTCTTATATGCCATTTCTATAATAATAAGACCGATTCCGCCTAATATACCGACCCCTACTAAAATAAATACACCTGCCATATTTTTGAGTCCGAGTGTATTAGGAGTTTTTTCGTATTGCTCGCACTGTTGAAGATTTCCCTGTAGAATCCATTTATTATCTAAACTCTCCATAAATCCACCTAAACATTAATTATGATTACTGTATCTGTTTTCAATATTATTAATTTTAATTACTTTCATGAAAGTCTAATATAGCTAGAGTCACAGCATCAGCCCACGGAGATCCTTTCTGAAGGCCGATACCATATCCACTTCTTCCAAACAACTCTCCTGCTGTGACTAATTCACAATCTTGTGCAGCCTCGAAATCAAGCCGAGAGCTATCCCAGATAAAAGCCATCAGCTTTCTGAAATTAAATTATTTGATTTAGCACAATATTTTTATATCTTATGTCTAGTTTACAATTACCCAATTTTAACATCATGTATTGCTTCTTCGGCAGTGTTATAGTTATTTGCTTCCATCGTCCTGTACATATTTGACAGTTCTACTTGCCTTCTAAAGTACATATCAACTGCAGAACCTTTCACAGTTGCACATGTTAAATTTTCCATTGTGTTCCGTAACTATAAAAATATACAGTTTAAAAACAGTTATGCAATGGATTTTTTTGTTGAAACTTACTCGAGCATCGTTGATGCCAGATAGTTTAGTCTTGGGTCGTTCCAAAACAAGGAAGGCAGCAAGGTTGGCAGTGTATGACGCGACAATGATCATAGCGAAACCGGCCCAAACCATTCCGAGTACACGAGCTGAAAAACTCCTGGGTGTGCCTAAAAATAAAATCATAAGTTTACACAGATTTAAATGTAATAAAATCATTGTGGTAGTTAACCTTCGCCAATCCCACTGTTTAAAAGTACACCCCAGGCAAACCATATTGCGCTTGAAAGATTAAGGGCGTCTTCTTCCGTCCCATCCGTATTTGCCAGTTTAAATCGCCCAAAGGGGGAAAATCTGTCAAGCAAGTATAACACCAATGCAACAACATGGACAGAAACCATTACAAGAATCCAAAGTGTGTTTGAAAATGGTTGCAAAAATGACACTAAAGTTGATGACCGAGATGGCTGTTGAAAGAGAAAAAAAAATATAAAGCATTTATAGATATAAAATTTAATGAAAGTCCATTACCTTTTTCTCTAGTATGGTTATTCCTTGGTATTTAAACGGCTTACTGAATTCAATGAATTCTGCTCTTTCTGGATTAATGGTAAGAGGTGCTACAATCATATCTGCTCTTTCATAAACCAACTCTCCTATGAGACCTGTCCATTCTTTCTTACCACCTTAAAAAACAGAACAAAAACTGTATTGCATCCTAATTTAAATAGACTGATGTAAAACAATACCGGAGCTATTTTTGATCAAATAGTTGCCAAACTGGCCATCGGGGGATAATGCAAGATCAAATGTAAAATTGATCGTACGAGCCAGCTCTTTCAGCATATCCATACAAAATCCTTTGCAACAGTACATTTGGCTGTCTGAAAAAAAAAAATAATAATCCACACGGTCCTTTACAAGACGACCAAAGGAAAATTTCCATCATACCGTCGTGATTGGTAATATTAAAATGTGGACACAGTATTTCATCAGATGCGCAAGCAGCTTCATCTGGCTTTAAAGGTCGGACGTAAACAAACGGCTTTTCCTCGATGGTCAACACCTTCAAATGTGTAGGCAGGATAAATCCCTCGGGCTTGCTCCTCACTCTTCCCGGCCAAACTATGTTGTTATCGTTGATTTTCAACCTCATCCTGTCTTGTTCCTACACAATTATAAAATTTTATAAAGAGAAGATAATATAATATCAATATATTTAACAAATATGAAAACCTTACACTGTTATAAAGATAGTGGCCAACAGAAATATGTCTATTAGGGGCTTGCACATTGACAACATCATATTCAGCATTAATTCTATCTCCGTTGTCATCAAATGCAACTTTTCCTGTTGCTCCTGTCAGTAATACCTGTTTTCTTATAAACCTACATGACAAAATGTATAGTTTATTATTAATAATTGTTATTAATTCTACCATGATAAAAAAACTAGATATTTTTTATGTAAGAACTCAAATCAAAGATGGCACCTACTCAAATAAAGTTTTCCCAGTTTCCCAAATTGACCCTGAGTTATCACAGTCTTTCGGTGCCTCAGTTATATTCCTCGTTTGATTCATGTCCCTTAAGGCTGATGCAAGGACATAACTGTAAAAAAACAAACATAATTTATAATATAAATATATTTGAAAAAGAATTTATATTTTTAAACATTGTGCCAAGGTCAAGGTGATCCTGGTTTCTCTAATTTAGTTGGTTTTTTGGATTTTTGTATTTAGCTGCCTTATAAAAGAAAAGAACATTATTGGGAAAATATCACACAGACCGACTACATAATGGATGTCATTGTATGATGATATCTAATAAACCAAACGACCAGGATGATCGATGACAAAGCTATTGAATTTCTATAGTTACATGCTGTCCTGAATATGAGCTTTTTCATTTGTAGCGTGTACAAGTTTGAGTCCGAGTGTGCCGACTGGTACATTGCTCGTTTCAAGAACTTGCTCAGTCACAATCCATACATATCCTCCTTCTGTCATGTTCAGAAAAGCTGCGTCCCTGAATATAGTCTTGGCATCTCTTTTGCTATAATTTAAAATTTAAATAAGTCTTAGTTTTTGTTCAGAATATGTAAAATTGCTCACCTAGCATAAAGGAGATAAACGCGGGCTTGAGCGTATTTCATTTCCAACAAATGCGATGTGAAATTGTCCACTCCAGGCTCAAACTCAATGACGGACTCAACTTGAACTTTAATTTCAGCGTCGTCCTCGTGGCTTTGGGAAGTTGTCTGGAATCTGCCTAGTATCGCCCTTCCATCGGTGTCGGAGCTGTGTATAAATATTATTTTCATGTAGTTGAAATGCTTGAGCAGCTCGACCCAGACGTCCGCTTGGTGAGAATAAGGAGGTACTGTTCTCAAGAAAGAAACATGGATATTCTACAAAGCAATTGCGAGTTAATATCCAATCAATAAAATTCTATCGCTAAGAAAATACTTTATCAGAAAATGCAGAATCCCTTGAAGATATTCCAATTACAGGAATGTGATAAAAACCACTTGTATATGAGACTGCAGCAGGTGATAGGTCTCCTGTTAACGGATGAGAAACAACCACAGCATAAACCTAAAATTGATATTTATTTCCAATTTCAAAAAATAAATATTTCTGGCTTTATTTTACTAAATTACGTACTCTATTGGCAATTAAAGACTTGCAGACATTAATAGCTGTTCTGATAGGATTGGCATCTATTAAAATGGCTGTTGCATAGTACGTTACACCTCGGGGTACATACTGGCTATCAAAATTCAAATGCTAAAAATAAACATGATTTTTAATTGTAGTAAAATTATTAAATATAAAATACAAACTTTTTATAGGTACTTACAGCTATGGTTTCCTGGAAATGTATATTACTTGCATTGTTACTAAGTACTCCTCCAACATTGAAATAAGTTGGATTCGTCGCTTTTACAGTTGTCAAGAAAATAGCAACGCAGAGTGTTAAAGCATTCATGCTTAAATTCAAATACATCAGATCGACTTGTTAATTCTTTTTACGTGTAAAAATTAAATCGGTATACATTTTGTATAAACTCCATGATCGATGAACTATATATTTAAATATTTGGCTCAATGGAAAAATAGATATGTTTATAAAAAACTAAATAAAACAATTTTCCTACCCTATGAGATGCTGGATAAAATGGAAGAAGGGGTGGGACCTTTGTTGCTAAGCTACCAGCTTCACCCAAATATTGATTCCCTTGGACCTTACTGACCTACATACACAAACCAATTTGTCAGTTTGCATATTAAAAATAGAACAAACTTGTTCTAATTTATAAAATTTATTTATTTCAAATATTACAATTTTTATATTACTGATTTAATGTTGCAGCTAATTTAGATAACATATATATGCACAAGATATAAAATCCAAGAGACCCCATTTCTAAAATGCAAAATTATCATATGTTAATGTAGAAAATGAACGTGCAGAAGAATTGATCTTCCCTTTTGTTGAGAATATTTATGAAATTTATTTAATGATCTATATGAAAACATGCAAAAAATACTGCAGGCACCTCACTTTTTAATCATTATTAAACTCTTGAACCATTATTGCCCTTTCAAACTGTAAAATTGATTTTTCTTACTCTTGACATATAGACTGACTAATTTATAAGGGTAAAGATAAATTTTTACGAAGAAATATTTATAACAACATAACACAAAATATTTATCATAAAAAAAAGTTTATTTTACATTGAATAATTGTTTTACAAAAATTTCTGTATTATGTTTTTAAAAAAATTAACACAACAGAGAAAACCACCTTTGGCATCATTATAGGATTGCAACTTTTGTTAAACTACTACAAACAAATTGCTATGGTGAATGTTAAAGAAATATATAATATATATTATTTAAAAAAAATTTCTTCTACCAAAACTTTTAGGTATTAATCGCAGTAAAATAAAAAATTAATTATTTTTTCAATAAAATAAACACAAGCAAATAAAATGCATATGCCCTTTTCATCTTATCTAACCTCGTAGAGGGATATTCTATCACAGTTGAAATTCAATGAACTTGTCATTTTGAAACGTACATACTACTAACGGGCATAAAATTGATAAATACTTTGATACTGAAACAAGTCTTCCTAGGGTTAACTACTAATTTTACATTTAAATTTACAAAAGACAATGGACATTAGTCCGTCTGCCAGGTGGGTTAACTACTAATACTATTATATTGTTACAAAAGCAAAACTGTAATATATTCAATAGTTTTAAACATAATTGAGATCAGCAACGTCATTAAACTGAGGTACCTTGGCTAATGTGTCCGCTACACTTTTTTTTACCATTTCAGGTTCTGAAAAAACAAAACAAGGATGATTAAAATTGCAGATATTACTTAATAAAGGAAATACTTACGAGGCTTGTATGATTTATGTAAAATCTGTTCGGTGATTTTCTTTGCTAGTAGTTTAAACACCGATCTTGTAGAAATTTTTCCTTTTTTGTACTGCGGAGTCAACTCGGCGACCACAATAGCGGCGATTTTTTTGCGACAGGCGTCCTTGTCTTCTTTTGAAATTATGACACACTCATCAGTATCTTCGTTTCCGAATAAATCTTTAAACCTCTTTTCAACGATTATCCTTTTCACAGGTGATAAACTTTGTAAGATAATTTCTAAATTACATTCTTGTGCGGACAACTCGACAGACCAATCGAGCGGCAAAACATTTTGCATATGACAATGGTGTTCAAAACCTCTCTTGTTTTGTACAATTTTATTTTCTATAATTTGAAGTTTATTATTAGGTTGATTGTTCCTTTCAGGTTCTTTTATGTTAATGGGTGAAACAGGATCAGCGAATAGATCGGCAAGGACTTGCAAACGGTCGTCAAGAGGGGGCCTGGTAATATTTGACTCTTTCATTGATTGAAAGTCAGCTTCACTTTCATCCACATTTAAAGACTCTTTCTTGTTATTGTTCAAGACGTTATTCTTGTTCAAACCTTGCCTGGGTAGGTTGGCAAAAGGGGATTCGACTGGTTTAGGGGTATTTGTAGGAGACATGAGCATATTTAAGAGTTCTTCGTAACTGTCTAAACTTTCTGTCCTTTTAATTGTTTTTGCTTCTTGGCCAGTATGATTAGAGTTTAAAAAAGGGCCAAATTCTGTATACAAAGTTTCAATTTCATCAGTTTGTACTGACTTATCACAACGGTTCATCACGGAATCTGTTTCTGATTGTACGATACTATCTACAAAACCATTATACAGTAATTTTTTCTGCGTTGCCGCCTTAATTTCTGATATCTGTAACAAAAATAAATTCAATGCATAAAGATATTAATGCAAATTCTTCAGTTATTATTATAAAATTTAAGCATATGTAATTAAAAACATAATTACCAGCTGCACCATTGATTTTTGGTAAATATTTGTTAGCATGCAACTCCTCAAAGCCTTTTTCTCCAGCAGTTTTGCGTATTTTACAATATTGCTTTCATCAGGTTTTCTAGCTTCTGAATCAGACGCTTCTGACCATTTTTCAAAATTCTTAATTAGACACCTCTTAAGGTGTAGCATATAAGAATTTCGCACCTTTAAAAAATCAATTAATTAATTGTAAAATAACAAACTTTTATTACAATTTATCATAAGAAAAATATTGTTTACCAGTGCGGACAGTTGTTTCTCGCTCCTCTCATCCTCCAGCACATCAAGCTCATCAGGGGATACATCCCAACTGAGGTTGGAGTCAGTTGTTTGCAAATTATCATTTCTAAAACAATTAAAAATCTCATAATAAATAGAAATAATAAAGGCGGGGTGATTATGTCGATTCACTTTTTTTTTTGTGAGTGTCACACAATGATCCAGATTTAGAACATTAAACATATCAGGTTGAAGTTGAGTAAATTGCACACGTCACTCGACGTGAATAATAATTGTAAACAACAAATCTGTGAGTAGAACCATTTAAATCAAATCAATTTCGAATCAATTAGAAATCATTTACAAAAAGTAAAAAAAAACTTGATTAATTTATAAATTAAACTAATTTAACAAAGAAAGAATACATGAAAGGTGTATATAAATATTTTAGAAAAAAAACAACATTAAGAAATTAAAAATTCTGATGAAATTATGCAGAGAACCGATGGACGAACAAATACAACTCCCTTCTTTCTCTTTCTGGTCGATGTTAAAAAGTTGAATTCATTAAAATGCATACAATCACCGACATCAGCTTTGAGATTTATTTATTGTTTTTTGTCTATACATTTCGGCCTGTCACATAGGTCCCTCTTTTCAAGGTTTCTAAAAATCCTGAAGTGCAAATACGATTCTAGATCTAAGAGACCTGAAGTGGAATACCAGTAGCTTTCTGAAAATGAATGATGTAAACATTGCAACCTTTTGCATACAGCAGTGACAGGACTGAGCATTAAACCATTTTTCTACTTTCGAAGGTTTGCAACCAAATAAATCTGGGCTGAAATATGGAAAATCAAGCCCGATCAGTTTAAACCTGTGCATATACATTGGATAAAAATTGTAGCATAAACTGTGAGGAGCGCAATCACAATTCAAGGCTGATCTTAGCAATTTTCTGTACCAAACCATATATGTAAAAAGAAATTTAAACAAAGGAAGAAAAAACAAAAAGAAATTAAATCATAATAGCCAACTGTTTGAACCAAAATCACACATGAGGTCAAGCTGAAGTAAGATGTAAAGAAAAATAAGGGCAGAAACGCTAAAGTTAAAAATTCTTCTCTGCCTATACAAGACCATCAAAGCCATGAAACCAGACTGAAACCAAATCATCTGAACTCACAACCATTTGCAGAGTCTTGATCCAAAAGATGAAAAATAAATACAACAAATAGCTAATATTTGTTGTATTTATTTTATTATTTATTACCTGTTTATATTTTATTATTTATTTATTTATCCCCTGTATTAGCTGTGCTAGTAAAACCCATTCTAAATCTGTGATAATTAGCTGTGATATAACTCGTAAAAAATTAAATAGTTTAATAATAAATTGTAATGCAAGGCCTGATGGATTACAATGGTATGCATGGATGCAGGGCCGGATGGATGTGGCAATTATGTATCGAACCCAAAAATAGTGACATCTGGTGTTCCTCAGGGTGATCACTTATCCCCTGTTTTATTTACAATTTTTATAAATGTATTATTTGACCCTCTGTACATTAAACATAGCAAAATTAAGTTGTTTGCAATGATGTCAAGTTATATAAATCCGTGACCTCGGTCTTGGACTGTAACTTGCTCCAGAGTGACCTAGACTGTTTGGCTTTATGGTGCCACCACAATAAAATGTAAAGTTATGACATACAGTAGAAATACAAATAATATTAACTATACCTATCAGATTGAAGGTGTTACGCTAGAAAGAGTGGAAGAAATAAGAGATTTAAGTATTACATTTGATAGAAAGCTGTCTTTTGATGTACACATTGGTAAATTGAGAGCTGATTAAACTACTGGGTTTTATCATGAGATTATCAGCTGACTTCAATCATACAAATGTATTCAAGCTTTTATATTGCACTTTTATTCGCACAAAATTATAATATTGCAGTGTGGCCTGGAATCCGCACTATATTGTGAAGGAGACCAAATTAGAACAAGTACAGAAAATATTTCTGAGATTTACTGCTTTCAAACTCGGGATAAGAAGAGACCCCCATGAATATGGTCATGTAATGTCCCAAATAGGTCTAATCAGTCTAAGTAACAGACAGGAACTACTTGACATGGGATTTCTTTACAAGCTACTAAATGGGACAATAAATTGTGATGAACTGTTAACCATGATAAAATTCAATGTGCCTAGTTTCAATTTGAGAAATTATAATGTATTCTATTATCAAGTGTACAATACAAACTATCTGTTAATGAGTCCTATTAATCAGCTCATGATAAAAGGCAACAAGTTCGATGTGGATTGGTTCCATGACAGTTTTTATCAGGTCAAAAAACTATATTGTAAAGTTATCATTGTAAACCATTGTAGATGTTGTAATGGACATTGACCCATGTATAAATAAATAATATATTAAGTTCGCACTTAGATGGATTTCACTACCATCTATCTTCCTTAACGGAATTTCACTACCTCCTATCAAATATACATTACTCAGTACTTTACTTATAATCGTTAGACACAAACTTATTTTGAATTCACAGACAAGAACTATCTATAGCTGTTAAATACTTTGAAATTGCAAATTTAGCAAGTGCTGCTTGTAGATGATCAGGAAAAGACATTTTCGAGAACACATTGACCCCTAGGTATTTGTACTACACTTTTGTACTTACATCTATTTTCCTACCCTTGTAGTTTCATCAACTCTCTGACGCAGCTTGCCTACTATCTTTCCTAAAAATTAAAATTTTAGATTTATCCAGGTTTACGGTCATTCCATTGGTTACAAAAAGCTTCTAATGGGTTAATATTTCTTTGAAGGTCCTTGACTTTATCTACTAGGACCTATATCATCTATGTACAAAAGGATCATTACAAATTTACCCCCTATGGTGACGGTACATTCAAGAATGAAACTTAAGTCATCCAAAAACTAAGAAAATAGGTTCGGGCTTAACAGACACCCTTGTCTCACACCGTTTTAATCTGAAAAAAAACTCCGAAATACCATTTTTATTTTATACAGCTGACACTGTAAAACCAAATAGATTTTAGAATCTTCAGTATTTTGAAAGAGAAACCCAGATTTGTGAGCTTCATAATTAGCGAATTCATATCTACTGAATCAAAGGCTGCCTTAAGTTCGAAAAAAAAAGAAAAAGTATACTTTTCTACATACATGTCAGATAGCCAAGTAGTCATCAAGCTAAATTAAATTAAACAGATTAGCTATGCAAAATAATGTCACCCTCCACTTGGTCCCAGGACATGTAACAGTGAGGGCAATAAGAGAGTGAATGCCCTTGCAAGGAAGGGGGCTGCTATACTGCTGATAGTGCCTGAACCCTTCTGTGGCATAGTGATTCACACCATCATTGGATATCTTACACAAAAATACCAAATGAAAATGAGGAAACAGTGGTATTCACTCAATGAACATAAAACATTCTAGCAAGTTTGGGAAGGAAAGAAAAAACAGAATGCATCAAAAGCAAAACTGACGGGATTCTTAACAGGACACTCCAAACTCAGACAGATCGAATAGGTATCTCAAGAAGATTGGCATAAACCAACAAGGCATGTGCAGATTCTGCAAAGAAGCAGAGCAGCCACCAACATAACAAACTGCAACGCTACATTTGTCTGCAGGAGGAAGTGTTTTGGGATGTTCAACGTAACTGTAGAAGAAATTCAATCTCTGAGACTATAATAGACTGGTTTTTTTTTCTTGTTTTTCAAATTTCTTGATGAACTAGTACTCCCTGGTGTGCTATAGGTACAGAATGGGGAATAAAATTGCTCTCAAATGGTGCAGAATATTACACACCCCGAACATGACATCTTACATCTTAATAATAATAAAAATAAACAAAACAATAATATATTCTCTCAAATATTAATGATTTATAATCAAAGGTAAAACGACATTAAGAAAGAAAAACAGCAAGGAAAGAATATGAAATGAAATGAGGAAAGACGATGAAAAGGAAAGAAAAAGAGATGATGCTTGTTGTTTTTAAAACTCAATGCCATGGACCTGAAACAAACCAGCGAGAACTACTTATACGAGTACTTCCTGGGGCTGCAAACGCCATAGACTTGCCCCGGCAACTCTGAGTATAAGATTATTTGGAGATCGTGAGATGCAGTCTGGTGTGACGTGATGTAGATTTTAGAAAAACATTTTCTTTATCGTGCCAACGTTTCAATCTTTATTGAGATCATCTTCAGAGCTCAAAGTGTTTGTTTTCCGAGTAGATGTGTCATTATTGTGTGTCATGTTGAGAGTGCTTTGACGATGATCTCAATAAAGAATGAAACATTGGCAAGATAAAGAAAATATTTTTATAAAACCTATGTCACACCAGACTGCATCTCATGATCTCCAAATAATCATTAACTAACGGTCACTAAAAACCACACATTTCTGAAGGATAAGGCTAAGCTAGTTATAGCAAAAAAAAAAAAAAAAATAATGAAGCTTGGTTATTTTTATCCTTGCTTGTTGGGTCTGGTATAAGCAGAATAAAATAATTTTTAACATCCAAACTAAAAATTTTTCACCCTGCAGACTCTAGGAAATCTCCTATAAAGTAATATATGCTATCAAATATTCAATAGCTATCTAAACTTTTCGATTTGAATTTTTTTCAGAAAGGTGTGTAAACAACAATTTGCCATGTTAAATAACTTATTGTTATATTGTGCCAAAAATTTTAAGCCTGCTTAGTGTGTACTTTTATAAATTGCAAAAAATGTATAAATTGAGCTATTTTTGGCATTTTTCCTAAGTCATTTTGGTTTCTTTTCGATATAAAGACTTTGTTTGAACCAATAGCCGTCCTTATTTGTTATTTTGGACCATTGGATACTGATTGTTCATTCAAATTGTCCTTGGAAAGAAAATTGCCAAAAATATTCTCTTACCAAAAGAAATTTCTCAGTTACCTCGGACTTGTTTTAGCACTCATTCCCATATCTGTGCGCTCATAATTTCAAACACGAAATCATTGATCAGCATGACAGACCCGATACAAAGATTATTTACTTGTCAATAATAATTATTTTCGGCACAATAATAAGAAAATAACAAAAACAAGTATAACAGAATCAGCAGAATTGAAACCTATTTGTTTACTTCGAGCCCACAAGGCAATTATAAACCCGCCAATATTTCAAAATTTAACAACAATTACTCATAATAATAACTTTATTATCGGGAAATAACCTAATTTTCACCAAACATTACTTGGATGAAATTTTATACACTATCTGTGACTTGTACATGGTTGAAAATAGCAAAGTAAGTCTATTTTTCCATTTGACTTTCTACAATTATTGCCTGTAATGCCACAAGGTACAGTTCTTGACCCCACTTTATTTAACATCTACATTTAACATCCTAGAGGCGTGCGAAAAAGAATTTTGGTGATAGTACACCCTATTTGCAACAACTTAAAAATGTACGGTCCCTATACCAACCCAGTCCCTGATGAGTTACTATTTTTTGTTAGTTTTTCCATGGAAGGCTTCCATGTTTCGGATTTTCACTGACTTCAGGGATCACTATTGTAAGTTCTTATTTCTTACTTCCATTGATGATGTTACACAGAAATTAATTTGGAGTGTTTGTGTTATTTTTATGCTTCCCAGCTAGATCTCAAGCATCATTTTCACACTCTTACTATCTCTATAAATTGTTTTTAAATTTTGTTTTCTTCCTTTGTTTTACTTTCTTTTTACATCCTGGGTTGGGTCCAGAAAATCCCCTTGAAATTTGTTTCATACGTACTGCCAATGCATCTGCAGTTCCTCTTCAAAACTACTAGGAGTTAAAATTACACCCCGATGATCATATGTTCTGATGCTCCATTAATGGAATATGGTGATACACTAAATATGCTGCAATTGTTGTTATTTATGAAATGAGTATGTATTTAATCTGATTAAGCTTTATTATCCATACTTGTCCTGATTTATCTGATGGCAAACCTTTTGAAGGTGTTTGGAAGAAGGTATGATGCTTGGTCCTGTTGATATCATCTGCAAAGGTTGCTCTTCAAGTTTGATTTAAAAAAAAAAAGACAAATTATGAGATTAATAGTTTTTACAGTAGTTATTATTAATTTACACAACTAACAGAATTCTTATTAAAAATTTATTAACAATGATCCACATTAATTACAACAGTAACAGTTATATAAAATATTTCTGTATGTTTTTCAATTACAAACTTAACAGTTTAATCCCAGAGTCAATCTACGCAGAAATTTGAGCTTGTTTGTATTCGAAAACACTCCCTTTTTCAGCGTAGCAGGGATTTTTCTCATCGGAGCTAACGCCGGCCCTTCCACGACTGCCTGGCTTCCCCCAGCCGCCACCACCAGGGGTTAAAATTTGGAAACTGTCCTTTAAACGAGAGACACCTTTATGAAACATCTTGGCGAAATATGTAAAATAGTGTTAAAAAAATAAAAACGCTCTTACCCCTGGTTCGACATCTATAGCAGTTTTTGACTGCAGATATATAATTCTTCCATCTCGTCTGTGCATGAGATTAACACCTTTTGCTCCTGGAGATCCACCTAAAATAAATTAATTTAATTGATTAAATAAAATGACTTGTTTTGCGATCTAAAGGGAGCATTCTTTTGCCAGAAAAGTAAGAAGGTTTAATAATTAATGTTTTTATAGGCATGTAAGAAAAAATCAGATTGAAGCATAAAAAATCATTAAATTGACTACAAAGCTTCAGTCTAACTAAGAAAAAAATGTAAAGAGATTATTTAAAAATTCGTATTTTGTGTTTTTTCACTTTTGAGTCTGAGAGGTGATGAAGCTGTCTTCTTCAATCATTTTGGCATGTCATATAGCCTTTTGTCATCATCTGATGATAAAGACCGCTCAAACTTGTAACACACTAAACTAATTGTAAATTACCAAGCTAAAATCTTTAAATGTTTACAAATGTTCAAAATTTAATGCTCTTTAAATGATTTAATAAGATTTTTTTGTACAATAAATAATTGGATGTAATAAAAAAAGTAAGCTATCTGAAGTTGTTATCTTTTTTACCCATGAAAATCTGATTATCCTCATAAAAATATTTTTCTGCTACAAGTATAAACATATGTAAATGCATAATAAGCATGTAAACGAATGTAAAAATTAAATTAAATTACCTTCCAAGCCATAGGGATGAAAAACACGCCTTTCTGTAAGTATAGATAATGAAATATGATTTCTAAAAAGTAGTATTCTATTGACTCCATCTCCGCCTCTGAAAGCTCCATTGCCACCAGAGTTTTCTCTCAGATTAAACGCTTCCAAAATAATCGGATAACGGTTTTCCAAAATCTCAGGGTCCGTGATTCGAGTGTTTGTCATGTGAGTGTGTACACCGCTCCGCCCGTTCCACGAAGGCCCCTGAAGAACGATTCAAAATAAATTCTAGCTTACAACACGTTTTTGTAAGACTTACAGCTCCTGCTCCGCCTGCTATTGTTTCATAATAGCCCCAAGATTTCTGTCCAAAAGTCACGTTATTCATGCAACCCTGGGATGCAGCGCAAGCCTTAAAAGCGTTCAAAATGACATCAACTATTCTCTGCGAAGTTTGAACGTTCCCTCCAACGACTGCTGCATCGTCTGATGGATCAAGAATAGAACCTTTTGGTAAAATCAATTTTATAGGTGCTAAGCAACCCTAGAATTAAAACTTTATATAGAAATTGACATACGTTTATTAATACAAAATAACAAAGCTTAATATTTTTAGTGTACAAGCACTAAAACTTTTGCAATATTATGCCTAAATATTAATGTAAAGAAGTTAAAAAGGTTAACCTGATTTAGAGGTACATCATGTCCAACCATAGAACGCAAGCAATAGATAAGTGCTGAACTAGATATTGCCTTTGGTGCATTACAGTTTCCCCAAACTTCATAACCAGAGCCCCTAAATTAAATTGAATTAATTAATAAAACAAACTTTTTAGTGATATTTATTTAAATTACATACGTAAAGTCAAATACAGCTGTTCCTTTATTAATGTCAATATTGACGGTTAAACAAATTCGCGAACCATCATCGAGGAAATCTTCTGAAAATAGTTTTGTCGTACCATGTTGTTCAAGTTGTCTTTTGCCAACTGTTTTTAACAAGTCTTGCACTGCTAATTCGGCGTTTTGTTGTATGTAATCCATATAAGATAGTACAACGTCTAACCCATAAGCATTGATTAATTCATTGACTAAAATAATTCCCTAAAGAAAAGAAATGCCTTAGAACAAATGTGACAGGACAGGGCATATAGAACATCTTGAACCTTCTGATTAGCTGCAATTTGCGCTTGGAGGTCTGCAATGTTATCATGGAGATTCCGTGTTCCTGATGAGCCTGGCCTTTTGGCCGGCTTCATAAGCTCTTCCTCGAGCTCTTTTACATGGAAGTGGCCATCACGAACAAGAAAAAAACTCTTGAAAGAAGCGCCTTCTTCTAAAATGTGTTTCGAGTGAGGTGGCATCGAACCAGGAGTGATACCACCAATATCGGCATGATGGCCTCGACAGGCGACAAAGAAAACAGGTCTTTTAACATTCCTATCAAAGTTTTTTTTTTAAATATTAAATTAAACATTCTAATAAAATCATAATAACGTACTTGTAAAACACAGGTGTTATAACTGTAAGATCAGGCAAGTGAGATCCTCCTGCCTTTGGGTGGTTTGATAAAATTACATCTCCCTCTTTTAAAGAATTACCGAGTAGTTTTAACTAAAATTATGTATTTTTATACTTTCACATTCTAGTTTAAAAAAAGTAAAGTTAAGGATTAAAAAAAGCTAATTGCTTTTATTAATTTATTTACTTTGTAACAATGGAATTTCAACTACAGAGTTATATGAAACCTCGAGGATTTTGAAAAAAAAAAAAAAACTATTTGCAAGTATATCAGGTTCAAGTGCAGAGCCGCTGGATTTGAACCAGGGACCTTTACCTTACAGTGATGAGCACCATGTCACATCTAAACCGTTGTAGCCACCAGCTTTTAAAAAGTTAAGTAAATTAACTATGTGGTCTCTCAAGGGAATTTTTTTAAAATTAAGGGAATTTTAAAATTAAATTAGTTTTTCATAGTAGTAAATAATATAAAATCAACTTTAGTTTGCTCTCTATGACTAATGCCTAACCAGTAAAGACAAAACAATAAAAATTATATTTAAAATAAAATTCAAATATGTGAGTTTCTAGCAATCTGGAGTGAACTGAGAGTAATCAGTAACATGTTAAGTGGCAAAACTAAGTCTTTCTACTTTCATAAAACATTTTAATTATTATTTAAATAATTTTTGATAAAGATTTGAAATATTTATTTGTAAAAACAAAACTGATAATCAAAATTCCAAAGAACATGAAAAATATGGGAATTTTATTTTTTACCTGAAATTGAACAGTGTCTTGCATTGATCCCAAATGAACTGGTATGTGTGGAGCATTGGAAACCAATCCACCGTCAGGTCCAAATAAAGCACAGGAAAAGTCCAGTCTTTCTTTGATGTTAGTAGATATTGCTGTTCTCTGCAAAACCCTAAAGGAAAAAATCTCTAAAATTTTATAATAACTTAAATAAAGATAATTAAAGCAAACCTTCCCATCTGTTCGGCAATGCTCATAAATCTATGTGAAAAAATGCTCAGCTGAATTGCATTGAGCTCTTGGCCTACTTTTTTTTTTCCGAGTTTTTCTATTTTGACGATTATATCACCCGTCTCTGTGATTGTAGCTTCACAATGCGGTTCAATCAAAATGGTGCTCAACTCGTCCATAATCAACGCAGGCCCTTTAATTTTATGGCCATAAATTAGAAATTGTAAAGTAAATACATCTGTGTTCAAATAACCGAACGTTTCAAAATACACCTTTACAACCTAAAATTAAAATCTATAATCAATAAACAAAAAAACTACTTTAAAACAGTTTATTTGCCTTCTGGGGGTCAATACTTTATAAAACAGTACAACGAACTTCACACGTACATTTTCAGGGATACATTTTCCTTTAGAAGGTTTCATAACGCTTTCTTTTCTGGGCTTAGATAAGCCCACACCTCTGACTCGTATGTCATCAACAAGAATGTTTCTATCAGGGATGACGAAGCCAAATTCTGCTTTATACCTATAAACATTCTATATGAATATCTTTTGTGGTATGAGGGTAAGACTGGAAATATAAAACCTTGTTAAGAATGTAGTTTCAAAACTTTCCATGTTGTCGGACCAGTTATTGTTTTTGGATGAGCACATCAGACTCCCGTCAGTACCTTCGTAACGCAAATTCAAAAAATGTTGGCACTGAATGTTATCAGGCAAAAATCCCTGAACTTTAAGCTCTTTAACACACTGGTTCTCCAGTTTCTTAAGTTGTTCAACAATCGCTGGATAGCTATCTTAAATTTTAACAATGATAAGTGCATAGTTTAATTTGTACTTTACCAAAAAGTGATTAAGTGACAATTACTTTTTTTTAAGATGTACGTCGAAGGTTTTTGCTCTTCATGAACAACATCAGCGTATGCGATACCATAAGCGGAAAGTATACCGGCATACTTGTGCATAAAAACTTCTGTTATCCCAAGATCCCTTGCAATTGCACACGCGTGTTGACCTCCTGCGCCTCCGAAACAAGTCAACACATGATCTCTCGTGTCAAAGCCTTTTCCCTGCGAGAAATTAAATCAATTTTGAAAAAAAAATCACAAAAGAAAAAAATCAACTACCTGAGTTAAAGCTCTTATGGGTCGACACATGCTTTCATTAGCAACTTTAATAAATCCCATAGCCACTTCTTCAACTGATAATTTATTCTTTTCCCCTTCGGAAGACAAGAAAGAATTAATCTGAAATAAGTTCTTATCTTTGTAATTACTCTATCTAAATTAATATTATTATACTTATAAACTCAATTAATTTTAAATATAGTTTCAAAAATATTATATTAATCGATATTCCAATTTGCAAATAATTAGGTTTATAGATGTTGAAAATAATTATTAATAATATAATTTTTTGTTGAATTCACGAGGAGCGGTCAAGAATGAGGTAATTTTTTATTAGAAGAGAAGAATGTTTTTCATTTTTTTATTGACGTTTCGACCTTTATTCGGGTCATCTTCAGGGTATAAAGTATGGTGCTATTCTTGTGGTGTCATATTGGTGTTGTGTGAAATTGTTGTTAAACAAAAGCTATAACTGCTATAAAGCTGACTGTATTTACTTTTTTTTAGTTTGTGAGTGTGCAATATTTGTGCTATATTTATTTTTTACAAGCATTATATTTTAAATTAGCATAAGTATGAAAGAAGTGGCAACGTGTACATTTTCTGGACAATAGTGTAAAACCATAAATAATAAAAAAGCATGAATATGAAACAAATTTGTTGAAATGCCACACAACAAATAAAAAATTTGAATCTTCTAAATTGGCATAATTGCCAAAAAACTTACACTATATTATTACATTTGCAAACAATAATTACATTATTAATACAGCTTAATAGTATGATTTTTTATGGAAACTACCTCTTCTTTTAATTGTTCAAATTGTTCTAAGGCAGCTTCTTTATCAATTGGTTCCTTTTCATCAGGTCCAAATATTTTTGGAAAATATTCCGGCAGCAAACGCCCCAGAACTAGATTTGCATCCGTGACTGTCAGATATCCTCCTTTTCTATAACAGACAGGCCCAGGGTGAGCACCAGCACTTTCAGGACCCACTACAAAAAGACCAGAGCGAAAGAAAAGCCTAGAACCACCCCCAGCGGCCACGGTGTTTATATCCAGCTGTAAAAACACATTTTAATAAATAAAAGCTACATACTTGGCTTAAATTTACCTGAGGGGCCTGAAGTGTAACTCCAGCAACAGTAGACTCAAAAATGTGTTCGTATTCTCCTGCAAAACGACTCACATCAGTCGAAGTACCGCCCATATCAAAACCAATTATTGGTTTTGATCCCGGTGTGGTTTGAGCATAACCAACTACGCCACCGGCAGGACCCGACAAAACTGCCCTAGATCCATTGAACCTGAAAGAACACTTATTATTATTAGATTTACCTTTCCCTTTATCATCTACTCACAATGTCATCGGTGTTAATCCACCATCACTTTGCATAAAAAGTACATTTACATTTTTTAGATCATCTTTAAAGCCAGAAGCAAAACTCTTTACATATTTCTTAATATGAGGTGTCAAATAAGCATCAGCACAAGCTGTATAACCTCTGTTAACTATTTTAACCATAGGCATGACTTGATGCGACAATGATATATTTGTAAAGCCCAAATTCTCTGCTATTTTTCCAATTTGTAGTTCATGATCATGCCACCTTAAAAGTATTTAAATAAATTCAATGTTTTTAAATAGCGTTGATTAAAAAAAATTAATATACATGTATGAATGCATTAATACAACTGCGATGCTTTTGATCCCTTTGTCAAGCAACTTTTTTAAATCCGTTGTCACCTCTGTCTCATTGAGGTGCTGTTTAATTAAATATCTTTCACCTGATACACTTTTTACAAGGTCCCATGCTTTTGCATCAGGTAGCAAACATCTTTCCTTCATTTCTGGTACAATCCTACAGTTGACCTCTACCACTTCTTCATATAAAACTTCAGGCATAAGGATTTTCTATAATATTATTTCTTTTGTATAGATTTCAACGAGTTTAAAAAACAAACAAAAATGTAAGCATTTACCAAGTCAAATATTTTAGGTCGTGCCTGATTCCCAATGTAGAGCAAGTCTCGAAATCCTTTGGTAATAACAAGTGCCATCTTTTCGCCTTTTCTTTCCAACAGAGCGTTGGTAGCTACCGTTGTGCCCATTCGTATCCATTCTATATTGTCACAGCTTATTTTTTCACTCTTTGAAATATTTTTCCCAGTTATCTGAAAAAATAAAATACCAACACAAATATCAAATACAACCAGTACCTCATATGAATAAGTTTGACTATTAATTCACACTTTAACTTAAAAATAAAAGTTTTGGCCTGTAAAATTTGTACATTTTCCAACGTTTCCCAGAAATAACTTAAAGATAACCATTATTCAATGGAATTTCTTTTATAGGCCCTAGCTTAAATAATACAAGGGTTCAAAGGTTAAAAATAAAAGGCAGACATTTTTAATGCAAGCTATAATTTCAAATTTTAATTTTAACCCCCCCCCTCCAGGTGACGAAAAATTGTTTAAAAAAAATTTCTTATGTATTAATTAATAACAAATTTGTACAATAATATTAATTACAAAATGATAAAGATAATAAAGAAAACTGTGTTAATACTTCAGAGAATTATAAATAATTTTATAGATATTATGTTTCAACGTCAAAATGTCATATCTAAAGTAATATGAATTTGCATAAAATGCCGAAGACTGTCATTAGAAATCATTAAATCAGAGTCAGTTTACTCTTGTGTTTAATAAATTATAAGGTAACAATCAATGATTTGTTTCTTCTTTGTCTTGATTCTTTGCCATATGTAATAAAATTGAGCAATCTACATGTTATATTTGTCTCCATAAAAATTAGTTTACAGACTGAAGATGGTAAAATGCTGAAAAGCCACTGGTAGACAAAATCAGGTATATTATAAGCAGAGATGGTGGTGGTATCCAAATAATTCAGTTTACTTTCATGAATATTAGACTCAGTGGTAGGCTTTTTGAGCATTTTAAGTAGTCATGAGTAAAAATTATAATGAAATGCCAAAATGCATCTGGCAGAAAGAATTGGCAAAGGAGATCAAGCTGTCCAAATCATAAAGTCTTTCTGTCCTGAAAATGAGCTTCAGTGGTGGGTTTGTTTGGCATTTTCAATAGTTAGTCTGTATGAAGTAATTAAAAAGGCAAAACCTGCAACATAGAGGAGGCAGTAGTTGTTAATTTGCTGGGGCGTAAGATAGCTCTTGGAAATTTATTCGAGAATGACAAAATTATCTGACAAGGTAGGCCAATTAAGCTGATCAGAACTTATCTAGCAACATTTCTTAGTATAATATTTCAACACAATACATTACAATTTTAAGAATCTGTAGTTTTGTAATTTTTGGTTAAAAATTAAGCAAGTTCTATAAATTGATAATCTTTGGTCAATATGCACCAATGTTTCCAATTAGCCATGGTCATTATATCTACTAATATTAAAAATTGTACTTTTCAAAAGTTGTTGACTAATTGTATTATTTTCTTTTTGATCAACGCTTTTAAAAACTGTGCTTTCCTCCTGTGGTCTGCAAGGTAATGAATCTGCAATTTGAACCTTACTGATCATTCTGCCAATCCTCATTGTATTGGTATTTCGCCATCTTCAGTTGGTTTTTTATGTTGTTTGTTGTGAGGGGTGAAGTAAAACCGATGGTGTTTCGGTAGAGTAAAAATCACTGCAAAAACAATAAGTCATGTGGCACATTTGAGACATTTGGTGAGATGTCATAAGATCTTGCTAATGAGCCCGTAATTTCAAACTCACAAGCAATTTTAGTCTGCCTATCTTTACTGTTTTGGTTTGTTTGTCTCATTTAGCCATCTTCAGTGCAAAAGTGATGGTGATCCAATGGGGTTTTGTTGAAGACTACGAAAATAAGTGGAGCAAGAAGGACTTGACACCGAGCAAGTCAAAATCATCGGTAATGACCAAATTACAGATTGACCTTTAAAGCCTTTGATTGCTAAGTAAAGAATCTGAACTTTGAACCGTACAGTTTATTTTGGCATGAGTATCTTTACTGCTTTGGTCTGTCGGGCATGTTTTGACTTCTCACCATCTTCAGTGCTGGTTCTGTTAAATTGATGTTGACAAATCCTTACCAAGAACGACAAAATTTAAAAATGCGGACATCTTTTTTAAGAAATACATTGGTGACAACATATTTAACACTGAAGATGGCAAAAATTTGTAACAGATAATGTAGATAGTCCAAAATGATTTGAAATGCCCAAAATTCAAATTCCCAAAGAGCAAATATAACAATTCTAAGAACAGTGCAATTTTTAAATAATTGTAATTCAAAAATACAATTGTGTGTAGGTACTTGTTTATCAAGGGTTTCTGCACTTTGTCAAAAGAGAAATTTTAAACAACTATTAATGAGTGTATAAATGTTTTGGTAAACTTGGTGATAGGAAAAGAATTTGCAATTAAATTGTTAGACCATATCAAATCAGTAGATCAACCGTGAAGGTTGGCAGACCTAGGGAGATCAATACTGTTTTTTAAAAATTATAAAAGTCCTGCGTAAGGCTTATATCTAGGCTTTGGTTTATAAAGAGCAATGCTACATTTTCATAGCATTTGATAGCTTAAGTAATGACTGAAATTTGAACTAAACGGATTAATTTTGCCTGACTATCTTTACTGATTTGTCCTGTCAGCCATGTTTTGACTTCACACTATCTCTGAGCTGGTTTTGTCAAGAATGTAAAACAGTAAACTTGGTGATAAGAAAAGAATTTCCAATTAAATCGTTAGACTATGTCAAATCAGCAAATCAACCCTAGCAGACCTAGGGAGATCAAAATTGATCTCAATTCTGTCAAAACGTAAAAAAAAGAAAAAATTATATAAAAGTTCTGCGTAAGACTTATATCTAGGTTTTGGTTTATAAAGTGCAATGCTACCTCTTCAATGATGCGCCTGATGCCTTCACGAGGTGCATCCTCATAGTTGGCCGGGTCGACTGAGAGCAGCTTGAGAGTCTTGACATCTCCGTTCGGACACTGGGCATACACATCCGTAAAGGTGCCTCCCCTGTCGATCGCAAACCTGAATTTTCCGTTCATTTCCAAGTCGAATCGTGTTAAATTGAAGAATAAGAAAATTGATAACAGCCTCTGATATCCTTTTTATCTTATCTTTGAAATTTGTTCTGCAAACGTGATTCCGGCCCCAACCCGTCGGTCTGACAAGTGAGATGAAAATAGATGTTACTGAGATTCTGTTTGACAGTCGGGTGATAGCGTTTAGTCCCTTATCAACAGCTGGAGGCGGAAACTCCTTCTGCGGTTATCGTAACCTCCCGGTTTAATAATAAAGAATTTTTTTCGCGCAGCAACAAAATACAAGGCGCAGTTTTTTCTCACAGTTCTGTTTATATTCGTCCGATTTTGTATAAATGAGCTTAATAGCAAATGGTGTAAAATGGTAGAGCCGATATTCGATTATCAATTTAGGCTGATCCTGATTGGAAATAGCACGGTTGGAAAGAGTTCTCTTTTGAAATACTTCACCGACGGAAAATTCGCCGAGGTCTGTATATACAATTTTACTCCTAATTGCTTTATTCTTGGACCTTTCCCCACTCGTTTTGACCTCTACTTAATTTACTATAAAATTTTAACATAGACAATTTTAAACGTTGACAAACAATAACAGAATTGTTCAAAAAATAAGAATCTCCCAGTTAGTCAACATTTCCACCATAACTTCATAATTTTCCGAACAAATAAAGAACCCTGTCGTAATATAAATTGTTGTCGAGCATTCCGACCGAATCACAAATTCCAAAAAAGACTCTTACAAACATTAAACAAAACGAGTCGCATTTTCCTAAATAACAAATAGCTACTATTAAATCTAAAGTTTAAAAACATCACAACAAATTTTGTTACGTTGTGTAATTAATCCTGAAAGGTATTATCGCTGTTATAAAAATTAAACATTCTGTAATAAAAAAATGATAATTTTGGGTCAATATGCACGACTATTTCCAATATTATACATGGTCAATTATACTTAGCAATGTTAAAACCTTTTTAATTAACTTATTTTAAAGCATTTCACATTTTAGCCTTGATTTCCATTTTTGATACGTATGATTAATTTGAGCAGTTGAATGAGTCATGACTTCTTCATGAGGGTTCAACAATGAGATCCATATGCCCTATGACTCAGCATTATTAGTTGTTACATAACAAAAACATTAAAACTCGATAAATTAAAACATAAATTTGTACTGTAATAAAATAGAAACTAAGGCGCAGATCACATTCTGATATCACAACCACTTGATAACAACAATAACAAAATTGTTCATAAAGTACAGTAAATTATAGCACTATAAATTCTATAATAAAATGCCTTTTTCTTTATATGTACCATGGTTTTCGATTAGAAATGGTCATTATATTTAAATTTCCAATTTTTATAAGAGGGTTGAGAAGAAAAATTAGTGTCACAAGCGGGATTTGAACTTATGACCTTCAGTCTAATAATTACAGATAATTAATTAAATAATTGTATTTAAAAGTGTTAGAAGTTGTACTTTTCAAAAGCTTGGTCTCATTGTTTTTCAAATACTTACAAATATTTGTAAAACTCAGTTAAAACATGAATACCAGTTTTATTTGAACTAAGAATAGAAAATATTTTGACATCGACAAATTTAATGTTGTCATATAATAACAAAATTGTTCGAATGGTCATTTAGTCCACCTATCCTCACTGTTTTTGTTCTGTTCTGCCAGACTTATTTAGGTACTTCTCCAATTTCAGAGCTAGTTCTGTCAAATCGATTTATACAAATACATAAAAAGTATGAAATACTGTTTACAACAGATCCTTGCTGATTTCTTATTGACTGACCAATCCAACATAGAAAGGTCAACCAAGCTATAAGATCAAATTACAGATTTTAAAAATTTAGTCTTGATTTTGGATGTGTATGATTAATTTGAACAGTAAGGTTGGCTGTTGAATGAGTTATGGACTTTATAGGGGTTCAACAATGATCAGAAAAAAAACGCAAATTTCTTTTAATTATAACATAAATACCATGCTTTAATTAAAATGAAGGGCACAGATCGCATTTTGGCATTGATGGCCAGTTTAACATTTACAAATAACAATTCTTCCATCCTCATTTTTTCTTTTGTTTTATAATCAGCGTTGGTGTTGAATTCTTAAAAAACAAATATGTTTCTAACTCCAAATAGCCCTGAAGCAGGATGAAATCCTTAGTCCAAAAAAATAAATAAATCGCAAGATTGATGTATTTTAGGAGTTCCACATTTTTAGACCAACTCTGGTTATTCTGATGATTCAGACAAAAACACAAATCACCAGCAGAATTAATGAAATTGATTAATTTATAATTTTCTACAAAATAAGCGGATATTAATAACTTTGGCTAATATGAATCGCATTTTGATTTATACCATTTCAAAATTTGATTTCCTCAATTTTGGTTGCGTGTGATCAAGATTGACTGTTCAATGAGTCATGAGGCATGAACAATGGAAGCCATATGTTCTGTGACTCAGCATGTTGTTGTTGTTTCAGGGAAAAAATGTTTGTAAGTACCTATTCGTTTGAACTCAAATACACCTGTCGTACTATGGAAGTTCAAATATGATATCAAAATCCAACCGAGCTTCAAATTGATTAATTCTCAATCTTCGTTGCAGAATTGATGTTGAATATATGCCAAAGATAGCTTTATTGACTGGGTCCATATGATCTTTGACCCAGCATATTGATGTAGTTTAAAGAAAAGAAACATATTTATATCAAAACTCCAGTAGAGCTAGCTTAAAATGAGATAATTAAAGTAGACAGTATTAATCTCCAACTGATTGCTTCAAAATTAATCTGTAATGAAAATGAAAATCGGTAATCTTGTTCACAGTTCACAGGCAAAAAATTGATGTTTAATTCTGCACAATGGTTGTTTCATAAAAAGAAATGTATTTCGTAAATGAATTAAAACTTCAGTGTAACGATTATATTATTGGAGAACTGTCAAAATTCAACTGATTACCTCCAAATTTATCAATCAATTAATAACAGAGCCGACAAGGTTTAACTGCTGAGTGTGCTATTGTGTTTTTATTTGTAAGGTTTTAATTTTTAACTTCCATAGTTAAAATAATATCCTGAAATCTTTAGGTATTACATTGATGATGACAAGCTTCAGCACTGAGTCCAATTGTCACATGACTCAATTAATGATGTTGCTGTTTCTGACAAAGGAATTGAACATTCTCATTTTATAAATCATGTTAAATTATGAAAAATGGTGGACACGGTTAAAAAACTATCAATTCCAAATGATTACCTACAAAATTATTAAACATATTTTTACAGTTGTCTTAAAAATTAGGTTTTATAAATAAAACAATCTTAGGATTTCAATGATTTCTTGGCTAATTTACTCTAGTTTTTGCAATTATCTATTATCTAGTTGCTGACCAAACTAATTTAGATGATAAGCACAGAAAGGGAAAATGTGTTCCGTAGTGTAAACACTCTGGATATCAAGCTCATTGGCCCATCCTCAGCTGCCCTTACAAATCAATACAACCAAAATAAATAGATACTAATTAATTATTAAGTAAAAAATTAAAAGCTATTGATTAAAATTATTGACAAAAGTTATTTGTTGGGACTGTGCATAATTTTTCAATTTAAATAGATGTGACTGCACATAAACACACATACATTAATGTATATAGAGCACTTAAATGCCAATGAGCTCCAAATATCTAGAATAAATTAGATTACAGAATTAGAACTAGAAAATGTGGAACATACAATAATAAAAATTGTAAATAGTATATAAATTAATTTAATGATGTTTAAACATTTGTTTAATACTTATACTTTTTCACACATTTCAACATTTACATTTAGACCTAACTTTGATACTTAGACTTAATTATATGCAAATACAACGTTTAGTGACAACCTCATATGATGTACGACTCAGCATAACAATATTATTACAAAAAAAGTTTGTTTTATTGGTCCTAATAAATGGTTCTCGAGTGCAGTAAATTATATACAGAACAAAGGATTCCTTCCAAGGTTAATGATGCCCTCATATTTACAACAGTTTCACAATATTTCTTCTGAATTAATTACGCTAACTCGCTTTCAACACTTAAAGCCAAATGTACTTTGTCATTTACACAATTAACATCATAGATGTCGGTGAATAAAGGAAAAATTGTCAAAATAATTCACAGTCCAAATGCTGGAGATGGAAAGTACTTGAAATTTGGTTTGACCAAGAAATCAAGCAAGGACGGAAACATGAGATTGATCGGAGACAAGCTAATTTATTTATTTACATATATACCTACATACAGATCAAAGATCCTTTGACAAAGAATATAAATCACGAGGTTATAAACAATTTAAGTAGCATATAAACGAAATTGATAAAATAAGAAAAACATAACAACAACAAATATTAATAACAATTTAATTAATCCATATTTCCTTCGTGGTACCATATTAATTATTCCAATTAATTTTTTTTGTGTAAGGTTTTTGGTTGAGATGAAAAACCTTAGATAAAAAGAATAATTAATTGGATTAATAATGATAATAAACAATCAACTATTTATACTATATAATATCGTATATAATAGAACAATTATATTTTATATAATACAACTTTATTTATTTTTGTGTAATGTTTAGTGATTGTTAATTAATGTTTTTTTTAAAGATCGTGAGATGCAGTCTGGTGTGATGTAGGTTAGAAAAACATTTTCTTTATACAATGTTTCATCTTTATTGAGATCATCTTCAGGGCTGGGAATTATAAACGTTTAAATTGTACTTATAACATATGAGATTTATACAATGATGAATGAAATGAATTCCTCCATTATACACCACCTCTCATGGTTTACTGCTTGCATACATACATACATGTTTCTGTCATTCCTTGTACATTTAAGTGATAAAAACCAAATTTACTATCTTAACATCAGGTCGAAGCCAAGTTTTTAGTTAACACAATAAATCACAATTGATAATAGGTAGTACATCCAGTTCCACCACTAACATTCTGGTAAAACATTTTAAGAACAGGGGCATTTGATCCATTAAAAAAAAATTATTTGACAAAAGAGATAAATTGACTATTGTAGTCACAATTTGAATATATTGTATAGCAAGATTATGTTCTCCAGATGCTGTTCTTTCTTTTTTTATTTCTTACTTTTGCTCAGAAAACCCATGCTTTTGGTTTTGGGTGCAGTCTCAGGAAACTGAAAGATCAAATTTACCATTCTTTCGCTTTAAATTTAAGTTGTTGGGAATGAATTGTTATATTGCAGAGCTTTCCACTATTTTACAATTTGATAATATAAAATAAAAAGTTGTTTCTTTTGATCAACTTTTTATGGCCACTGTTTTGGTAATTCAACTCAAATGAAATTTATTTTAATTTTACCTTTCATAAAAGCTTTTAGCTTTCCCTCGAATTGGCCATAATGTGTATTCGTTTTGGATTAAAGAATCCCATTTTTTAAATATTATGTTAAAAGTATGAACTCCCAGACAAAATGACTTGAATTATCAATTAAAAGTATTCAAATTCTGAAAAAAAAAAAAAAATGACGAAAACTCAACAACAACAAAATGTCAATAGTTTTTAAAGATGTTTCTGATAAGACAAGAACACGTACAAACAAATTCCTGGAGTTTTATTTTTTTTTTAAATCACTGAAAAATTAAAAAAAATAATGTAAGAAAGTTAAGTATCAAAAGTTAACAAAAATTATAGATTAAAAGGCATCATGATTGACAGAGTAATGTGAATTGATCATAATTATTAAGAGGAAATCTCTAAATTAAACCCATGGCTCATTTTCAACCACACTATTATTCTAATATTTTAAATTTGTTTGTTTTAGATTTCTGATCCTACTGTCGGTGTGGACTTTTTTGCCAGACTCGTTGAAGTGAACAACGGTACAAGAATAAAATTACAATTATGGGACACAGCCGGGCAAGAAAAATTTCGGTAATTACTCTCTTATCTCCATTGCTGTCTTGTTCATTTAAGACTTAAATTATCATCACATCCTGAAAACAAAAACAATTACATAATAAAATTTCAAATTATTTATCAGGCAATACACTGCCAATTACTTTCTTTTCATAGACTGTTTATTTCATTAAAAAAGTTGTTTATTTCTATTGCAATTTTAAGCTGAAGGTATTATGTTTTCATATAATACTAAACTTTGATGACTAAACACCACACATATAATACAAAAGTTTAATTTTTATAAGTTTTAAGGGGTTCATTACTCATATTATATTTTAATAATAATTAAATTATATCTAGTATGCATTTTGAAATCTTGCATGTCGTGTGTTGTTTTCTTGGAATCATTTCAGTTTGTATTTATTGTAAATTAATTATTATTTTACTATTGTTATATTTAAAGATCCATCACCAAATCTTACTACCGCAATTCAGTGGGTGCCCTCCTTGTTTATGACATTTGCAATCGTTCGAGTTTTGAGAGCATCCCCCTTTGGATGATGGAGGCCAAGCGTCATATAGATCCCCATGAGCCCGTGTTTGCTCTGGTTGGTTGTAAATTAGATTTAGTGAAAGCAGGGATTGAGAGGGAAGTGTCAGAAGAGGAGGCTCAACGTTTTGCTCAAAAGCACGGAATTTTCTACGTTGAGACGTCGGCAAAGACAGGTCTAAATGTCGAAGAGGCGTTTAGGGCCGTGACCCAACAGGTCTACAACAGGATACAGTCTGGTGAATACAAAATCGAAGATGGCTGGGATGGGATCAAAACAGGCTATGCTCGCCCAAGCGGGATGGATTTTAATTTCATCGAAGCTGACACAGCAAAATCAACTTGTTGCTAAACTTTTTAAATGAATATCTATTTTTTATTTTTAAATATGTACTCAAATGTTGACTTTTTGTCATGTATTTACATACCCATGTTTTATCACTTTCTATTGTGAAAATTTATATTACAAATTTATAATTATGTTATCTTGCCAAGATTATATGGTACGTTAATTTATAAAATCTGACTTGATTAATCTAACATAAATTTTGGTTGACATTTCGTATATCAAAAAAATATCTTATATATATCATCACATCCCTTCTACAACTTAAAAAAATTCATTTTGTGATTCAAAAATTAAATGGGGTCTTATTTTTAGTTCTAATAACTGTACAGAAATGTACATACTTTTATTTTGTGATATTACATTAGTCGTGTATTTCTTTTTGGAAAGTTGTCTTTGATGTAAACCACAATTTTTTTTAAAGTATTTTCAGAATTGCAAAATGATTACCATTAAGAACGTAGAAGACTGATATTTAACGGCACAGTTACTCGGAATGTTTATATTTAAATAAGTAGCCGTAAAATAAAATGATCATATAATTATACTCAAATATTCAGTCATATGTAGAAAAAATTAGGTCTTAGGAAACATTAATGTCGTTAGAGCTGTAATATATATTTTTGTTTCTTTATATTTGTAAATTATTTAACAAAACAATGTCTGCCTATTTTCCTCGTTCATTTACTTTGAACATGGTATAGTCTTACCTTCTATTTATAAACATAAAATACATTTCTGTTTTATTATATCTAGCATTATTATTTTTTGTTATGAAATGTGAGAAAATAAACATGTTTGTGACAAATTTATTTTACCTATCCTTTTGTGGTATATGCACGTTGTTTAAGTTTTGTTGATCAAATATGTATTTTTAAGTTTACAAAAAAAAAGCAAAAGAGGGTATATTAATTTTTAATTTATTATTGTTAAAGATTAATGTTTTTACCTAACAAAGATATTTTTTGTTACAATTAAAAACTAAACAAAGATCAGAATAAGCATTTATTTAAATAAACAATTTCTTGGCACTGTATTCAACATCTTGAACCAAATATTTTAGAAAGGTCTCCTAAAAAAACATAAAAAAATATATTTTTAAATTTACACTGTAGCTATGTTATTAGTACCTTGATTTGTTTAACTGAGATAGCAGCTCAATTGTTTTTGAAGGTGGAGTAAACGAGTGAATTTTATTTCTAAGTGAACTGTAAAAATATAACATAGTTTATAAATTAAAGTAATGTTACTTTGCAATGCATTATTACCTATTTGAACTCAATGAATTAATTAAAGGTGTATGTGACGACTCTGAAGAGAAAGGAGAAGCATTTTTTACCCTAAAAAAATTAACAAATTTATTGACTCTTTTCAATGATAAACCTAAAATGAAAAATTATATTTGTATTTATTCGCCTTGAATTTCCAAACATGCTTCCCATATTCATCGATGAATATGGAGTAGCTTGAGACCTTGCGAAGTTTTGGCTCATTGTATTCAATGCCTCATCAGGTGAATCCTTAAAAATCATCTTTCTATATCATTTTTGTTTAAATAATTTGTTTTGACAGACTTACATGGAAACTTGTTTGTTGAAATGGAGATTTATAAGACGTAGAAGGATGGAAGGATTTGCTAGCATACCAACCTAATTTTCTGTCAAGGAAATAAAACAGAATTATCCAAATAATTATCATTTGATTTTATACCTATTCAACTCCTCGATGTGATTTTCCAAAGAAAAACATTTTTGTACCAGAGATGCGTTCTTTTTTTCTAGACTGTAGTATTTCATCTCTAGATCTTTAAATATAGGTTTGGCCCTCGAATATTTTTGTGCCTGAGTTTAAATAGTTATGGTTATGATGACATGGTTTAAATAAATCGTTCACAACACATACATTAATTTTGTAATAAGACATGAGCTTGAAGCGTTGTGTATTTTGATAATCTAACACCTTCAAAAATGTAGAAGCTTTTTCGTTTGCATCAGAAAATAATTCTTTTATTTCATTAGGCATCTAGAACTCACATTTCAATAGAAAGAGGAATTTTTCATCATAACAGAATTTTTCTACAAACCTCTGAATTGCATAGAATCACTTTACATGGAGTTGCGCATCTCCTACACATGGGCTGTTCTATTAAAAACAGAAAGTTCAATCTTCTCATGAAATTAGGTTTTTTTAACAACTACCTTTGTTAAAACACTGTTCACAGATTACATGGCAGCAATTTGTAACGAAAAATTTGCGATTACTCTCTTGAGATGGTCTTGTGAAGCACGAAGTACAGAAAACCCAAAACATTTTGAATCTTCCCAATTATTGGAAGCTTAATGTAAGAAATACAGACTGATTCTGATTATTATTTTAAAAAATAGGACTACTACAAATTATAGAAAAATAAGACAATTTACAAATACAAAATTTAAATTTTCATTTCTTATGAAAACATGGCTTTCAATTTCAATTTATTAGTATGCTTAGTAAACAGGAAAATTTTGTTTGGTCCGATATAGCGGTGGGATGTTGTGGGCCTCAGCTTTAATACTCTTTTTAGGAGGTTGATGATGTCATATCATGATAAAACTTTTATACATCATCAACCTCCTAAACACAGTATTTTGTTTGGTTTTAAATATTTTAAAAATTATCCATATTAAAAAATATTTATGAGAGAACTAATACAGAATTAAAAACAAATGGATGATCTAGCTTTTAGTCTACCTATGAATATCTTGCTAATGTATTTGTATAATTGAATATATCTTAATGTAAATTATACCAGCCTTAATATTATAATTGTATATAAAAAATATGGGATAAGTCAAATTAAAAAACACTGTTCCTTCGTCAAGCTTTTGAGAAATATATTCCCTGCACCAGGACTTTGAAACTATTAATGATTTACTCAATTAACAAATGCAAACGACAAACATTAATTTATCAGTTTAGCTTAGTAATATTGCCAATGTAGAATTACCTGTGGTAGACCTCATTCACTCTAATAATCTAAACTGAAACATTTATTATGGTTGAAGAGGTTGGTTGAACTTTTAATATTGTAAGTAGATGTTTATTTTTGTTAACTGTGTAAATAATTATAAATAGCTTCAAAGTCCTGATGAAGGGGATATATTCCTCAAAATCTTGATGAAGGAAGTTAGTGCTTTTATTATTTTCTGAAGTTGGGATGATCAGTCAGGTGTAAAATAAAATAAAAACTTTTAAGTTTGTTGACATGCCATTAGCTTTAGACTTATTGAGATTTTCAGTCAAGTTTACAAAATTATACTAGAATGTTGAGACATGTTTTGCCAGAACTCCATTGTATTATTTTTAGAAACTTAATACAGATGTAGTACTAATTATCAATATAATATTATAATTAGTTAAATAAAGGATTGGTGGACTGCAGACTAGACTACTATGATATTCCAATGCATGTCTAAATTGGTATTATTGAAAACCAACACTACACATGCTGGACCGGTACTGGGTCATTTATTAGGTTTGTCTTCACTTGCAGGTTCAGCATGAGTCCTCTGACGCGCAGACCAACACAACAGTAAGGCCTGGTTCACATGGAGTCGATCGGTATCAATAGGATGGAGGTAATGCAAGGACAGACCCCGTCATTCAGACAGAAAGACTGGAAGGCGACCAGAATGAGTGATTTTTAGTCGATTGGGATGCTCGGTCCTGTGATAATCTTTCTGTATGATGTTGGTTCACACTGTTCATTTTGTATCGAGTAGATCGCTCCATCCAACTCTTGTCATTTACATTTCATACGCCTCTGTTACTTTTAAGAAATGGATTTAAGTGGAATTTTTTATAATGACATGAATTTTAATTCAAATATATCCCACATAATAATTGCAGGACTTGTTTTAATCTTTCCGTAGTTCTTTATAAAGAAGGGCACAGCTGCCTCTTGTGTCAAGTTCCCTATTAATTGTATGAACCCGCATTGCTCTATTTGTACTAGTTTTTCGCCTAATTGTAGGTTGTAGCTACCAGAGAGCCTCAGCTTCTAACGCGTCCAATATAAAAATATGGCAGAATCAATATCTGGACATTTAAACCGATTGGGAGAGGGTCAAGAAGAGAGGAGATGATTGAATCTAGCCTCCAGGAGAGTTGCCTGGATACTCTTTATATCTAATCCTTCGCTCCTACCTTACAGGGCAATTCTTTCAAGTTTGCCAAGGGTCGGACTATTCCAATAACTGTCCTGTAAGCGTAGGAGTGCTGCAGGGTAGTGTGCTCGGACCACTCCTGTAACAGCTTGTGACACCCCAACTACACCCTCTATCCTCCTTATATCCTTTGCAAATCACACAACTGTGCTTTCCTCTGATCCCTCACCTCGGAAGAGCACGGACACATGTCCATCGAATAGCCGAATGGAGCAAACTTTGGAGGCTAAAAATTTATGAAAACAACGCACCCCTGTTACATTTACCCTCAGAAGCAAAACCCTTCACACAATATTCCTCAACAACACTATAATCCCTAAAATAAACTGTGCATCTACCTTGGGTTCTATCTTGACACAACCGTAACCTGGAACCAACACATACAAATAAAAAGATAGGGATTGAAAAGACACTTATGACTTTTCTATAGATGGAAATCTAACATGACGACAAAAAAAAAAACTGACACTACAAAACGTTGCTGAAACTGATCTGGTCATACAGAATAGAACTGTGGGGCACCTCTAAACCTACTAATATACAACGAATTCAATCATTCCACTCCAATGTCCTCAGAATCATAATCAATGCTCCCTACTATATCTCCGATACCACCCTCCACAATGACCTTAAAATACCCTTTGTTAATAAATTAATCCCCATCAAATTTTCCACATCCCATGAAAAATTATCCTCACAACTATCATTAGCTCGATTCATGTCCAACCCATCGACCCATGTATAACCCAGTAAGGCGATTGAAGCGGAGATGGCCTGGGACCTCCTTATAAATAGTTCATAAATAATATTCAGAAAGTTGGGAGAGCAACAACGGTAGCTGGCTCCTCTTCAAATATATGCAAATGATAAATATTGTATCTCATATAATGTTTACATGTTTATATTTGTACAGATGGTAAAAAAATAATATATTTGTATCTCATATGCGACTTTCATACCAATCTTCCCCTTGTGAAAAAGACCTAAGTATGCAGTGAAGAATCTAATATTAATATTGGTAATAAGTATTCTTCACTTTACCAAAAGATACAATCTTGTAAATAAGATGTCTGTAATGCCAGGACTTATTAATTTTTTTATTTTTAATTGAAAGTGGTCTGTGTGTTAAACTATACTACCTGAAGAGTAAAATTGTATGTTTTATTTTTATAAATTGGGAAAGCAGTTGAATTACAACTCTTTCTCATGTAGAAAACAATTGAAAATCTGACAACAAAGCTACCTGGATCCCAGCTGTGGCCGTTACGGTTTGAAATATTGAACCTTACCAACAGCCTAGAGTGAAATCTTTTTGGTCAAGTTTCACACGGGAAATATTTATAAAATGGTAAGTATTAGTGATTCGGCATTATTTTTTATTTTATTTGATAAAAGTCAGTGGAATAGAGTGGTATCGAAATTCAAATTGAATTTCCCACCGTTTCGGCCGCCTCGACCGATCGAAGCCTGAGAAAGTCGGCGAGCTTTTTAAAGCTTTTTTGTTTAATTATTTTCGAAAAAAAGAAAAGGAAAAAAATTAACAGAGTGGAAACGGGCCGATTTTAAATATTTTCCGACTGTACAACTTGACAATTTTCACCGGTCAGCTATCCGCTATACAGCCGACATGGGTCCGCACCGTCGCACCACTCCTACTCCGCAGTTGTTTATGGCATTCGCATTCCTACATTGGGGAGGAAGTTGTTGAAAAGCCGCTTTTTATTCATCTGGCCGGCCTTTCCACTTTTTACCATTAAAAACGATGGTTTTTTAGCCTTTTTGGCAGTTTTAACGCCTTATCGCCAGTTTTTAGCAGCGGGTTCGTGTTGTTGAATTGTCCACCGCTCTGTTTTTCCCGACTCAGCAAAGATGATGTACACGGTAAGTGGCCACTTTCGCATCTTCTCTAAACCTGTTTTTTTTAAATCTATTTGAAGTCAAATTCTAAATTTTCTTATAAAGAAAACTTTATTTAAACTGTTAAATAAATAAACTAAGATAAACAAAAAAGTCTGCCCGGAATGTGCTAGTGTTCCTTCAAGTGTTAAGGTTATATTCCATAACTGTTGAAATTATTTTTTTTATTTAAAACGTTTCCACATTGGCTTAATTAATAATGCACGAATTTCATATTGCACGTTTAAAATAATACTTTTTATACATTTAACAACATATTTACCACGAGGCTTAAACGAATCCGTTCGATCTGGAGTCCAAAATCCATAAAAAACCATAAAGAAACCACTAGAAAATTGGCACGCTGTTAAGGTTTCGAAGGCAGGATGGAAAAGCATTTGATTTTAGGCGTATCTAAATAGCGCTGCAACGCTCATATTAAATTAACCAAAACTTTATTAAAGTTGGATAATCAAAACTTTGACCGTAATTTAAACGTCTTCTGGTCCTGATCCGCCTTTTCTTGCTTTTAATTTCAATTATATTTAAGCTTGATTTAGAAAATCCAAAGGCATAATAATAATGTGCATACAGTAGGGCCACATAATCCAAACAATTGGAGAAAGTGGTTGTTTGGATTATTGAATCATTCGGATTACCTATAGATTTTAATTAATACAGCAATTATATATTGCACATTTTATTGATCCATAATTATAATTAGTACGTACAAACATACATAACATATTGTAACTGCAAGTGTCCAAATGCTGATCAAAAGCTCTTATGCGTGTCAGCAACATGATATCGTCACTGTTCTTTACGTCTTTCTCAGCTCTACTAATGTCTGTGTTTTTTTTTTAAGAGAGCTTTTAACAGCTTTCAGCAGCAGATATTGGAAGGAGAAATTTATCATCGACTTCTTCCACTTCTGTTTCTCATTAGTAGTAGCATGCTAGATTTCTATCAGTTTAAATTACTTGATTGTTTTTTCTTCATCACAACCACTCGTTGTTGAACCTCGTTAGTCGTGTTATCTTAGGCCAGCTGAATGGCAGGTGGGCTAAGGATAATTAATTTTCGTTGATGGAGGGGTATCATTAACAGCAACCAACTTCGGACGAACGAGGGGGCGACCAGGTTGGTGGGTCATGGATTTGGACCAAACCTTTGTAGGTAATTCTACATTCCAAAATATCAGACATGAATATGCCGTTTCTTGTAAATAGACCCTGGGTTTTATCCAAAATAGTTTTTGAGAGTTGACATTTTCGGTTTTTTAATATTTGTATTTTGCCTTTCAACTTGCTCAAATTAACCGTCTTCTTTTAAATGATCTGTTTGATATAAAAATCCTTTTGGCTGTTTTTGAGCTGTTTCAATTATTGGAAATAATTATTGGAAAAATTTTAGGGGTAGAATATGTAGGGGTCTGTAGTGGTGCTAAAACAAAATTTCATATTAGTTTCATAAAAACAAGACTAGTTTACTTGAAAAATGTAGTTTGTAGAAATTGTTTGGTTCTAAACTTTTTTTTCAATCTGCATAAAAAATACTGTAAAATTACATGTTCACATAGTAGATTTGAGCAGTAGTAGAAAGACAACATAAAAATGTTTAAAAAATGAAAATTTTCAACTAAAAAAAAAGTGAAACCCAGGACCTATTCCCAAGAAGTGGTGTATATATACCCAATATTTTGGAGTGAAATGCTACATACATATGTGTCTAATTATGTCATTCCAGATTAATGTTCACAATGATTGGTGAATAATTAAGATTAAAAATAAACGATTGAAATAAGCAAAACATGCATGACCATTCTTGATTATATCGGTATATAAAAACTAGTATACAAAATGAATATGAAGACAGAACAAACAAACTCAAAACAAGCAAAACAAACGTTATAACTTATTTTTAGACAATTTACATTAATTATGAATTGATGCTGTTATAGCAGTACCTGAGCTTCATTATACCCAAACAGGGCATACAGTTGTCCTACACTTTTTTTATTTTCACTATTCCACACCTCATGTAAACAGTGCTTAACATCGGTGTTCCACAGACCGCCATGTTATAACTTAAAAAAAGTTTGCCCCAAATCCGTGACCCACCAACCGTCGTCTTCTTATAAAATTTTTCCAAGATATTGAATCAAACATGATGAGACAGATGTCCAAAAATTTGCTAAGTTGAAAAAGAAATCTTTCAAATTAATTTTCTTTAAAGCTGCCACCAGATCACCTCTGCTTTGTTTGTCCACAAAAATGTAATAGCACAATCTTCTTAGTGTGGAATTTGTGTATATTCTTCAAAATGGCATATTCATTCATTTAAAATGACCAACCTACAGGTTTTTCAACTATGCAGACCTCAACAGGGAAACTCAAATATTTTATTCTGTTGTTTAATAGTTTCAAATCATTTTAGTCTGCCTATTCTTCTGTGTTAATCTGTCAGATGTCACTACTCTTAAGGGTCAGAATGAGAAGCTATAATACATCTTGTCAGATTAAAACAGCAAGGATAACCAGAATGAAATGATCAGCACTACATTTTTTTCACTGTACCCACTTCAAAAGTTAAACTCTTATATAATATTTTATTCCCATGTTTGGTAGCTTCCGATTGATTTGGTCTGACTATCCTCACTGTTGTTTTAAGCTGGTTTCCATTGCGTGAAAAATCACTCTTGCAATTAAATGTGAGGATCCTCAAGGCACACCAACTGCTGCATCAGCGTTTGCTATCGTGGCAGTGCTTTTTATCTTTGCCCCATTTTGATATCCATTTCCATCCTTCATCTCTTGTTCTTGTTATAATGAATTTTATCTTTAGCATCCCACAAAAATTGGTAGTTTTGAGATCAGGCTTAGGAAATGTTCTAGAATCTTCATTAGGAAAATGTTATTCATTTGACCACCTATATAACTGAACCTATTTTTCATCAGAAGTGATGATTTTATTCCAATATGGATCCATTTTTAGACAGGAAACTAAGGAAGAGGATGTAGATAAAAGAACAGGCTTGTTGTGAGAGTCAAGCTTTTTTCCTTTTGCTACAAAAGGAACCAGGTGGTCATCATCAGATTGGTTTAGGAAGCTATCTCTGAATGGGTTTGGCATGGATCCAATTAAATCTCAGTTGGAATTTATTGATTCCTGAACAGGCCCCAGTCTCAAGTATTACATAACCATTACAAAATTTTAAAAATCAAAATCGTACTCTGAACAAATCGTAGCATCATCATATCAAACCCCATCAATATTTTGTTTTCTTTAATTTTATTTGTATGGAAGATATAAAAAAAAGCTAGGTCGATTGGTTTATAGTTCAAAGTTTCTTAAAATTAAGATGAGCAGTGCTACTAACACCTGATGGGAAGGAACTTTAAGGATAGCCTGTTTCATGTCATATCAGAAAATATATTTAAAGAATTTGATTTAATGGTTTAATTTTTTAAAGAAATTTTATGGATAAAATTAACACTGTAAGTACTTTCTAAATTTTCAAGTCATTTTGAGAGAAAAAGCTCTCATTTTCAACACTTGTCTGTTCTAAGTCCATTTTCATTTTCTTGTAAGTAGATTGCAATTCTTGTTAGTCTTTGAAAAAGTGAAGACCTGGTTTAGATTCGTTACTTAGAAAGTTAGATCAAAAATCAAAGCTATCAAATAATCGGTTATTCTTTTTCTACTTTGGAATCCTCTGAAAAAAAAAAAAAAAATCACATTTTAATTACTAAGGGGCATCTGTTTGTCTCAATCGCAAGTCTATCATAATAACTTTCATACTGAAGATAAACTCGTTAAATTTCTAATCATGAAGCAATACAGTTTTGTGTGTATGATGTATACAGATTTAATAATTCACTAACAAAAATTGGAGTGATTTTTCATATTGCTTAGAATTTATATGTTAATATTATGTGGTTGTGCGTCGGTGGCCACAATGGGTGACATGTGGCGCTAAAGCAGCCAGCAGGTAAAGGTGCTGAGTTTGAATTCAGTTCCCCTGCATTCACCGGCCACCCCGGAGTTTATGTAATCTCATCTGTTGTAAACCCCTTAAAAAAAAATATATATATATATATATGTGGCATATCATATCTACTAAAAAGTTCAGCAAAATTCATCAAAACCTTAATTGTATCCTCCCTTATCACAATTTCTTTATTTTTTGTTTGGTTGTCCCTGCGTTTATTTATAATAATCCATATGTGTATTTAGTAGTCTATATTCTATAGTCTATATATTAATTATTTAAATTAATTGTACTTATTATTCTAAGGACTTGGTTGAGATGAAAAAGCTAGTGTCACGAGCGGGATTCGAACCTATGACCTTTCAGCCCAGTACACCGCTGCTCTAACCGTGACTTCTTGAAGTCATGATAGTTCAAGTGGTTAGAACAGTGGCATATTGAGCCGAAGGTCATTGGTTCGAATTCCGCTCGTGCACTACTAGCTTTTTCATCAAAATCAAGACCTTAGATAAAAAGTATAATTAATTTATTTATAATCTTTTAGGCTGTTAAAATATTAGATTTAGGTTATCCATTTTGAATTTAACCTGAAAAAACAGGTCAAAACCTTTCATTTGATATACCTCTCATATTACCACATCACCATTTCTTCCACTTCCTTTTTCAGGCAAAACTTTTGTGTTATAATTTTTTTTTTAAATTTTTATAATTTGAAAAAAAAATTTCATACAACCTTTTAAACGAAAGTAATGGGAAATGTTTGTAGGGTACAACTGCAGAACAGGACAATAGGTTCAGCGACAAAGAGAAGAAGCTGTTGAAAGTAATGAAGTTTGGTGACAGCTTGGCGAAGAGGGTACTGTTGTCTATAACTTACTTACTATTTCTTAATAGTATGAGGAAATTGATTTAAAATTGTGTTTTTTATGTATTGTAGGTTGATATGTCCAAAGTTAAATTGGACACTATCAAACCATGGATATCCAAAAAAATTACCGAAGTCCTCGGGATGGAGGACGATGTCGTTGTTGAGTTTGTTTTCAATCAGCTTGAAGATGAGAAGGTAAAATGACACAAGCCAAATCACCGTTGGGTTTCGTTACTCAAAGTTCTGTTTTCTCTGTTAGTTCCCAGATCCAAAGAAGATGCAGATCAATTTGACAGGATTTTTAAATGGGAAGAATGCTAGGGTTTTTATGAATGATCTTTGGGAATTACTTTTATCAGCTCAGGAATCATCGACAGGCATACCAGACGTACTTATGGAAATGAAGAAAGAGGAGATTAAAAAAAGAATGGTAAATAAAAGCTTTTGCACAAACGTTTTGCAGGGCTCTTCTGGCTCTTACTTTATGTTATTATTTTACTTTAGATTTTTTTTTTTTTTTTATAAAATAATTATTGAGATGTTAATGATGAGGTATCAAATGAAAGGTTCAACATAGCATTAAAATAAATAAATAAAAAGGGAAGCTCTTATACAATTTTAGATAAATTTTACTTATTGTAAATAACACTTTATGTACAATACAACTTAAATTAATTTTCAGGAGGAGCAAGAAAGAATGCACGAGATATCGAAGAAGTTGGAGAAAAGAGAACGAGATGATAAAGACAGGAGGAGGGAAAGAAGTCGCGACAGAGATAGGGACAGGTTAATTGTTAATTTTTCCTCCTAACTTTTCATATTTATTTGGCCAATAAATAATGGTTGAATTTTTTGCAGGAAGAGGAGTCGTTCCAGAGACAGGAGGGACAAGGAAAGAGATCGTGACAGGGATAGACGAGACAGGGAGAAAGATAGGTCCAAAAGCAAACGATCTTCCACTAGATCACCTTCAAGGTAGTTATTTTTAAAAACTTTTTTAAAAAATAGTTTAACATTTGGATGGATGTACACATCCATTTTGAGCTATTAATCTGATAAAAGGTTGATAGAAGAAGAAAAGGTTCACATTCGTCTTAATAATATTCTTATTTCTAGAGAAATTGTACTGGCTTAACAGTATAAAAGGTACACTCCTCATCAAAAGTACAGCAACATTTAAATATTTATTTTCGTACCATAATTCTAACAAATTTTTTAAATTGCATCTCTAATTAATTATTACTCTTAATGTGTTTTTTCCTGAAACTCAAGTGTGGATAATTAAAATGCATGAAGTGAGTACAGACTCTCTAAAAAACAAGATGTAGATGTAAGTTTTTATTTTAAAACTAATATGAAAAGGTAGAGGAGAAATTTTCTACTCACTCATAAACAAGGAAAAAATTTCAATAGTTTAAATATAAAAATTTGCATATAAAAAGTTAAAAGTGCACCAACTAGCATGAAGGTGTTCTAAAGTATTTTTCAAGGTTAAACTGTTCTATAACGTTGAATACCCGTCTCCAATTGTCTCATGAATAATCTAATAATCTTGATACCTTAAGGTGGATTTGTTCGATTTCATCATGTTCAGCCTAATTTATCTTCAGTGCAGTGATTATTATATTTATTTTTTTACATAATTCCAATTTCATTCAGGTCTGAACATGCAAGGAAAGAATCTGACACTGCTGTTGATAATGGAAAAACGTCGACAGTTGAAACACAGAGCAAGTTAGTCTTGATTTTCAGCTTAATTTTAATTTTTATATCAACAATGATTTTTTGTTTAATTTTATATAAAACTTAAATACTTTGTAAAATATTATTTTTGAAGCACTGTTTTATTATTACAACTTTGAACTAAACTGTACTGGATGTTTTATCTTCTAAATATAAAAAAAATCCATCCTCAATCATTAGACACAACTGCCCTTAAAACATTTACAACTTAACTTTTGTTTTATATATATTAATTATTATTACTTTTATTTATTTATTTTTTAATTTGTTATTATTATTTTTATAAATAAACTTTCTACTGATTCATTGTTACAAATGGTTTTAATTTTCCATGTTCCAGGAATCTTTCAAATGTTCAAGCCAAATTGGTGAGTATGGCTGGCGGGGATGACAAGAAGGGTTCCAGTTCTCCTCGCTCCCGGTCGTCGAGATCTTCCCGTTCCCGTTCTCACAGCAAGACACGCCAAAGGTGACCTTTTAATTCTTTACCGTGAAAGGTAAGACCCAATCATTTTATATTCTGTAAATAAACAGAATAAATAAGTTTTTCCTCTCTTAAGTCAACATTCATAGTACATTGAATGGGTTTTATCTTTTTTCATTTATTAATTTATTTTTTTTAGAAATCTTACATTATGTTTGTGGACGTATGTAAATTACTTTGCAATTATTGTAAATTAGGTGGATGATACAGGTTTGTATAATTTTTTATTTATTTATTTTTTAATTGGAATTTTTAGCCTTCTGGTTAGTGTTGCCTATTGCCCCAACATATAGAAAATAACTGTTGAAGCGTTACATTATCTTTTTTAAATGCATTTTAATCCATTCTGGCTTGGAAAATTTATGACTCAGCTCGTAGGACCCCTTACCCCCTGCGGTCTTGGGTTCGATTACCACCATCACCCCTTGAATTTATTTCACATCCCTCCCCTTCTCCCAAAAGTTAATTAATAATTGTGACACATATACAAATGTACTTTACTCTGGCTCCAGAAATTGTACCCAAAATGTAAAAAACTTTCTAAAACTAGTGAAACATCTAAAGTACCTAAAAAAATTGAAAAATGTGTTATAACTGGTTTTTAGATTAACTTTTTTAGATTTCTTTAGCCATAAAAAAATTATATACTAAAAAAGTCTTAATTTATCACATAGTCAAAATAGACGAATAGAAGGTAACACAATTAAAAACAATCACAACTCCTAATGATATTTTTATATCATAAAATAGTGAATTTATATTTTTTTATTTTGTATCACATGAAAATTTCTGCTTTGCAGAATTTTCAGTACCTCATCAAAATACCTATAGTTTATTCGTGATTCCTCCTGTGTGCCCCCCCCCCCTACAAGTGGATTCTTTGATTGCATATTTCTGGTGGCATATCACGGTATTGAATATTAAAAAAAAAAGTCTGATTGCGAGTATTTGTATCCTAGGGTTTGTTTCGGCAGCGGCAGCATAGGATTTACACTATTTACTGTAAGTATCGTGGAGACTGACAAATAGAAATAGGGAGAAATCATTCAGTTTCAGTATATTTCTCACTTCTGTCCATGTGCAACCACGAAAAGATTTTTTTTATTGAATAGAATTAGAAATTTTATCTGTTGTTAATTTTAACTTATTGATAGGAAACTAGGTTAACTGTCAAAAATTAACTGCAATCCATGAGAGTCAAATCACTTGTTAATAACAAAGTTTTTTTAATTATATTTTTGGGCATTTAATGATATTGTATACAACAAAAACTGGAGAAAATAAGGCAGCTGATAGAAAAATGCTATCGTGAAAGGCCTAGTGGTTGAAAATGGAAATTTGAAAGGTTTGCAACATGTATGGAATGCTTGCTTGGGCAGTCTTATATTGATTAACAAAAGTAAAGAAAATTTAATGTAGAATTATATTAAAATAAGTACAGGGACACAATTTATCCAAAAAGTTATATATTAAAATATACAGAAAAACTTTAAGCATGAAAAACAGATATTTACACAAATATAATATATACTACAAAAAAATTACTAAATTTTAGGAAATAGTAGGAGTAATGTTTACAAATAATGGATAATTTATTTATTTTACATTGTAATTTAGAAGGAAATTGCAGACTGAGATGCAGTACAATAAATTTTCTCTGTCAACATGTCAGAAAACCATATCACTCCACAAACATCCAGCTGTGCTGAGATATTTTGAGTTTCTCTGCGTGTTTCATGTTATTTGTGGCAAAAGCTTGACTTTGATAATCAACAACGGTTGAAGTATGATCAGAAGACATTTTTTCTAATAAAATTTCTGTTTTTGAATGGACAAACCACTTACGAATGGTGATTTCTCCTAAATCGTCATAAGACCGGATTCCCATGCATTTGTACTTTTTTTTTTACTGCTAACTCCGATTGCTATGCAAACCAAGACGAAATTTGAATCGTGGAAAAGATGTTCTTTTGGCATTAATCTTATTTTGCACGTTTTTAAAGTTGCATTTTTTCCAATTTTTTTGAACTTTGATTTTTGCTTATGCCTTAAACAATGTGAAAATTAATAATTTTTATGGGTTAAAAATGTTTAATAAGGCGTTTTAGAATGCACTTTACAGTTGAAGTTTTCAACTTAAGATGCTTATATTTTCCGAGAAATTGTTTTATGTACAATATTGACTGATCCACTCGATTCCATCACTTGCATATTTCTCACAAATGTAATTGAATTATTAGGATGTTCGAGGAAAGAAATTAGAGAAAAAAGAAACACCAAGAGGAAAGAAAAAATCAAATTATTAAGAGTTGACATGCATTTTTAAAACTTCTCACTTAAATTGTACATATATACAACATCGTAAAAGTATGAAAAAATGGAAGAATGTAATACATATATAAAATAAATAATATAAATCCAAAGTGACCAGTGCTGAGAACACATTGACAAAACACCGACTGTCAATCATATGAGAGAAAATTAGAATAAGAAACTAGGCTGCAAGGACGTAAACTATACTTGGAAATTTAGAGGAATATTACAAGGAAAAAGTTTGAATTATAAGAGAAGTGGCTCCATTTCAATTTATACATTGTTCTCTCTCTTCCCATGTTGCAAAAAACTTTCGAATTACCGAGTGTATAAAAATGCACAGAATTTTTCCATCAAGAAATTCAAATTATCAAGTTTTGAATTAACAAGAGCTGAATTTTAATAAGCAAAAGGTTAATTCTACAATAAGTAAGAATTTTATAATTTATTTTAAAGTATGGTTCCTTTACACATTATTATTATTTTTGTCATTTGGGTTTTTTAAATTATTTGTCTTTCTTCATTATTTAACATTCTCCAAAGTTGGTAAGTCTGTATGTAATAATACTACTTGAACAGTTTGTCTTAAAAACTCGTAATAGATAAACCAAGGGCAATAGTGTCCACTTTGTAGGAAAGGTGTCATTTACAGCAGTATTGCTGACAGAAGTTGTAATTCAATTGGTTATTAGATAGATGTTTACAGGTGTTGCAGGATCTCTTCTTTTTTTAAATAGGTGCACTCTGGAAATGGAAGTGAACTTACTAGGAAAATTGATTGTTATAAAAAAGGTTTTTCATTTAAAAAATTAATTAATTAACCAAACTGTTTAAAATAACTCACCTTAGGAAGAAGATGTCACTTTGTGTAAATTATTTTAAAACTTTATTCATGATTAAGTAATGAGTGTTTTGAAGAAAATTAATTCCACCGGGAGTCAGGTAAAGTTGATTAAAATTATATTTATATTTCAAAAACAAGAAAATTAAATACTTTTTATAATTAGAATTTTACTTATTTAGTATGTCGATCTAAATAATTGTTGCTAAAATTTATATTGGAATTTACTATACCTTATTTTGTGCAGTTTGGTCAAGTTTTTAATGCTGCAGGATGATTCGAGACCCCCTTCGTGGACCTTCCTACACTGCTTCAGTCATTGCAGTTTTGGTTCGAGTCTAATGTGAACTCCAGTGCAGTCAGTGCGTCCAGATTGAAACGACTGGTGAGTTATCGTCTATTCATCGGTTGAACTTCGGCTACCTTCGTCAAACTTCAAGAACTTCTAGAACATCTCGTCGATACGTTGCTGTTTAAATGGCTGTATAAAGCCATTTTCATCAGCGAGCAGTACAGCATTAACCATCAGATCGTGTTTCCTGTCAAGAAGGCCAGCTAGAAAAGTCAAGATCTTCGCAAGTGCTCCGAGATGTCCCTCCTCGAAAGCCGAGATCTTCATTTTAGGCCACTCTTCATAACTGGTTATATGTCTTAACAATTGCATTATTTTTCAGTATTTACATTTAGAATATTATTCTAATTTTTTTTTAGCTTCAATAATTGCAATTAATTTTATATATAACCACAAACATGTTGTTTTTTCTCTGCTCTTATTGATTTTAACATATTTTAAATAAGTAATTTTTTTTACATTAATTAAAGAACAGGTTCTTTTTAAGCCTGAATTTTGTAAAAGAGATTTACATTTTTATGATGTTAAATTTTGAAAATTGTCATTGATTTTTAATGCATTTTTTCAGATCACCTAATAAAAATGGTGGGACAGGAGATCATAAGAGGTCCTCGTCTGAATCTTCAACCTCATCTAGAGAAAGGAAAAGTAAATCAAAAGAGGCCAATCACAAATCATCTCGTTCCAGGTCTAGATCAAGATCTAAAAATGTGAACGATAAGAATCCAAGATCAAGTAGTTCAGATTCTCATGCTTCAGGTACTAAATTTAACAAATTTATTTTATACAAGAAATAATTAATTATTTGTTAATAGACAAAAGTGTGAAGAAGAACGACTTTGAAATAAGGAAGAAGGAAGATAGTGTTCAGAAAAAAAGACAGTATCGAAGTAATAAAGAAGATTCATCGGGCAGTGATAGCGATGATGGCAAAAGAGGAAAAAAAGTAAATAATTGATTTAGTTTCTTTTATGAAACAAATAAAACTTTTGTTAATGTTTATAAATTTACTCAGGATTCTGAAAGGAACCGTACAAGATCGCCGAGGGCAAAATCAGCTGAAAGAAGGAGAAGGTCATTATCTAGGAGGCGTTCTGGTTCAAGGAGGAGGTCTAGGTCTCGGGGAAGATCGGGTTCTAGAAGACGCTCAGGTTCTAGGCGGCGTTCAAGCTCAAGAAGACGTTCCAGATCAAGAAGGCGTTCTAGATCACCGAGACGTAGGTCAAGGTCAAGGGGTCGTCGTTCTCCACCACCGCGTTCGCGAAGATCAAGATCCAGAGATAGACCGATCAGGTTAGTCGCATAGTTTTAATATATTTTTCAATTATTTTATGTGGTTACAATATTGTATTTTTTAGGTATCGACCATCCCGTAGATCAATTGAACGTGAGAGAGAAAAGGAACGAGAAAGAGATAGACGAGAACGTGAGAGAATCGCAGCAGCAAGGAGAAGAGCAGCTATCAGTAGAAGATCACCTCCTAGGAGAAGGTATGTTATTGGAAACTTATTTATTTAAAATTTAATATTTTTAAAAATTTCCTTTAGCTCTTTCTCATTGTTGTTTTTAATTAAGTTGGTATTCTAGGGATTCGAGAAGAAGATCAGTCAGTAGAAGAAGGAGCAAATCACGTACTCGATCAAGATCACATGTAAATATTTTATTATATTCATCATCGTTTTATTGATTAACAAAAACAATTAAAAATTGTCTAGGAACGAAGGAGAGATGAAAGAAAGGAAAGGGAGAAATTGAGACGGGATAGATCAAAGAGCCGGGACAGAGGACGTGAAAGAAGACGAGATTCTGCCAGCTCAAGCAGTCCTTCTCCTGACAGAAACACGTCTCTCGTAGAAAATAATGAAAAGAAGGTAAAAAATAAAATTTCATATTTATTTTAAAATTACTATAACTACTTTGGTTTTCCTAGGTTCAACGGTCATTGTCACGTACACCTTCTCCTTTCAAGAAGGAGCCTGAAAAGGTTCCAACTAAAAAAGAACGTTCAAAACGAGAGCCGTAAGTTCATATTTTCATTACATGTTTTTAATCATTGTATAAACTTGATGTGTTTTTTTAGGTCCTCATCTGAAGAAGAAAGAAGTTCACCTGAAGTATCTAAGGAAAGAACAAGGAGTTCGCCAGCCCAAGCTCCCAAACCAAAAGATCGTAAACGAAGAGAATCCAACAGCATTGATAGGTATAATCAAACACACACAAAAAAATTAAATTTATAAAAATGTTTTCTTATTCTTAAATTGATTTTGTTACAGAATGAAAGAAGTTCCTCAGAAAAAAGAAGAACCTGTGCACAAAAAGCCAGAGGTAATAAAAAAATTAATTCCTAGTATAAATTTAATTTAATTTTTATTTTTCAATTTTTAGCCTACTACAAAGAAAGTGGTAGAAAAACAGGATGATTCAGAAGAGTCAGACAGGCACGAAAGGTCCAAAAAGAAAAAGAAAGAAAAGAAGGTAGAAAGTTCGGATTCTGAAGAGGAAGAGAGAAAATCTAAAAAGAAGAAAAAGAAAAAGGAAGAATCTTCTTCAGAAGATGAAGATGACGAAGAAGAAATTGAAGTTAAAAAGAAAAAGAGGAAAAAGGAGGACTCGTCATCCCCAGATGAAGCGGTCATGAAAAAGAAAAAGAAAAAGAGGAAGGCCAAACCTGCTACGTCCTCCGAGTCTGAGGTATTGCAATGATACAATATGAAAGTAACAATCGTTTTGTCTTCGTAGCTTAATGTTTTTTTTCTTCTTTCAAATAGGATAGCGAAGTAGAGAAGAAGAAAAAGAAGGAGAAGAGGCACAAAAAACACAAGAAGCATAAGAAACATAAGAAGTCAAAGAAGAGGAAAGTGGAAGAGAGTGCTGTAAGTGTGACATGCTGCTGACAATTTCACATTTCCAAATAATGTTCTTGTATTATTTTTTGTTTTAAAGAAATTGATATTGTAGGATTCAGATGATGGCTCAGAAACCGAGGAATTTGAAAAGAAGCTTAGGGAGAAAGCTCTTAAATCTATGAAGAAATTGAGAGATCAAAGCTCTGACAGAAGCGACAGTTAAACGGACCGATTTGATTGGCATACTAGTCGAATATCGTCTTATATATTTCAAGTTCTTAGCAGGAAAAACATAATCTTGTAAAACAGAGATAGTCCAATCTCCATGTCAGACCTTCTAAAATTTCATAATGATTTTTTAAAATAGGTCAACAGGCATTTTAGGTAATAAGTGAAAAATTGATAGGATTATATTTTTTTCTGTGATTTCAAGTTTTTTTAACTTTTTTTTTTTTTTGTAAATTACATTTTCAACTTTTGTTTTTAAATTTTACTTAACATTTTTGTGTTTATACCTACAAAAAAGTAGTAATGTTTGTTTAGATATTTTTTTCTATAAACCCAACTTGTATTCCTATTTTTATTTTATTTTAATGGTTTGATCTCGGCCAATTTAAATTTGTATATTTACAGGCACAATAAAATACATTTTCCTATTAAGTCTATTAATAATTTTCCTAATACATATTGTTGAGTATAGTATCGGCCTTCATGATAAATATTGAAATAAAAAGATCAGGGATAAAGCTATGTAGAGGAAAAATGTTAAATACAGCCGAAAGCTCAACAACAGAAAAAGAAGTGTTTTTTTTTTCCACCTTACATGGACAGCCTTACTCATGGCTTCATTCCTGATCTCTTTATTCAATACTAATACTTTATACTTATACAAACAATATTTTAGTTTTACAAAGGTTGCCACTTAATCTATTGCCGGTGTATTACAGTTATTTTAATGAAAGTTTACAGGGAACAAAATAGGACTTTCCTTTGTGTTTTTAACCACACAATTTATAGTTGCCTTTCGGTTAATCCATTGCGAGAAAAGTAGGACCTAGGATTTCTTTGACGTAAAGCACTTTTTCTTTGGTATACCTTACCATAAGGACATACAGCTGCCCTGCATCTCAACCTGACAAAGATTGTATCGCCAATCTCAGACATTACGTTTGCCCAATAGTCAACACTGTCAGTGGCGTGTCAGACCAAATTTTTAAGTTAAAATATTTTTCAATATTAAAAAGATCCTTGCGGATCAGGGGATTTATTCGTTTTAGATTTTCGTTTACTGAGAATCTCATTTCGTATAAAATCTAGCATCGAATGGTATTTTTAGCAAATATCGTCATGATCCATCATCTCTTGAACCAGTGGTAGAGTTAGTTACCACATAGCATTTCCCTCAAAAGTTTAGCCTTTCCAAACAGCAGATGAAAGATGTAAAGCAGGCGAGTTCATGTAGCTTGTTCCTTAGTCAGGAAAATTGCCTTCGGAGAGAGTTAATGTTTCGAGTACCATTGATGTGGCTGGCGTGCTCCAAGTGAATAGTGAGATCTCGTCGACAAGTCTGCAGTTCCCCAGCTTATTCAGGATTGCCTCACACAGTGATGGACGAGATCATTCCTGAACCGGTGGTAAAACCTGAAGGGTGACTTGGTAGATAGATGTAGATATAATATTTAAGGGTATAGTATACTGCGCCCTTTAAGAACTATTGTATCCCCTGTGCTCTGCGTAAAGCACATCGGTGAGTCCTATTTCATCAAGAAACTTGACCGGTTTCAGTGGTAGTTCTTCTATGGTCACATTGTACATCCTAAACCACTTCCTCCTGCGGGCTAATGTAGCTCTGCAGTTTGTTAGTGTGTTGGTGTCTCTTCTGCTTCCTTGCAGAAACTACATGTGCCATCTTGGATTATTCCAATTTTCTTTAGATGTCCATTTAATCTACAGTGTCCTGTCAGGAATCCTGTTAGGATTCGCAGTCTATTCCTGCTTCCTTTGATACATTCTGTGATTTCTTTCTTGCCAAAATTGGTTAGAAGATTCTTGGATTGTCTATGTCCAATAAGTGAATTCCAAAGCTCCCTCATTTTCTTTTTGTCCTTCTGTCTGAGATATTCGTTAATAGTGTGGATTCCTATAACACAGAAGTAGGGTGACTTGGTAACTAGGTGGAAAGAAGTTTTAAGAATAATATCAAATAAAATCATTGAAGAAAAAAAGATTAACTTAAAGCAATCTTTAGGTTAGCAGATTTGAGCAAATGGGATTAATCAGTACAAAAGTAAATAAAGCATTATTTACTGTTCATTTTGTCTACAATAGCTCTTAATTACCTGTAGTTAATAGATAATGGATTTAATCTTAAACTACATGAAAGTTGTGTGTTAATTTCAGTGTATTTCCCACTAATGTATCAACTGCATGGATTTATCAAATGGCGTTCCATTGAAAATAACTTAGTAGTTTACTCTGGCTTTTGTATACCAATTCAGGAGCGAAAAATCAAGTTGATACAGTCTACATAGAAAGGGGCGTCGGTGGCCGCAAGGTTTTGTCTTTGACACGGCGCTCATCACTGTAAGGTAAAGGTCCCGGGTTCGAATCCAGCGGCCCTGCATTCGTAGCCAAAGCTTTTGATCGCTAAACTTGCTTCATAGAATAGGGCAGCCTCTCTTTTCACAGATTCAAAGCTTTCAGATAGATACTTATCATTCTCAGTAGAGAATTCATACTTTAAACAATTTGAAGCTACCAGTGGAGTACCTCAAGGGTTGCACCTAGTTGTTTGTCGTTTATGTAAATGATATTAATTGTTTTTGTGAATTTTTTAGTCCTTGCAGATGATATAAAAAATATATTTCAAATCTATTAATGATGCGCACATACAAGAAAAAATTTAGTTATTTAGAAAAACTCATTTTAGTCTGTGATATGCTGACAAAAGCTTAAAAAAGAACGTAAATAAATGTTCATTCATTAATTTCTCTTGCTAAAAAAAAAAAAAAAATCCTACAAATTAAATAACCAGGTACTTGAAAAATCCTCAACCATTACTGATCTAAGTATAATCTTTAATGATCGCTTACCCTTTTCAAATCATATACATCATAAAGCTATTAAGCAACTTAGTTTTATTTTATTGATTTTTTATTTTTTAAGTTGTAGAGATTTCAAAAAAATCAATTAATTATAATAATACTTTATATGTCATTAGTCCTGTCCCTTTTAGAATATTGCTCAACTATTCAATATTGGTCTCCTCATTTAATAACTCTAAAAAATTCTCTGGAAAAAGTTCAACATAAATTCTTTAGAGAAATATTTTTTTTAAATGGTGGAAATCTGAAAAATTGCAATTTTAAAATAGATTATGAGTCAATTTTGCAATTTAGAAACACTGGCTTCTACAAGAGAGGGAGTGAGAGAGAGAGAGAGAGAGAGAGAGAGAGAGAGAGAGAGAGAGAGAGAGAGAGAGAGAGAGAGAGAAAGCGAGAGAGAGAGAAAGATAAAAGCGTAAAATGTAATCTTTTTTCATTCATTATCATACAACTAATTACTTATAATAATCCAATTATTACAAACGGGTCCAAGACTGGCGATGGTGTGGCCGTGTATAGCAAAGGAGTGGCCACCTTTTGGTCACTGCCCCCCCCCCCCATTTCAGCGTATACACGGCAGAACTGTATGCGATCTGGCATGCTCTCAAGGCGGTGCAGACCAAGGAAGGATCTGCCTAATTAATTTTTTTTTTAATGTAAAAGGCTTAAGACATTAATTATTGTAACTTCCCGTGGTAACTTGCGGGCAACATGGCAGCATTAGGCCTAAATATATGTCCTAGATACCAATACCTCTTAGAAGAATTCTGTATGTCATTAAATAAACTGAAATCTTCCAGGAAAACCATAAGCAGAGATTGGAAACAATAAACTAAAGTTTAAGTCCATATCAACTCCAAATGGGGGGTGGAAATATATAGAATAAAAAATAATAGTTTTAAGAAAATAAAATTGGCAGGACTAGTGAATTTAGACAAACGAAATACATTTTCAATCACAATTTTATTACTCCTTTTAGTTGATGAGATCATACAGAATGATATTTTTTAATAATATAAAAGTCAACACAGACAACTCATTAAAAATAAATACTAGATATAAGAATAAATTCCACTAATACAATTAGTCAACATACTAATTAAATTCATTATACACACTTTAAATTAATTTTACAATCAATGATTTTCAACTCAGTTTAAAACTCAATTATTACTAATGACTTAAAGGATCACAGCCTAGAAAAGTGTGAACTAGGTTGAAAGATTAATTCTAAAATTTGAACTGATAAAATGACCAGATATATATTTGGAAAATCACGTATTACAGCCTACATAAGTTGCTTGAATGCTAAAATAAATTGTTATGGATATTATCTTGAATGAACTTCAAAAATGTTGAAATTTTGGCTCAGTCTTTTTATTTATTCTAAGCAATTTTTTTTTTAATTTCTTCTTATAAATTCATTCAATATATATATCCATCATTAGATTTATTATTATCAATCGCTAAAATTTGAAGAAGAAACTATTTTACAAAGAATTAGTTATTCATCTTCTTCTACTTTATATAAAACATTTCTGAACACAATCTGCTAACGGTTGTCAAGGACTTTTTTTAGTGTTAACTGTTTTCTAAATTCGTTTTAGAAATAAAACTTAAGAGAAAAAAAAACATTACTGACATTATATATTTATATTGTATTACATATATAAGGGGCAATCGATTTATTGCTGGGTTTTCATATTGCCTAACGATTACACCTAAAATAATTATAGGCCAAAACAGTAAGCAGAATTGTGGTAACGTTTTCTAAAAAAAAAAAAATCATTTGGCTTTTAGCATTAGGGGAAAGCAGGGCAATCGTGGTACATTTTCTATTGCCGATTTTTTTAATACCATCCAGCATTATCACATCGCCGATTGGGCGTAACTCTTGTTTGATTGTCTTCTGTAAATTTCCAAAGGCCTAGTCATGAGGAAAAATTTAAACGTACAAATTGTGCCAAATAAATAACAAATATGAAAATATACATATTAAAAAAAAGAAAGACTATCGTGACTCAGTAAAAGCAAGAAGCTAAATTTTTTAATATTCGATTATATAAAACAAACAAAAAATTAGACTAGAATGAGATTACAATAGTTGGGTCATTGCATGGATTCGGACCATTGAATGGTCAAAACATTCTTTAAAATCGTGATCATAAATGTCCTTTTCAGTACATCACCTAAGACGATTTGAATTACATTACTTCTAGTTAGATTACTGTCGCCGTAGCAACTGTAGCATTACTGTATAGAAACTCCCTCATTTTTTTTTTTTTAATTTTAATTTTTATAAGACTAACAAGTCTATTTAATCAAGCTAGGAATTTTGAGCTCTGACAGTTACATCAATGCTAAATGCTATATATTCAGTCGATCAGTATCATTATTTGTAATCTACAAGTATTTTTTTAACTTGTATATAATACTCAATGATCCCTTGATCTTACATTTATCTAATTGAATAAAAGAGTCTCTGAAAATTACTTAGACTGGAAGAACTGTTTTCAACATAGACGTATTATCAAATGTTTTTGTATACGTTTCACTTTTTTTTTCTTTTTTTGTGTGATCTTATTAAAAAAAATTAAACAATTGTCTGAAACATTAAAACTGTTATCAACAAAAGTCCAAGCTATTTGATAGTTGTATCCCACAAAATAAACTATTTCAATTTTAGTATTATGTAACTGATTATAATCAGTGCTGTTTAGGGGCAGTTTTCTGAAGCCAATCCTGGATGTCGTGGAGTCTTGTTTCTATTTCGGTCCTGTTTGAAGGGACCCGCCTGAAAGTCTTGTTTAAAGGTTTACCTGAAGGTATCTTGAAATATAAGTTGGAAGTTGTAATCGGCTCTGCCATCCCAACTGAAAATTTGAAAAAACTTCGTTTTAAAATCGACGCCGTGATTATTGATTAATTTCTGCTCTACTACCATCCAATTGTTGTTTATTAATCTGAGTTTGAAGCTCTCCTATTTCTGAATATATGTTTTCTAAGTTTTGAAGTACATTAAACGGCACTCCTTCAGTAGAACAATTTCCTGAAAAAATATTTACTTATATTTTTCTAGATTATATTGCTTAAAAATTGAACCCAATGTCATTTGTTAAAGACAATTTCAAATTGGTTAAAATATATAAACAGACTACAGCAAAAAGAAAAAAAAAATGAAAGAACAGAACGATCATGATAAGGAATATTCAATACTCATGGTGCCAAGGGAATAAACCAAAACATTTCTAGACTCACCTAATTTGAAAAAAAGTGAGTGAGAATGGGGAAAAACTCATTTTGCAACATTGTCTAGAAGATCTAGAAGGTATAGGGGAAGGAGTATTCAGCCCAAAAATCAAATACCATGGACAGCTGGGATCAATATCATTCAAAAAGAACCGCAAAAGATTCGATCTGAACAGAGGATATAAAAACAAAGATTTAAACTACAAAATATTGTGGTCTGCAAGGTGCAAATATGATCATTTTTTTAAATAATCCTTGTCTTCCTATTCTCACTAGTTTTGCCTGTCAGGCGCATGTTTACATTGCGCCTCCTTCAGAGCTTGGTCCGTTATTCTGTTCATTTTATATTTGTACAAAATTTAAGGAGTGTAATTTCATCTTGTTTTGGTGTAATCAAAACAGAAAACTCACCAGGGGAAGTGGTACAAGTTGGAGTTATTGCGTTATCTTTCTGAGTGTTGGTGTTGTTTTGGCTGTTTGGAAAATCATCTATGATCCTGTTCAAAGTCTGTCCCAGAAGGCGAAGGCGGATCATCTTTTCGCCTAAGAGGGCTTTTGTCCTGTAGAGAGACACTTCCATTTCTGTTAAGTCTCTCTCTTGCTGAAAGTTAAGTAATTTAGAATTTAAAAAATAAATAAATAAATAAAAAATTACCTGTTGTAGTTGTTGCATTGTTGTATTATTATTAGACCTCAAAATACTTTGCCTGGCGTCAAGTTCACGTTTTTGCTGTAACAAACACTCCCTGGCAGCACGGACAGCTTCTTGTTCAACAATAACTCTATGACGATAAAAATCTACTTCTGCACTATTACTGAGGCCTAAAAGATAGATTTAAATTAAGCTGTATGATAAAAATTTAAGGAAAAAATAAATTACCATGCCCATGAAAGGGGTAACGAAGGTAAGTATCGCCTTGAGAATTGGCTGGAATTTGCTCTTCAATTTCTTCCAATTCCTTTAGCTGACTTCTTACGTCATCTAAAACATTGCCTTGACGGTCTCTGCCGTCGAGGTTGATCTTCATTCTGCTGAGTTTCTTTCTATCCAAGCTTTTATCTTTTCTCCTGTCCGCTCTGTTCGGACTGATACTCTGACTTCTGTGCTCCTCGTTTGGCAGTGTAAGGGAAAGCGAAGTGTATTGGTCATCGGAGGATGGATCGTTTTCAGCCCCTTCTTTTAAATTTAGCTGGTCCGTATTGATTTTGGGTATTCTGTTAAATCGAGGCAGTTTTTCATCGCTTGTAGCATCGGATTCAAGATTGTTGTTTTTACTTTTGTTGTTAGTTTTAGTTTCTGAAATCCCTTTTTCGTCCTGAGATTCCTTTTCTTGACTAAAAGCAGAAAAAAGAAAAACTATTTTTATTTTTGGTGGAATGTACCATGTGCTTTCTTTTACACATTTATCAAGCTGGTGCCTGCAGAATCCAATAGAAATATTGATTTAACTACTTTAAAAAAAAGATTAAAGATTTCAAAATCAGAATGTTCTATGTTATACTGTTACTTGTCTACATTATTATTATTTAATCTTTTTATGTAAGGTCTTGTTTGAAATGAAAAAGCCAGCGTCAAGAGCGGGATTCGAACCAGCGACCTTTGGCTAAATACGAAGCTGCTCTACCACTTGAGCTTCGATCCACTCAGACACCAACTCCCCATCTCAACCTACAACCTTTCAAATTTTCCCTCCTTTTTGCCATTTTTCATTTCACCTAAGACCTTACATAAAAAGATTAATTAATTGAAAGAATTAATTGGTCAATCAGACCACTAAATATAATGGATTATTATTATTATTCCATAGATGTATTTAGTAGTCATAATTGATCGGATTAATTATTATTAATCATATTTTCATTTCAACCAAGAGCTTAGATAAAATGTATAATTAATTTAAATTATTTTATTTTTTTATTGTTATTGATGTTAAGGTTGCACTCGTCTGCTCAAATAATTTACTTTTGATAATGAATTTGTGTGATAATAAATAATAAAACATTCTTTAATAAAGTTCAATTTAAGTGAATGCTTATCTAGGATGTTACAGTGAAAAAGTACTGCAGAATTCTTAGTTTCACTTATTCATCAATTAAGGAAAATTAAGTTTAAATTAAGAGGGAAATTCATGATTCAGCCAAACCTTTCAATTTCAGATAAATCATTGATCAGATTTATTTATTAATGTTAAAGGAGGTGGCAGAATAATTATAAATTTTATTTTATCCTAATATCATTATATAAATCTCATTGAAAATTGTGTGAATGTTATTTATCATTAAAAGTACTATTTCTTACTTGGTAATTAAATAATATTTACCAGTTATCATTTATATAGAAATGGTCAGTAGTATATTGGAAAATTAATTGTATTTTTCCAATAAGAAATGTCATGTTTTAAATTTGTTATATAGAAATTTAATTAAAAATTGAATAAGTTGAAGAAATTTATATAATTTTTATTTATAATTTTATTTAGAGAGTTTCTATTTCAATGCGACACCTACTTTTTTCAAAAACTGAGCGTTATAGAAAATAGTTAAAAATAAAGTAATTCCTGTAGTTAATTAAGGTCCAACTATTTCATGGGCTCTGCCAGTGTTCAAATCTAGGACCGCTAATGTGGCAAATACAAGTCGGACACCCTAACCTCTCGGCCACCTCAGTCCTCAAGTTTAAATAGCAACCCTTAATACTTTTTCCCAAGTACTTAAATAAGTGGTTTAAACAATTTTTAGCAATAACAGTAATAGGTAATTTAGTATAAATTTATTTTTTTGGAATGAGACCAAGCAACTTTTAATACTTTTTAAAAAACTAGATTTTTTAATATAAAGAATGACACCAAGAATAATTACATCGGTTGTAGATTTCTGTAGATATTTTCATTTAAAGACTATTTGACGCTTTCAATTTTGTTCTAGTCTATTAGCCTGTTACTCACTTTTGTTTATTTTAACTACTTTTAAATTCTGTAGATTTGGACAGAATTCCTGGACTCAGTTCAGGAATATGAGATAATAAATGAAGAATTTGCTCCATTAAAATTTCCGTACAAAACTAATCGTTCGTTCATAATCGATTTGCCACAAGCATTGAACGGGAAAGATCCTGTATAGTTTAACTCGGTAAGTTTTCGAAACTCGGTATACACTTTGGAAATACCCAGTAGAGTCACTACATTTCTTAAAAGTTGATTTTCATTCGTAAAAATCAAAACAGCTAATGCTGCATCTTATTCTTTGATTCATGTAGGGACGATGATTATTGAAAGAACAAGTCTCAAACTTTCTTGCAATACACAAGAAAATATATTAAAATTTATTAAAATTTGGTTATATCTGCACAGGATATTGTAGTGTATGCACACACTACTACTTTTCCACACTTTTTCTTGCTTAGGAAATTGTAGCATCTTAATTTAAAAAAAGAAATAAAAAAAGGATGAATTGAACTTTTCATACATTTATTACGATAATAATGAACAGTAAATAAATGAATTGGCTTTTAGGTATTAATTCTACTCCTAATATAAATTTTGGTTTAAAAAACACTGAATGATTAACGGTCACTAATCACCACACATTCATAACTACTTTAATTGTTCTTGGTGTCATTTTTTATATTAAAAAACCCCTCATTTTTGAGAATATATCAAAACTTGCTAGGTCTCATTTGAAAAAATAAAGTTGATACTCAATAGTGGCATTAAAAAATGGGGGATTACAATTTAAATTTCTTTCTATAACCCTCTGTTTTCCAGAAAAATTAGTGTCTCATCGATACAGAGACAGCCTGTATAGTTAATTATCCTTAATTAGATATTTATTGCAAAATACCATTTTTATTATTGATAAACTATGTATCCTGTTTTACATAGTCAATTTACATATGATTGCTTCATACATAATACTATTCAAACTCAGATGTTTTTGTTTCTTTTGTTAATAATAATATCAAGCATGACAAAATTCACATTTTGAAAAGTGTTATTTTTTGTGTTAACATTCAAAACTGAATCACAGAGAAATGGATTATTTATTTTGAAATATCACTAAAAACACAGATTGTAGGACATATCAACATACTTGTGATCTTCTTTCTTTTTGCGATTCTTGCTCTGAAGCTTTCTCTCGACGGCGATCTCAATGTCACTTTTCAATTGAAGATATTTATCCTTTAATGAGCGGTATTTATCCTCGATTAGACGTTTTTCACATCTCATTTTTTCAAAGTCCCTAGAAAGATAAAAACCACAACTTGAATTTGAAACAGAGAAATCATCGTTTGACGGATGACAAAAGTCGCTCACCTATTGATAGACAAGCTGTTGGGCTCTTTGTCGCTCAGCTTTTTAAGTTTGTTGTTCCAAGATTCCACCTGCTCGGCGTGCATCCGCTTCAAGGCTTCTTCTTCCTTTTGGAACTGCTGCTTAAGAGTGTTCATGTTCTTTTCATGATTAGCGAGAGCGGTCTCAAGAATTGATTTATTCTGAACAGAATTTGCGGTTATTTTATCATCCCACTCGGTTTGGATCCTTTTCAGTTCTGCCTCCTTTTCAATTTTCAACTGATCTATTCTCTGAGATAATACAGCTTCAAGTTTTTTTACTTCCTGAAAATATAAAATTTTTCAATACTTGATCGCATATAATTTTAATCATAGTTATAATACATTTTGATATTTTTCTTCTGTTTCTTTAGTTTGAACTTCAAAAAACGTCTTGACTTCTTGGATTCTCTTAAGGCCTTCATTCTTTAACTCAGATATCTCTTTCTCTTCGTTAACTTTTAATTCGTTTGTTCTCATGGAGATTCTCATAGCTTTTTCATTTTCAAGCCGCCTGAAGATCTCGATCATATCTTTATCATAATCCTCTCTGAAAATTATTTATGCTTAATAAAATTTATAAAAATAGATTATAGTGGTAAATTTACCTGATTTCCTTTTCTTTCCTTTCTAACTCTATGTCCAATTTCATTTTAAGTTCGTTCAACTTATTACTAGCCGCTTCAGCAAGTTTATCTTTCTCCACTTCTTCTTGCTTATCAAGTTCTTCCTTTAATTGTTTCAACCTTTCAGCCTGAAATTTTTTTAGTGTTTAAAACAACTACAATAAAGGTAGAAGAAGGCAAAATTGAAGTACTTGTCTCAATTTTATTTGAGTTATTTTATCTTGAGTCTCTTTCTCGGCGTCTTCTTCTATGTTTGCAGTGTTTTTGTTACTGATAATGCTTTCTAAATCAAACGTTTTTTTATCACCTCCTACTATACTTGTTATGGCATCACGTAAAGAAACTATTTCAGGATCAATAGGCGTGGGACAGACATTCTTGCTTACATTGGATGAAATTTGGGTTACATTATCATCATCATAACGGGGATACTCCTCCTTTTGGACATTATCTTTGTTGACCAGGGAATTGACACTCTTTTTTAATGGAGAATGCAAAGGCTGAGAAGCAAATATTTTATTCTGCTTTTGAAAAGATTCTTCATTAGACTTTACATCCACTTCCATCTTTTCATTATTCAATATCTGATCATCGTTTGTATTATTGCTCACACTTTCTGATTCATCAGACAAGTTTTCAATTTCTAACGGAACTGCTAGAGCTTGTGTATTTGTAATTTTTTCACTTAATTTGGTTACGCCTTTGTCGGTTTTGATATCTTCCTTGTTGGTATTCGAAACAATTTGCGAATAGTTGAGCTGCTCTATCAACTTCTCTGCTTTCCCTAAAAAGCGTGCAAGAGGATGATCAGTAATCATACCAGTAGTATGTATGTTGACATTAATATCTAACTGAAAATTTTGAATTTGAGGTTTCTGTGTTTATAAAATTTAAGGGTTTTGTTTGATAAAGTCAATCCATTTTTATTTTACATATGTTATAGAGGTATAAGAGATATGAAACTTACATTTCTTTTAATGGTTTAGGTAAGGATTAAGTTTTGGAAGGATGTTATGTTTTGTAATAACATCCTTCACAAAAACGCATGGAATGGCTTAATTCGCATTGTTAATCTGAATTAGTAGTTATGCTAGTGTTATGCATGTGAGGTGTTATACTCTAAATAGGAAATGGATTATTTACATTAGAATTGCTAACATATGTATATGTATAAGTTAGAGAATATAAGGCCATATGACTTATTTCTTTAATTATATTAAGTTAAACACGTACAATTATCCTGCAGTCTTCAGATTTCTCATTAACGAGAAAAAAAAATCTTAGCACTTTGGGGTAAAATAAATAAATAAAACTAATATATTTCTTTTATCACAAGTTTAGGATTGGCATACACTTTTAAAACTCTTACAGTCACACTGTGATATTTTTTCCAATAGCATTTTGTTTTGCTGTGACCATAATGAAAGTAATCGTAATTATCTTTAAATTATGAAAATACTTTGGCAAATGAAAAGTTAAATGCATTTTTATTACTTTATGCTTTTTATGCTTTCAGTACTTAGGCAAAAATTCCAAATCTATTTTATTGCTATGTTTCTTGCCGATTATTACAACAGTTTCCTATGATAATCAAGTACGTTCCTAAGTGCGAGGGTTGATATGATCTCTGCTGAAGCCAATTTGATGAATTTGACAACCTTCTTGTTTATTTTTAATATTTATTATTATTATTCATTTATTTAGTACAGCAAATCGTAGCAAGGTGAAATAGTCTGCAGTGGTTTTTTATTTGTTGTAAAATTAAATTAAACTGTTTCCAAGCTGAAAAATTATTGAAAAGAAAGAAAAAGCTAATCAATGAAAATGTCAAAATGAATGCTATATTTAAAAAAAAAAAGTTATTAACATATTTTATTATTTAAAAGTTGAAAAGGGGAAAACCTACATGTTGATGCTGTAATAATTTAGTTATTTTATATAACATATTATTACCTATTATTTAAAAAAAGAGAAACTTCCTGCTATTAAAAAAAATCAAAAATTATTTAAAAACTTTATTGTTAAATTTTTTCTAGTGATGAAGTACAAGTAGGAGAGCAAAGTTTCAGAATGTTTTTGTTTGTGTTTGAACTGAAATGACAATAAACTAGGAAAATAAAGTTCACAAAAAGCTTCTAGAATTATGTACTTACTATCAGCTTTTTCTTCTGTTACCACGTCTTCAGCTATATCTTCTATTTCTTCATCCTCTTCTTTATTATTGAAACTAGATTCGGATTCTTCATCCTAAAAATTGGCAATTTAATATGTCAGTTGGATACGGTAGTTCACGAAACAAGTGATACTTGAACTTACAGATATACTCTCATCGGAATCAGAAAACTGAAATTTTATATCTAACGATTTGCGTTCAAAATCTGCAAATCGGACTGATCTCTTTTTTTCGTCTTCGATTTCATGCGGAGTTTGAGTGTCGCCTAATACAAAAATAAAATTGTTCAGAATGTTCTGAATCACAAAATGGGAATTTTAATTTTGTAGGAGAAAAATTGCTCTGACTTCTTGCATTAGTCCCTAGCGCCAGTAGTTTGGAAGCCAAAAAATATGTTTTTTTTTAAATATTGTTCACTATAGTATGAAATAGTTACCTTGGATAGGATTCAAGCGAGCCAAGTTTCTATTCGGAAGGCCTGAAAACGAAGATTCTCTCAGTATGCCTTTGATAGGAGGATCTGCTTTCGGGCTTGTCGATATAAAAGTGGGAATTGGATCGAGCGTCTGTGCCCTGCGCAAAGGCTGCAATGTTTTACTGGAGTTTTCCTTCGACAAAGAAGAACTACTGGAGTAGCGAGTTAGGCTGTCACCAACTTTGGCTGGCGTCACCCTGAATGTCCTGTTTTCAGTGACCACATTTTTTATTTCTTTATCTTCAATTGAACTTTCTAAAAATAAAATTTAAACAAAAAGTGAATAACTAAACACAACGCACAAGTACAGATTCTTGATCCTACAAACCTCTCATTGTATTATTTATCATTTTTACTACTTGAAGAGGTGAAAATTGATGAGGATTCACATTGTGCTGAAGTTGCTTTCTCCTTAAGAGCAACGGTTGATGAGCCCTTGGTTGGACATCTTTACCCTTATCAAAATCCTTAAAAAATAAAATACAAATAAACAAAAATACCAAAAAAATCAAAAGACACTTACATTCATTTCTGCAGGGGCTTTTTCAAGCTTCATATCATTACTCTTAGAAGAGAGCAAATCGGATACTTCTTCAAAGCTTTTCAAATCTTCTTTTATTATTCTTGAATCATCTTCGGCTGAAATTTAAAATTTATTATTGGAATAATAATATAATAACCGAAATTACATCTAACAAATTTGTCCACCTGCTGAGCTATAACCTTCAGAGCGTCCCCTTTTCACTAAGGTCCTGTAAACATTGTCCAACGGATGCTCCCACTGGCTTGTTTTTGTAAGGTCATTGAAGTAATACCATCGATTGAGTTTAACATCAAAACTAAAAAATTATATTTTTTTGTAATTGTTTGTATGCAATTTGGGATAAAATAGTCTTACCATGGCCTCCAGCCTTGAGGCAATGGTTGCATAAGACCATTAAGAGCAATAGGTAAAAGATGTTGCTCACATTTTGGATCTATACCGATGTTTTTGGCATAATCAATAACCTCTGAAAAATAAAAGCAAAATTATTAACTTTAAAAACAAATTAATATTTTTTAAACTACTACTTAGCATTCATTGAAGTGACCTTATTGATGAAAAAACAAAAGTGTGGAAATGAAGAAAAAAAAAAAGGATTGCTTGGTATGAGTTGAATGAATTTATCAAAATTTTCCCCCTGAATTGTTAACGAAAAATTAAAGAAGTTACATTGTTTGATGATGGATGAAGTGACCATCTTGAAACAAATGCTATAAGATTTAACAAAAGGACCATGAAAAATTGTTTTATGTACTGTTAGCAGAAGAATACAAAATTTAAATCAACTTGTTTTGAATATGGATTAAAAGTGCTTAAAATTTTTACCAACGAAGGTGAGTAATCTTTTACAAAATAATATATTTTATAAGAATCTAAATGTATGTTATTAAATATTATTTCATGTTCCGAAGAGTTTGTACAAAGAGGAAAGCTTCCTGTTATTTATTCAAGACCAACAAAAGCTCATCTTAGGTTTAGAAAAAGAACTTGAAGAAACTTTAGAAAAGAAAAACTTGTAGTATTGCATGATTGAATAATGCAATTAGAAGTAAATATCTGCTATATACGACATCTGATATAAAAATCTTTAGGACAACTTAATTTGAATAGAAAGGTTTTTAACCACCTTTAAATTGTACATATGACAAAGTTGACAAATATACATTTATATTGTTTAAAATTTCTGGCTCAAATATATCACAAAAAAAGCAATTACATATTAAAATGTAAAAACAATCTGTAATCTAAATTTCATTCTAATCCAGGGATAAAAAGTATTTTTTAAATATTAAACTGCAACACTATTTAATTTTAAGATTTCCTCCTGTGTTCAGTGGGTTGATGAATGTGTAATTTGTTCATTAATGATCATTTTGGTCTGCCTATCCTCACTGCATTGGTCTGTCATGTTCAGCTTGTCTTACACTGAGTTTAATGAGAAAAAAGATGTCCACCCAAAATCATGAGAGACACACTGAAGATGATGAAATGCTGAAACATGCCTGATTAACTCAGCAAGGAGAGGCAGGCCAAAATTATCGGTAACAATCAAATTACAATTTAATTTTATTTCTATTGGCAATGTGTTAATCGTTTTTGAAAATTATTCCAGTCTACACAAAATATTGAAATTTAAGGCTGCACAGAATACGCAAGAGGTCTGGGTATACAATTTCTTAACATGGGAGTTAGAACAACCGATTCAGGGTGATTGGACCAACTTTCGCCATATATTTGTCACATAAGTTCACTTCCAATTTATGTGGATTGAACCCAGGATTGTATAAAAGCTGAAAAAGGGAACCAAATTTCCTCCTCAATCTATCTCCTCTAATTCTCATTCAAATTTCTTGTGTCAACTAGCTAGAACTAAATGGTTGAAAATATTAAGTAAATTTAAGAGAAACAATAATAAAAAGTGGATCCAATTTGTCAATTTTTGAGACCGGAAATTATACCGGTGTAAAACTTTAAAAATTGTAATAAATTGGATCCATTATATTTCGTGGTCCGATTGGCCAAACTTCTTTCAATTAATTAATCTTTATGTAAGGTATTGGTTTAAATAAAAAAGTCATGATAGCTCAGGTGGTTGAGCAGCGGTGTATTTAGCAAACGGTCGTGGGTTTGAATACTGCTCGTGACACTGACTTTTTTATTTCAACCATAAGTTTTTTTTTTATCATGAACATTAGATTATTTTAAATCCCAATTGTTTTTTAGCTAATAAAGACTGAAACTTGATATGTGATAAGCTGTATCACTGTTTACACTAAGCAATTAATATAATGTGAAAAAAGTGTAAAAAACTTTTCTGTCATATTTAAATCTGTGATTATATTTTAGAGGGATATTTCACAAATATTAAGCTGAGTGAGGACAAATGTCACACAATAACTGACAATGAATTGAAACAAAATGCTAAAAAAATAGACTAATTTTAATTTGGAAGATCCAGAATCTTAATAATTTTAATTAATAACGAAAATAAAATTGGAAGATCCAGTATCTTGGTAAAAGCTTCCTTGTGTGTCCGGTATGCTGATAAAAGTCTTGCATTCCATGGTGAAGTAATTTTGGCTACATATAAAGGGTAAAGTAAAAATGTCATCCAATATTGCTTGTGTTTTATGACCTCTGACCCAATTTTCACTGGAAACAGACGTGTTATCTCTCTTCTATGAAAGATTGAAGAAGAAATTGAAGCATATTTCTTGTGTTTGTCTTTTTTTATATTGAAGCAAGCTCAGAGTATAATTGACAATATCTGACATATATTAATGAGGGCTGTTCTTGCAAGACTTCATAAAATTTTCAGCCAGCAGGTCTGTGGAAATAGTTTAGATGTTAAAGAGTATATGAGTCCATCTACTCAAACATTTGTTTTGAACTACTTGGAGTTGATCATGTTTGACCAAAGTGCACGTAAGTTAGAATATTTAAGTGAGAATATAGAGTCTGTGAAGAATTCAAGTTAAATATTGAGTACCCTTGCTACGACTAGATTTGTTGTATAATTTGTGTAATAAGGTGATGGAGGAAAAACGAGTAAGCAATCACCCTCCTTGGGTGAATTGTATATAAAAGATTGTATTTAGGAGTAAATACTGCACATGTTCGGGTTGAATTCTAACCAAAGCGTCTTGTTCAAGAGCTGAACCTAGACTCAAACAACTTAGGTGTTGGTGGCAAACCATGATAAGTCTTAATTTCCAATTCCAACTCAATATGGTTAAAATTCAAACTTTACACAAATGAATAAGCTCTGCAAATTTAATTTCATTACCTACGTATTCCCAGCAGTTCAAGCCGTACAAAAGGCGGTAGGATCGATCCTTAGAAGTAAACATTAAATATTCCAAAAATGCCATGGCATCTTTTTTTTCTGTTCTGCTTTTGCTTCTTCGTCCGGTTTAGGTTTGTTTTCTTGTTGTTTAGGATTGTTTTCTTGTTGTTTAGGTTTGTTTTCTTGTTGTTTAGGATTGTTTTCTTGTTGTTTAGGTTTGTTTTCTTGTTGTTGTTTAGGATTGTTTTCTTGTTGTTTAGGATTGTTTTCTTGTTGTTTAGGATTCTTTTCCTGTTGTTTAGGATTCTTTTCTTTTCTTGTTGTTTAGGATTGTTTTCTTGTTGTTTAAGACTGTTCTCTTGTAGTTTATGTGTGCATTCCTTCGACTTCCAGCTTTCTTTGTAATCACCTATTTCTTTATACGTATAAATTACCAAACAACAACACCCTCTTAGAAAGACTTTCGTACAAAACCACACAATTTCACACAAACATATACACATGTGTGAAGTTTGTACACAATTTCACGTGATAAACTGTCCAATAATTTCCAATCCATTAACGGCCTCAGACACAACTTTAAGAAAAAAACTTCAAGACTAAGATAAAACTATCAGTTAAACTATGAATTTGATGACAATTGTATTTAAATTAAAAACCATATGAAAGAGAAAAATGCTAATAAAACTATTTTATGCTTAAGACTAAGACTAAATTTCTAAAAGTTTAAATCCAACTTTTTCTGTTTGATTTTTTTTTTTGTCACAATACATATGTGACATTTGCTTAACCGTTTCTTTACAGTTATCTTGATTGGGTAATTGTAAAATTAAAAAGAAAATGCTGTTTAATATTCAAATTCAATAAAATTTAAGGTCTGTCAACTGAAATATTTTCTCACTTAGTAAAAAGCAAAACCGTCTCACTTACCTGGCAATTCGATAATTTTCAAATTTAGAAGAATTTTGGATTCAAATCAAAACAAGATTTTGGCCGATGGCAAAATATTTACATAGCAAAAACCCAAAAAATAAAATTCTTCAAAACGAAACGGTTTTACATTTTACAGGCTGACGATTTTTTCAAGCTGCACATATTTTTTTTTCTTTGTATAAAAAATTTAACATGGGATTGAATCTGTAATGAAGGAAAAAAACAAATACAAAAATTAAATTCACCTTCTTCAGAGGGGACGCTATTTTCATGAAATACCTCTTGGCAGACGATAGTGTTGCTCCCAGGATTATCAGTCATACTGCAATCACCTTTCCACACGAAAGCTCTCACCCATTATTAAACTAACAGTTGTTTTCATAATTTTCCCCTCGCCTGGTGTTTTTGTTTGGCCCTCGGTCGACTTTTGACGCTACGGTGAAGTCACTGATGACTGATAGCGATACCAGTCAATGGTACGAGACCGTAGCGTCGTTCATCGCCTCTTATCAACGATTTTACTGATAGAGGACGCCAGAGTTCCGTCTATTTCCAATCCCAGAGATGCCAACAGCGTGATGAATGCTAGAAACAATTCCCCGTTTTACACAAACTTCCTATAAAATCAATTTTTTGTATTAGAAAAAAATTTAGTGTATAACAAATTCTTCATTTATTGCAAAAACATAAGGAAAGTTATAGATAGATTAATTTTTATTAGCATTTTAAAAGAATAAACATGTCCAACAGAAAAACAAATAATTCACAAGCCTTAACAATAAAATAAATAAATAGAAAATAAAACAAATATATAGTATATTGAAAATGGTATAACAATTCAAATGTAAATATTTGCATAGTGGAAAAAAATACATAATAAATTCTGCTTACAATTATTGGAAGCAAAAGAAGACTTATTTTTAATTTACGATAACTTTTTGTCTATAAACAATATACTTATAAATATTAATCCATTTATGCTTAGTAGTCTAATTGACCAAACTACTTATTTCAATTAAGTATTCTTTTTGGTCTTGGTTGAGATGAAAAAGTCAAAGGTCGTGGGTTCAAATCCGGCTCATCATACTGACTTTTTCATCTCAACCAAGATCTTACAACAAAAGAATAATATACTTATACTTGAGTGCAGAAGTTAAGCAAAGTGGTCATCAATCAAAAATAACATGACACTTGTAATCTTCTTGACAGGATAATTTATAATGTAACTCAATACAGTCACTTTTTTAAACAGTACATAGACGGACAAAACAATAAATGAATGTACTAATCAATTAATTAAGTACTCAAAAATATTATAGGTACATTATTTAACAATCACACACTGGTTTTAAACATAAAATTTGGTACCTGGTGCATTTAGTTATGTCTTTGATATGTTCATAGCAAGTGAGTTTATTGTCCAGTATAAGACCTAGATAGGGACAGACTCAATGTTAAGGACTATTTTACCATTTATGGTATCTTTTGCGGTTGTACATCTTTTAATTAAGTGAAGGTGACCAGTTTTGACTTCTCAGCTTTCATTATTATTCTCCACTTTTTACACTATTCAGAGATTTGTATGAAGTTTTGCAAGGGTATAGCTGGTGAGTTTCTTGCAGTGCATAGGACCACAACATCTCTGCAAGTTGGGCTATAACTAAACTATCCGATTTAGAAAAGACTGATGAGTACACAAGATACAAAAAGGGGCTTAGGATGCTTCCTTGTGAAACCTGATTTTATATAATGGCTTTTAGAGATGCAGTACAGTGTTTTACAGTGAACGTTCTTCTTTCTAAGTATCAATGAATTTGAAGCAAGGGTCTAGGAGCAATACCTTCATTTTGTACATAAGACTGTCATGTCACATATTATCAAAGGCTTTTTCCATGTCTAGAAAAGTCATAGATAGATTTGTTTATTCCCAAAAGTGTCAAGAATAAAGACTACTAAGAATTAAAAAAATCTAACTAAACTAAATTTAATTGTAAATTCATTCACAAGCAGTAACCATCACTTATAATTTTAAAAAAATCAAAACAAATAAATTGAAAAGGCCTAATAATTCAAATCTAAATTTGTGCATGGAATTTTAACTCTGTTACGCAGGTTTTAAAATGCCATTGATCACCAACTTACTACAAAATCAATCTATTGTATTGAAAAAAAAAGCCATATAACAAATTCTGCGTTGTACAGTTATTGGAAAGATGGAAATTTATAAAATGCAAAACTATCTAAGAGTAAACATTTCATCCTTGCATCACACACAGAACATTTCAATCCTACTAAGAATGCACAAATATTAACTAAATTTAATTATAAATTCATTCACAATCTTAACCAATGTTTATTGTTAGACTACTGTTAGATCATCTGCACATTCTGGGCAATTAAAGCCTTTGTCAGATAAACTTTTCAGGAGATCATCTGACCACAGTAAGGGTGACAGAACGCCAACCTGAAGGTAGCCTCTGGTTGTACTTGCCCTTTTTAGTAGTGTTGCCCAGGATAGATAAAATTGTTCACTTCTTTAGATTTTCTTTCACCCATTGACTTAGGGTTTTTGTGATCCCTTTTTTTACTTAGCGCATAGGTCAGAGATTTGGTCTTGGCATTGTTATGTTGTTCCATGTCCAAGAACAATGACAAAGCTATTTCTTTGTCATTTAATAGTAGCCTGTTTAAGTCATTCAGGGCCAGGTCCCTAGACTTCCCCGTCTGATATGCATAGTGCCTAGCACTGAGTGGGTTAGTTTTCAGGGCTATGTCCTTAATATGGTAATCCATCAGTATCTCTAGTGTGCATAAACGATGACAGACTGATAAGTCTGTATGATGAGATAGGTCTTTAATCTGTGGCCCTACCCACTTTTGGCAAATAGACCACTTTCACCTTCCTCCGTGCAGTGGTATGTCCAGGTTAAAGAGGCCCTAAAGATTCTTACCAGAGACTTAATATTTCCTGCCTTTTCTGTAGTAGTAAAGGGCATATTCATCCCTGATTTTCTCTGGTTTGGCTATGTTAGCCGCCTCCTTCCATTCTTCTTTGGAGGGCCGAATGAGCACCTCGGACATTTTTTTTATCGGAAAAGGAAAATGAGGGAACAATGGAACTCACTCATTGGATACAAACAATTCCAGAACCACCTAACAACTTTAGAAGGAAAGAAGTAATAAAATGTACTAAAGGAAGTAGGAAAAAACTGCAAATCCTAACAGGATTCTTAACATAACTAAGCAAACTAAATAGACAACTGAAGAAGATTGGCATAACCCAACATGACAAAAGCAGATTCTGCAAAGAAGCAGAAGAAACACCAACACACCTACTAACAAACTAGTGCTACACTTGCCCACAGGAGGAAGTGTTTTAAGATGGACAATGTTACTGTAGAAGAGATTGAACCCCTAAAACCTACTAATCTTTTCCTTGATGAACTAAGGGACTACTAATCAAGTTCCTTGAACTAAAACTCAATCTTAGAAGACACAGTATTAATACACACTCCAAATAATATACGTACATGTATATATTTATTATTAATTATCTGTTAATAATAAATTATGAATAATAAATAATAATAATTAACAAATAACAATAATCAATAATAATAAATTGTCAACCAATTGTCTTTTTATAAAGGAATATTTATGCAGGAATATGTGATATTTTAATTCTCGATGTGGTTTATTCATTATTATTGTTATTGGAATTGGTTTTTAATTTATTGTAAGTGTGTAACCGTCAATTTTTGAATTTGGGTCCGCCTAGTACCAACAGTCCGCACCACGCGACGCTACTCGTTTTAACGAATCCGCCCCGCACCAAGGCAGGGGCAGAATTGAGAATTCCCTCCGATTTCGTCTTCATCAGGGGAATGTTCTCCCTTTTATTTTTATATTTATTGCTGTTTTAAATTTTAGAAAAAAGATATAATTTTGAAACGGCTGGTAGTTTAAGATCCTTGTTGGGAAAAAAATCTGTCACTTTTCTTGAGAAACAGTCTCACGGTTGCAACGTAAAAATTGATGATTGGATTTTATGCCCGAATGGATTTATTATGGAAAAAAGTCTCTTTTTATAATAAACGTTACTAGAATAAAGATATTTTTTTGAGTTTGGAGAGTGAAGATTGCAAAATTTTGTGTAAATTTGAACAGAAATGCAACATTGAAATCTCGAGTGTCAAGTATGAAGCTCTTTTAAAACATTATCCATGGAAGGATACGACACGGATTCTACTTCATTGGACTTAACGAAGCCGTCTATGAAAATTAAGCACCGGACTTGCTATTTGGACGTTGTTTAATGCCGTTTCGGGCATAAACGTTCCGAGAGGAAGTCGGCTGAGACGTGCTCGGCTCCACTTGGAAGAGATGAAGGCGACAGAAGGGAGCGAAGACGGAGAGAGCTTTTGCGATTTTTCGGTAAGGACCGCCGTCCCGTGTTTATTCCCCGTTAACTCGGGCGTTTTCCTCCCGACGATTTTCCCACCCGGGACGAATTTAATTCCGGGCCGCGTTTCATAACCTAAAACCGTGCTTTCCGCGATTTTCCCGTTTGGCGGAAAATTTCGGCCGGCGGATCTCACGGGGAAAAGCGACCCGACCCGCGAATCCCGCCCATTCCAAGAGAAAAGGGAAATTTCAAGCAAAATTTCTTATATTTTGCTAATTAAAATTTATAACCTTCCTTGTAAACAAAAAGTGCATTTGGCGGACTTATTGTTATTTTTTTAATAGTTTATTATGGTATTTATCCGGCTGTTATTCGGGCCAGTTTGCATTTTGACATCGGGTTTAATTCTGGTTTTTCTGCTTCCAGACCTCTCTCGTCGAAGGATGTAGACTTCCTGTTAAAATGCGTTACGGCGAGGAGTGGCGTAAGTTGAACTTTTTTTGGTTTATTACCATTATTTAATGTTATTCCATGTATAATTCGTGCAAACATCCTGTTGCCAATGGTAAACAACAACGGTGAACGGTGTTCGACAAGTTTTGAACTTTTAACTGTTACCATCCATACACTCATACCAGACATTACAAACTACGTGAAAAACGAAATAAACGCGTGGATGTTTTCGTATCAGAGTTTAGCAACAAGCCAATAATAACTAATGAACCCAGTGTCATGTAAATAATGATTGCCACTGATTTAAACATTTCCAAATATTGTGATGAGGTCTGCGATGTTACCAACCTGTAGCTTGGTTGTCTCTGATTATCCAGGATCAAGTAAGGTAGTGAAGTGACGATGAACCTCTGCATGCCAAACGAATAAGTACAGGCACATTAAGTGCCCCGTACATGATCCGGCAGCCCTGTTAAGCCTGAACAGTCTGCCGGATGACTGGCGGTCGGTTGAACTGAAGGGGCCGTACATTTCTGGCTGGCCAGTCGGTTCAGACTTAACAACCAAGGAGCTCTGGGTGGTGACAACAGTTAGGTCAATTCAGCGCACAATGCATGCATTCCTTAAATCCACTAACTCTCTCACTTACCCTTAAATACACTCTTATCCGTTTACATACCTTTCCCTCAGTCAGGGTCATGGAACACTCGATACTCTTCCATCATTACTCACACCTATTATATAACTAACCTAATTGAGGGTTAATGAGGGTACTCAATATTACGCCATCAGCCCTTTCACTCTACACATTCATGCCAATAAATACATTCGCTCTCATGCACACAAGGGACACAAAATTATCATTACCATATACGATAAAATAACCCTGTTTCCTCCGAGAATTGGAACAGGGCCCCAGGTACTCGCTATGCATACCTACATGCTCTCTATACAGAGCAAAGGAGATGCACTCCTCAATTAGGTGGGACACATTGAACAACTTAGCATGGCCCATTGTTAATCAAGTGAGGATGACCCTACTATAAGTCAGGTTCTTACTAGGGTGACACATTGCTAGTGCTCTTGATATGGGAGAGCTTCTCTGCCAATTTGACCCAGAATTATTAACAGAATAATGTACTTAATTAATTTAATTACTGTGAGGAATTTTTTCTTTTAATTTATCATTAATTTTTTTAACGACCTCGCATTAAAAAAAGGAAAATGTAAATATAAAAATAAACCCATATTTGTTTCGTGGTCATAATTTACCGTATTAATTATTTTTTTATCTAAAGTTTTTGGTTGAGATGAAAAATTAGTGTCATAAGCAGGATTTGAACCCACGACCTTTGGCTCAATTCAACGCTGCTCTAACCACTTGTGCTATCATGACTTCAATCCCCTCTGACAACAACTTCCCACCTCAACCTACAACCGTTCAAATTTTCCCTTTTTTTGCCATATTTTCAAATGTTGTCAGGATTCGATTCTCAGCGACTTATGTAGTGGCCACGGGGAGCTATTAATGAAGTAATTACTTTGTTTAAATTATTAAATTAATCCACATTTGTTTAGTGGTCATAATTGACCATATTAATTATTCTTTTCATATAAGGTTTTTGGTTGAAACGAGCGGGATTCGAACCCACAATCCCCTTGGAAACCAACTTCCCATCTCAACCTACAACCGTGGGATCCTGCTCATGACACTTAAGTTTTCATCACAACCAAAAACCTTATATGAAAAGAATAATAACTATAGTCTATTATGACCACTAAAGAAATATGGATTAATTTAATAATTTAAAAAAAGTAATTACTTCATTAATAGCTCCCCGTGGCCACTACATAAGTCGCTGAGAATCGAATCCCGATTACATGACATTTGAAAATATAGCAAAGAGAGGGAAAAATTCGAACGGCTGTAGGTTATGATAGGGTGGTGGCCGAGGGGATCAAAGTCACGATAGCTCAAGTGGTTAGAGCAGCGGCGGATTGAGCCGAAGGTCGTGGGTTCGAATCCCGATCTTGACACTAGCGTTTTCATCTCAACGAAAAAATTAAAAATGATCTTTAATTAAAAATGATAATTAATTGGAATAAAAATAAATCTTTTACTTTTTTGGTCGAGATTTAAAAGTAATATAAAAGAAGAAAAGAAGGGAAAATAAAGACAAAAATCACTACTAAACTTAATTATTATTTTTTAATTGAAAAAAATATTGTATTTACAAAGAATAGTCTCTGTAAAAAGGGGAACTGAGAAATAAAAACGAAAGGTTACCACCTGGTCTGAAGAACTCTTCGATCTTGTGTATTTATGCTGAGAATTTCTTTGGTCGTGACTTAATGCCAACTGGATGGACTACCGAAGCGAAAAACAAAGAACCAGTGCTTCTTATTGAGCTCTCTCTCTTTTTTTTTTAATATCAAATTGATCAGCTGCATTGACCCCTTCTCTTTTTTAAATTTTTATTTTTTATTTATTTAACATTTCTGTCGTATACAGTTTCACTAACTTTACAGCACTACAATATAACATGACACTTGCTATGAGGGATCAGCCCATTGGCTATCCTCAAAATTTGTATTCATAATCAATAGTAATCAAACAATACGATATATGGTTGTTTTTTTTTTAAATTTTGTAACGTTCATGACAATCAGCCAATGCAGCACTGAAAATGGTGTGTTTTGTCACTCAGTTGAACTTCATACCATAGGGAATCGCTGTGATGTTTCCGTTTTAGTCTTCGCTGCTGTCTTGGAGGGGGTATGTTATTGGCTGCTGCTCTTGCGGTCGTGTTTTCATGCGTGCATATTAAAATCGTGGAGTTTTTCATAGCGTTCTTTTATGATATCAGCAACTGATGGTATTTCAAGATCCTTGTGCAGTATGGCATTTCTTACATACCAGGGGGCGCCTGTTATTATGCAGAACACTTGACTTTGAATTGTTTGTATCCTTTGGATTTGGGACGCAGAACCCCAGATCTCACATCCATATGCCCATGGGCGTATAACTACAATATATATCAGGCGCTTTAAGTGGAGTGGTAGTTTTGAATTTTCAGAAATAAGGAACTTTAATTGCTTTATCCGATATCTAAGTTTTTTGATTGTTTGATCAATATGCGGGGCCCATGTCAGCTTCTCATCAAGGGTTATTCCTAAGTATTTTTCTATTGGTCCAGAAGGGATGCTTTGGCTGTTAATTTCTATCGGGATATCCGTTACCTTTCTTTTTAGATACCAAAAACAAAAAAATATAGTGGCGCTTCCATCAGATATATGTTCGAATCCATCACATTACTTAATAGTAATTTAAGTTAATAAATTTATCTGTACTGCTCGGGCAACAGAAAAAGGACTTAAAGGTGGCTGTTGCCTTTCAGTCTACATGACTCACGTTCCGATTTTACTGTGCTTGCTACAAGCCTGCCAATAAGCCTGGCAAATAATTGAGTTTTCATTCGATCACTGGCTACCTGCTTAGTTTGGTATAACTGATAGACCGGCTGGATCATGGCCTTTTAGAATGATCGGAGATTGCCAGATAAATTTTCTTATATAGTTCATTAGTTATACAAGTACTGTTGGTAGTAGTGTAAATGCTAACTGATGAAGGTAGAGTGACATGTAAATGATTGCCACTGATTTAAACATTACCAAATATTGTGATGAGGTCTGCGATGTTACCAACGTGTACCTTGGTTCATCCAAAATCAAGCTCATCACTGAAGGTAGTGAAATACCAAAGAGTCTGTGAGTCAAAACCAGTAAGAACATAAATAGTACAATGACAGAAGGTAGTAAGAATACATTTTCATGTATGGTTATAAGTTTGTAACATGCAAGCACTGTTGTGCTTAAGCAGTCACTGATTTTAATATTTTCATGCGTTGTCTGTGATATAATGGACTATTAGTTTGACCATCTCTCCTAATGGAAAGCCACCTCTCAGTTATAAAATTAGTGAAAAATGGCTAGAACCAACATTTAAGATAGCAAAATGTCAAAGCTCTACCAAACCGAACCAGTAATTATAGGGAGACCGTAATGATTGGTAACAAACTAAATCAAATTTTTAATTGATTATCTCCACTGTTGAAGGTTGCAAAATGCACAGACTCTGCATGCCAAAACCAGCAATAACAAGCATAATAGAATGTACGGAAATGGCTAGATTATATTTTAATGTAAAAAAAAACAAAAAAAACAGTAGTTTGGTTGACTCCTATCACCCTTAAGTAAGCTCACCACTGAAGTTGGTGAACTGCAAGAATTCAGATGCCAAAGCCTGCATGGACAGGGACTTTAGAATGATTGGATATAGACAGATTACATTTTCATTGTATGGTTAAGTTTAGAACATGTGCAGCACTGGTGTTAGTAATGTGAAAGCTAATTAATGAAAACACATTATTATGTAAGTAATCATTGACTTTAATATTTTCAAACATTGTGTTGAGGTCTGAGAGGTAATTAACAAGTAGTTGATTGTGTCTACTACTGAAGCTGGCAAAATGGAAAAACACGTCACACTGATAAAGATGGTGACATGTGAAAACATGTCTGACAAACCAGTGAAGAGCGGCAGTTTAAAATGATTTGAATTGACCAAAATAAATGAAATTTTCGTTGATCGCCTCCATGATCATTGAAGTTGGCAAAATGGAAAAACCTCATCTTTGCGATAAAATCAGTGAAAAAATGGCAACATTGCAGATGGCGAAATGTCAAAACGTATTTGGCAAACGAAACCAGCAAGGAGAAGTCGACCAAAATGAATTGAAGTGACCAAACTAAATGAAATTAGTTGATCTTCTCCTATATTATTAAAATTGGTAAAATGAACAAACACTTCTGAACGATAAATTAACCAGACCGATCAGCGAAGATGGCAAAATGTTGAAACACAGACAACAACCTAACGAGAAGAGGAAGACTTTGTACTTTTATTTTTTACCAATAAGAATAGGTTGACCAATTAAATTACATTTGTATTAATCTGAGATTTCCCCATGTGGTCTGTTAAGTGATGAAGAAGCCTACAGTTTGATCGTTACCAATCTTGGCATGCGTATCCTTGCTGGGTTGGTCTGTCAGGCGTGTTTCAGATTAAAATGATTAGAAATGACCTAACTTCAAAACATAACTAATTTGGTGATTAATATTTTTTTAAATGGATTTTGTAAAATTGTTTTTGTTTTTCAGCTCTTGCAGAAATTGTCAGTGTCAAAGAAGTAAATGGAACTTGCCACTACTATGTACATTTTGTCGATTGTAAGTAGCCCATTTGCCTGTTTAATTTTTTAATAAGCTTGGAATTTATTGTTTATTTTTCTAACTGTTAATTTCAGACAACAAAAGGTTGGACGAATGGGTCACAGATGCAAGGTTGGACACTCGGAAAGTCCAGTTTCCAAGGAAGGACGGAAGTGGGGTCAACACTCCAAACAAAAAGTTAGCGCCGGGGGGCGGGGGGAATATTGGACCGGCACCAGTTTCCTCTCGCCCCTCATCACCTGTTAACAATACTGAACTCTTAAATGGAAATGCTGTCCTAGCGGCAGCATTACAGAAAAAGATGTCGAGAAAAAGGAAAGCCCCTACGGCGCCTCTAACACCTACAGCGCCTGTAAACAATGAAGAAAAAGAAGTCAGTTTAAAAAATCAAAAATCAAATAAGTGTTGTATTGTTAATTTATATTTGTTTTTAGGAGCCTCCAGAAAAACCTAGCCCAGCAGTGCCATGTCTGACTGGCTCCATGGTGGCGCACAATGACGATGTGGTCACAAGAATGAAAAATGTGGAAATGATAGAATTAGGTCTTCATAAAATCCGCCCTTGGTATTTTTCCCCTTATCCAGAAGTAAGTTATATCTTTCTTTTTTTTTCTAACTACACCACAATATAGTGAAATAACTAAATTGTCACTTTTTTTTTACAGGAATTAATTAATTTACCTTGTATATACATTTGTGAATTCTGTTTGAAATACAGAAAAAGCAGAAAATGTCTAGAAAGGCACCTTGCAAAGTGCAATGTAAGGCATCCGCCTGGGAATGAAATTTATCGTAAACAGAATATATCATTTTTTGAAATCGACGGGAGGAAAAATAAAGTCTACGCTCAGAACCTGTGTCTACTGGCGAAATTATTTTTAGACCACAAGTCTCTATATTTCGATACTGACCCTTTTCTTTTCTATGTAATGACCCATCTGGATGATAGGGGTTTCCATATAGTAGGCTATTTTTCAAAAGAAAAAGAACCGACAGAATTCAATGTCGCTTGTATATTAACGATGCCGCCATACCAAAGGAAAGGATATGGAAAATTATTAATAGAATTTAGTAAGTATTACAGTTTCATTTTCTTAAAATCCTCATAGAGTCCATTTGACAGCATGATTATTTGATTTTTATAATTGCATTTAATTAATCCTAATTTGTAAATCAAAGTTGAATCAGCATGAAACTAATTTTCAAAGAATTTTTGTAAATATTCGTTTGTTCGACTAATTTAAAATCAGTAGAATCTTTCAGGTACTGTTATATAAAGATATAAAATGATTATTTCATAAATTAATTATTTTAGGTTATGAACTGTCAAAATTTGAGGGTAAAACGGGTTCTCCTGAAAAACCCCTTTCTGACCTGGGACTCTTGTCGTATAGGAGCTACTGGTCTCAAACCATATTAGAAATTCTTGTCAATCTAAAACCAAACGCAGATAACAAAAGGCCTCAAATAACAATAGTGTAAGTATTTTATTTCCCTATCCGATTTGTCTGTGAGCCTGTTCAAATACGTTTCTTGTTTTTTTTTCCGCCCTCTAGAGAAATCTCGGAGCTGACCAGCATAAAGAAAGACGACGTCATATCAACCCTCCGGAATCTGAACCTAATAAATTATTATAATGGACAATACATAATCACATTAAACAAAGAGACAATAGACCACCACATGAAGGCGATGGAAAAGAGAAAAATTAGAATTGACCCTAAGTGTCTACATTGGACTCCAAAAGATTGGTCAAAAAGGGCAAATTGGTGATAGTGCTGTGTACTTTTAAAGACATGTAAACTTTTTTATGTGCTTTTCTGTTTTTTTTTGTTTTAATTTAAAAAAAGAAACATTTTAATCCAAACTAAGTTAAGTAGGATGTACATGATCTTGAACTTTCACTACATAATTTATATGAATTTTTTGTGTTTGGTTCACTACAAAGTGTATGTACAAATGTGATTTTAATTATAAGGTCTTTTTTATATGTTTTATTGCTCAGTTGCCTTTATTCTCTTTTATTTATAAGAACTCGTAAACTAAAATCTATGGCCATCCTTATACTTGATTGCATTTTTTTGTGGATAAAGTCAATCATTTAAAACTGAATCTTTAAAAAAAAGTAAAATATATACTGGCAGTTAAAGTCAGATTTAAATAAATGTAAACCATTTAAAGTTTCCAGGGATTATTATTCTTGACCCAATAAAATATATATATTAATATTATACTATATTATCAATAATATATTATATTATTAATATTATATAAATAAACGTAAATATACTTTAAACTGTTTTTTTACTCACCTTGTGTTGTGTGTCATGTACAGGGTAGTGCAAATAATAATTTTTCAACAAAAAGCTTTTGAGTTTTGACATAAACGCAACTTAAAAATGTATTTTTATTATAGTCATAAAACAAAAAATGTGAATTTGATCAAACCTCAAGTAGTTTCGCAACTGTGAGATTTCTGAGATGGTCTGCAGGGTGAAGAACCAATTATTTAGGTCTGCCTGTTCTTTCTGGTTTGGCCTGTCAGATGCGCTTTGGCTTCTCACCATCTTCAGTGGTGGATCTGTGAAATTCATTTTGAAATCCAGAACAGACCCTGTGAGGGTAGGTGGACCAAAATGATTAGTAAGTATTAAAATATATTTCCTCAATTCCTTAAATACTCTAATACTTTTTTTTAAGTATAGGCAATTATCTATCGCTTTTTCCTATTTTTCAACTTTTCAATCATACCACTGTATAACTTTGAATTAAAAAAACAACTATATTTCACAATTTCCATCTGGTTTCTAAATTTCTTTCCTTTCAAAAATGTATAATTGACTGGAAAGTGGAAAGACTTGATATCAGGGATATAAACAGGTTAGTAGCAAAACTGTCACATGAATTACGTGCATGGGCAATGTTTTGCCCATATTTTATGTTGATTGATTAAAATTAAATCACCTTTCTTTTTTCTTCTGATACCTCCTTTAAAAAAGAATATAACTGGGTACAAAATAACAATAGAAAGAATTCTGCTGAATTTTAAAAGAATTGTAAGAAGAATATAAATCTTAAGGAGCGTTCATGAACAAATTCTATTGTGAAAACCTTTGGTTCAACCGAGTTGATCAACTTTTTATTTGAGACTTCCATTTAAGTCCTGAGCCAATCCTTTAAGTTGAAACGCCTTGAAACATGTGAGCTTCTTGTTGACTGTTTCTTGATCAACTATTACTGAAGGTGAAGTGTTTTGTTTTTTGTTTCTAAAAATTATCATAGGTATTGGAATGCCCAATTTATATTTACATATATAGATCAATTGTCTTGAAAAATTTCATGATTTCTGTGACGAAGCTCATTGAAGAAGTTATAAAAAAAAAATTTGGGTGACACACTATTTTCCTGGATATAGTGAACCTTTGAAAACATGCTTTTTGTGGTAAATGAAAAGGCTTGAATAAAAGTAAGAAATTAGATAAAATAATATTAAACTATTTTGAAAATAAATTATAGCACTTATTAAAAAAATATCAAGCCGTAATTAGATGACCAACTCTAATGAAATTTAAGGGGGAAAAAAAATCAAGCTTGGTCCTCCAAAGTGTTCCCTCGATGAGCACCTAGAATCCCTCAGCAACTTTCTCTTTTTCGATTTTGCAATGCTCACTTCCTCAAGGTCCTCTGCAATCCCGCACAACCAAAAGAAAATTGCTAAACTTCAGGAATTCAACTATTTTGTTTCTTACGCTTATTCACAGCATACTGTCGTGATCGTAGCTTTTTTATTTTTATTTGATTTTTAAATTTAAGTGTAGACACTTGTCACTTGACAGAAAAACAGCAATCAAGTGATCTAGGGTTCCACCATCTAGGAAAGATTAGGGATGATCAAACAAAGAAAAAGAAATTGGTCAAACATAGTACAGTCATTGTCTTAATCGGGTAAGGAACCCTCTTCTATCATTTAAATCCTCCGAAGACAACCAATCGACCATGCTCTTGATACTTAGGAGTGTCTCTTATCATTTGACCACTGATTGTATTTTTAATGTCACGAGGCTGAATCACAGTGGTCAACAGGAACAAAAACATTATAATTGTAATAACTCTTCAATCTTTGAATCACATTACAATATATTAAGATTTTATGTTACATAAGTATTTCATACTGAAATTTATCAACAAAAAATATATAGCGTTGGTTCATTGTATCAAAACCCTTTAAAAAAATTTATTCTCTAAATTATAAAAAAAGAAATTTTTATTTTGGTAAAAGTGGAAGGAAAGGATGATATGGTATGGTAAAAAAGTATACTAGGAAGCGGGGTTTGCGCTCCCCAGGCCCTGCAGCCTTCTGGCTTATTGTACATTCCTAGTTCCTTAGTTTAGTAGCAATAGACTCAATCCTTCTCCTTAGAAGTATCAGGTAATTGACAGTCGCTGCTGCAATTTGATTCCCTAAGTTTTTTCCGTACGTTAGATTAAATCTCTATTGGGCTGTTGCTTCACATTCGAAGATGATATGAGTGGCTGTTTCCTCCTCCTCATTACATAATCTGCAAATGGGGTCATCGTTGTATATACCCAAGTTGTGAACATGTTTTCTCAGATGCCAGTGACCGGTTAGTAGTCAAACCACTCCTCTGAGTTTGGCCCTGTCCAATTGCAGCAGTTTTTGCCAGTCTCGGTGAGAGTTGTTTCATCATAAGTTTACTATGTCTAGCACTGCTAGAGTTTATCCACTTCTCCTTTTGTTTTGTTTCGATCCATTCTGCGATGGAGGATTCTATATTTGTTTTTGTTATCCCAAGTATAGGTTCGGGTCCTGTGTATGGTCTTGCAGATCCTCCTCTGGCCAGTCTGTTTTCTCCTTGCCCAAAATTCCCCTGTGCCCTGGCACCCAAGATATCATCAAGTTGTTGTTTCCCCAGGTTTCGGAGATTTTGGATGCATTCACTGACTAATTTTGATGTGATTCTTTTACATGCTACTGAAGTGTACTTCCCTAATTGCTCATGTTTTGGGCTTGTACAGAAAACGCCTGATCCGGTTCCTTCGTTTGTTTTGGAGCCATCTGTGTACTGTATCATTGTATCTGATGCTCTCCTGTGTTCTTCCTCTCCTTTATAGTCCGTTGAGACTTTGTAGGAAGTTGTGAAGAATGATTCCGGGATCATATAATCAGTTCTCATTTCTAATAATGGGTGTCTGATTTTGTTGATTATGGTTGTATGCCTGAATTGTTTAGTTCCTTTCCAATTTAATTGTTTCTGGAGCCTAAGTGAGCTTTTCCTAGCCTCTCCTTGTATAAATATTTCCAGTGGAGGCAGGTTTAGCAAAGTTTCTAATGCATTTGTAGGGGTTGTTCTCATAGCCCCTGTGATACAGGTTTGCTAGTCTTTGTATGCTGTCTAATGTTTGGGTAGCTATTTTTTTTTGAGCTTTGTTCCACTAGATTAGTGATCCATAGGCTATTATCTTATTCTTATTACTGCTGTGTATATCCAATAGGCCATTTTCGGTCTAAGGAAAGGACAGTCTGGCAAAATTAAATTGTTTTATTGAAGAATCTTTACAAATTTTAATTTACTGATCATCAAATTTAAAAAGAAAAATCTTTTCTAAAGGAGTTCTAAGAAAATATTGGCCCTTCGTACCTCATTTTTAGTAGGTAGAATTGATTGATTCAGGCGCTTTTATTTATGTTTTGCTTTTGTTGGCATAAACCATGTTAGGTTGGTTTTAAAAAACTGCAAAACTGCAATTTGAACTAGTATTTTCAACATTGATTATGATATTTTTTATTTTAAAACAGATTTTGACAAAGGACAAGACAGAAGACATTTTGTTTATTATTTTACAAGGGTTTGCAACAGCAGAATTTTGAAAAAGGCCCATTGGTATTTTGGGTTCGAATAGAGCAGCCCTGAATTCAAATCCAGTCCTTTACCTTACAATGATGAGTGGCGTGTCCACACCTTAATCGTTGTGGCCATCGATGACTCCTGTTAATTTTGCATATATTTTTTTAATCGTTTTAGATTTTTTAAGGAGGGGTATATCTATGAACTAAAAAAAAGGAAACGTACGAATTAGAAATTCAAATAGCTTGGTTTGAAATAAAATATATTTTACTCATTACACAAAAGTGAGAATAAGCATGATTACCTAAGTGATTATTCTTAAGGGAATAATGACAGTAATATAATCTATTATAATTTAGTTCAAAAGCAAAAAGCAAAAAAAGGTATTTTTTTGTAAAGAAAATTAATTCCCAAGTGTACATGGTTCACTGGTATTTTGAATTTAGCATTTTTTTTTAAAGAATTAAATAATGAATATATTAGAAACAACATTCCAAGCAGCTAACACTAAAATGCACACACCATAGTTAAGATTCTTTTTTAATAATTGTTTTATTTCATTATTATAACTTGTATTTACATTAAAGTAAACGTGTTTCAAGCTAAAGTGTAGTAAACATAAACTAAGTAAATGGATACAATTTGTTAATTCAATCCACATATTCTGTCCAATATGTTTATGAATTCAATTTATCCTAATTATTTAAAACAATTTAGTAACGTATACATTATCCACTTTGCTGACATTATATCAGATTAACAATTAGATTACATATGTACTAAATAACACAAAACAAATAAAGCTTTGATGAGAAGAATAGAGCAATAAGAAATTACACATTTTAGGGGGAAAAAAAGAAAAAAATGAAAATGGTAACTTTACTGTGGAGACATTAAATAAATGTTACTAAGTACTTGTTAAAATTGAAAACTTCTCTGTGGTTAAACTTTCAGATTTTCTTCTCAATAAATATATTTACATTTTTTCTCAATACACTGACAAAACTTATTAACTTTTTGTTCATTCTTATAGACAGACAGAAACGTTTTAATGAAACATTTTTTTAAGATTATTGTTTTGACTAGCCTATACACAATGTAGTAAGGATAAATTAACGACCGTGTGTTTTACAATATGGACGTCCACCTTTTGCGATGAAGCTCTGCCCTTCAAGATTTTTCTTACACAACTGTAAAGAATTGCATTAGAGGTTGAACAAATTTTGCTAATTGTGATATACATACACTGCAGTTGAAACATTTGCTGTGGTAGTTGTTCTTGAGAGCTTCTACCCAACGGTCACCGGCTTCAATTGGAAATCCACAAGCTATGCACTTTGTTGTAAACAATTCATTCCAATCTGAATGACAAACATTAGATAAGTTCATTTTTTATCAATTTAATACGAAATAGCTTTAAATTTTTAATTTACCATTTTCACAGTAAGGAAGATTGTCTTCGAGGAAAAATAAATCATTGCCAAACAATTTATCACAGTAAGAACAGCTGAAACATTGAGGGTGGAAATGTTTGCCAATAGCGTTCAAGCAGTCCTATAATAAAATGTATAATTAAAATATCGAACTATAATTTTATTCTTTTAATTTATCATACTCCTTTGATTTTAGTGTGGCATTTGTCGCAAGTCGGTGCAAGATACTGTTCAAAACAGTACTCGCAGTATAGACCATCGGGTTCTTCTACAAAGCCAATATCCTGAAGTGGGCGCTTACATTTGGCATTGCAACACATGAAATGGTCAGGGCACCAAATTTTCCCCAATGCTGTTATGAATGGTCCTCTGGACATTAAGAACAATAATTAGAAACAATATTTATGCACTAAATAAGCATATAATATTATTAACTCACACTGTTACCTTTTTATTGTGTTATTACATTGATTACAGACTGGCAACAAATCCTTTTCTACAGAGTCAGTTTGTGAAATAACTGCTTCATTAGCTGTTATGTATAAAGACATGCATTATTAGAAAAAAAAACAAAAAAACAACGTTATAAAAACCAAATAAAATAATGAAAATTGGTTAAAACACTTGAAAAAAATAATTATTAACTAATAACTATAAACATAATTATTATAGAAACACTTTTTATTATAAGTTGATTTATTTTATTGGTTGCTGTAATAAGAAACGTCTTAATCATGGAGTGGTTACATTTTCATTTGTTAAAATGGTAAATTAGTCATGGAGAAGTTTTTAATTTTAATCAAGCAAAATTATCACACGTAAATAAACAAAAACATAAAAAACAGGAATTCCCAAGCTATAAGTGCTCACAGTCAGCCAGAAGCGATTGTACCTTATTTGACCATTGCAGTGACCACAGAGGGGGACCCTGCCTCCAGCTGGTACTGCGGCGTTTAGGACACCTCTTCCTCTTTTAGGAGCAGAAGAGCCGGCCATGGCACCACTCTTCCCTCCGCCAACTCCTCCTCCGAAACCACCTCCCATACCGCCACCTCCCATACTGCCACCTCCCATACTGCCACCTCCCATACCGCCACCTCCAAAATTGTCACCTCCCATACTGCCACCACCTGCATATTGGGATTTGATGGACTAGGAGTGACACCACAAAAACCAAGATTGGATTTGGACAAGGGTATAAAAGAGGTTGAGGATGTTTTGAAAGGGAAGAAGGATAGAATTTTTTAAATTTTGGTTGAATTTGCTCCATTTAACCAATTGTTGATTGGTTTTTTTAAGCACCAATTGGGTTTTGTGTAAAATAGCGAAATTCCAAATTTTGACTTTCTAGAGTCAAACTCAGTGCATTTGTACCAATTATGTTTGAGAAGCCGTGGGGTGTAATTTTGTATTTTGTTGCCACCCTTTAACAGTAAAGCATATTTTTATTTAAAATTTTGAAACTTTTGAACCTAATTGTACACAGCCAGCCTTATTCTGCACAGTTTTCAAATTTCCCTTCTAAAATTTATTTTCCTTCATATTCAAATCACCATCTAACAACCCAGAAAGTTGGTTGTGTTTGTGCAACTCTGAAGTTTTATTTTTGATTTTTGATATTGGAATAATGAGCTAGGCTAGATTTTTTCTAATTTTTTGTTGCTGGTTTTTTGAAATTTCTTAGAAATCGACTGTTTGACATATAAGTAAACTATATGAATATTTTTGGAAGATCCTGGAGGAATAAGTGAGGAGTAGAAAAGATCAATATATTATGTCAGATATTTGTTTTGTTGATAATATTCAACAATTCTGAACGATGAATTTCATACCCAGTTTGAGAAGTACCATGTAACTTTTTTCCCAATGTTTTTAATAATTTACTCATAAAGTCAGTACATCAAGATGTTTTATTTTTTAACCATTTTTTTGCTAAGTACTAATCCTATAATGTTTGTAATGTTGTAATGTTCTGAAGGTAATTTGATTTGCTATGATTATTGGGGTTCCTTGGAATGTATTACATTTCGATTGCATTTTTTTCAAAAATTTTTTATACTTTGACAAGTGGAGCATTCTTGATTAAAAGGAAATTAGGATTTTTATTCGGAAGTTGTTCAATTGGACGATTGGAGTTTTATTATGAATTACATGCAATGCAGAAAGAAAATTAATGTTAAAGTTTGTTAAAAGAGGAAGACAAAAATAATCAGAAAAACTATAAAGAAAGCATGACATTAGAAAGAAAATTAAAACTTATTTTTATTACATTTTCTCAAAATAGCTTGGGTTTTCCTGCTTCATTAATGAAGTAGTATAAAAAAAGGTACACATTTTAACAACTCGAAAATTTAAATAATATTAACGTTCTAAAAGCTTAAAAAACAAAAAAGAAAAAAAAAGAATAAATCTGAGAGCTGCTCATAAGTATTAATTTCTACTTAGTTTCAAACTTTCGACATGGAAAAGGGCCTAGGTTTGGTGTTGAAAGAATTGAATGCTGAAAAAGAAATAATAATTCTATATTACAACAGATAAAAATCACTTAAAATTTAATTAGAAAAAAGAAGAAAAAAACAAAATATGTCCCCCTCTTATGAAACAGCTCTCAATGACATTATATTCATTATGTGTATTTGATACAAGGCCCAGTTAAATATATTAATTTTAAACTGTGTTTTTATTCTAATAGCCACATTATTTATTACGATACCCCAGTAGGAATTCAATTCGTTAATAGCATTGTACAGTTACTTGTTATGAGAGATTCCCATATCTTTGCATTACATGCGTTTTTATGGAATAGTCATACCTCTATAGTTGGAAGTGGGTTTCAACGGTGAGAAACCTAAATTTAAACCAGTCTGTATGTATTTTTTTTTTTTAAACAAAAGTCTTGTTCCATCAAGTTTTTGTTTTAAAATTTCGTTTTTTTTTTAGGGGTTTAATTCGTTTTGTGCATAATCATTCTTATTAAATCAGGGTGTTGTACGCTATTTCAAAAGCGTACAACCAACATTAAAAATGTACTAATAAAATAACAGAGAAGTTAATTTTGCTTACCAGGCTTGGGGAAATTAGTCATCGGAGTAGACGGAGCCGAAGGCAAGTTGAAAGGCACCATAGTGGGAGTGCTGGGTGCATTTTGGCTTCCAAACGGCTTTGGTGCTTGATTGCTTGAAGTCTAAAATTCAAATTATAGAATTAATTACATTGAAAGTTGTATACAGGATGAATTTAACCCCTTACATTTTTTTTATTGGGGTGTTTTTGGGCAAAAAAACCGAGAAATGTAAATTTTTATTTTTTGTCTTGTTTCTCACAAACCAAAAAGTTTTGATCTTACTCTCCTGGATAATAAGATTTGGACAGGAACTTAACTGTTTAAAATGGCAAACTCTATAATATACAGCTTTTAAAAGGTTGGTGCAAACGGGTTTTAATTTCGAACAACCTTCTCAGGTTTTTCGCAAAAAGTTTGTTATGAACATTATTTTTTACATATATAAAAACTTCTTCAACGAAACAACAATTTTTTTGTTTATCATTTTAACTGACATTAAATTAATTGGTTTACATGTTTGAAACTTTCATAACAATTTCCTCAAATACTATCAACTACCAAGACCCTCTGGGTCCAGCCTTGTACAAAATTTGTTTCACTTTCCCTAACAGCAGAATCAACTTCACTTTTTCTTGTAATGTACGAGTCATTCTTATGATGCACGGTGCAAATTAAGTCAAAGAATGTAAAAACTCAACTTGAGAGTGGTGATTTTTACGATAATGCTATAGTTAACGTAAAAATAGTGTTATAATTTACATCAGTACGTATAATTCACTATGTATTAAAACATTTCAATTTTTTTTTGATTACTCAAAAGCCTAAAGCTTCAACAAATCAATTTTTATTTAATTTTGTTTGTCAAAGATTAATTTATTTTAAAATTTGAATTTTTGGACCATCATTCACACCAGACTGACTTGTGCTTTACTGAGCTACATCTAGAATGTCCTGTTAGTCAATGTTTTTTTTGGAAATTATTTGCAAAATTTTTCTCTTGTTACATGAGCAATTAATTTACTATGCATGGAAAGGAAATAAATTGATTGAAGAGATTTCATTTTACCGAAAAACTGTTCAGAATTTTTTTTGCAAATAATTTGATATTGGTTACTCAAAATTAAAGCCTGTTTACTCTGTTGAATTCAGACTCAAAAAACCTTTGACTTGAAGAAAAATATGTTGCTATTTGAATTGGTTAAAGTTCCTTTCGTACCCTGTTTTCCTGGAAAGTTAGATCAAAACTTTCTGGCTCATGAGAAATTAGAAAAAAAAGGAAATTAACATGTCTTGAGGTCAAAAATGCCTCAATAAAAAGTTATACAGGGGGACAGAAGTTAAACTCACCCTGTATAAACTATTTGTTAGCTTTGACAGTAAGTCCTATGATTAAACTATAATACAAACCGAAATTAACATGCTTTAAAAGTAATTCTATGCAAAAAGCATTGAATATTGAAGATTATTGAATTAATGATTCTAGAAAGATTGCTGATCTACTTGTTTCGTGATAATAGTTGCTAATATGTTTATAAATTTTGCATAACTAACAATACGTAAAAGTTAATTTAAGAAATTTATAGTACCAAGTTAAATTTTTTACTTTTGTATCATTTATAAACATAAGATAGAAATAAAATCAGGAATAGTATTTTAGGTAAAACGAAATTTTAACTTTTTGTAATGAGTTTTAAAATGGTTTAAAAAAAGGACCTTTTTCGACTAGATGTGGTTATTATTATCAAATTATTTTATGTTTTACCAAGGTTACTAAAGAATCTCGATGAAATATTAATTGTACTTTTGTTCATCAGTTCATCAAGATAAATAATTCAAATTCTTACTGTTGTTTTGAATTGTTGTAACTTGTATAATGAAGAGTCAATTTACATTAGAAATAAAGTAACAAAAGCTGTACAAAATTATAATTAACAGAAATATGATTCAGATTGATAATGAAAGTAGGCACATTGAATAGAAAATGAAATGCGGATTCAGTCGAAATGAAAATTATAATCTGAGTTATAGAAATATCTACTGATTGTTATTGAAAAACTTTTTCACTTTGCGACAAAATAGGACAAAATAGAATGATGTAGGTGAAAACACACAAATATACTTTGGTTTTAATCTTTTTTTTTTTTTTTAAAGTGTACCTGACCACCATATCTTGGGAAAACGACATGACGGGTGCCCAGTCTAGGTGCCTGGAAATTTACCCGAACCAATACATTTTCAAGATCCATTTAATAAAAAGTGTGTTAGTTTAGTTTCAAAATTGTATTCCAAATATTTCAACTCCTTAAGGTCGGATTGATTCTATATATCGCTTACATGGAATGGCATCGGTGCTACAGTTCCAGGTTGAGGTGATTTAGGTCCTGCAGTCGGCACTGATGGGATTGTAGGAACATAAGTACTACCAGTTGGAATCCTTCCACCACTGCAATAAACATTATTTTGAAAATATCCATTTTGAAACACTTTAAAATAATATATAAAAAAAATATTAACGGTGGAACTGTGACAGGCTCCAAGTTTGGTGCTGGAGGATTCTGCCTCGCTGCCATTTTTGCATGGACATCACAGTAGAGCTTATTGTTTATATTGTAATATCCCACATTTTTCAAAGACGTTCCGCAGGTCGCACATTTGAAGCATTCCACATGCAGATTCTTTTCTTTTATTCTTACAAATACTCCGCTGCAAATCCATAAATTGAAATATTTCAGTATGTAGTTTAAAAAAAAAGACATGTTTTATGTTTTTAAAGTGTCTCTTTAACTGGAGTTTATGGAGGCTGTTCAAATGTAATTATAATCAATATCAACTTAATAAAATTTATGTCATAAATAACTTAGATATGATTAGAGTATTTTTCTTCTATTGTGAGACCTCTTTTACTTTTGTTATACTGCTGCATCGTTTGTATGAGATGAGAGTGATATATACATGAGGAAAAAAGTTTTACTTGTTGAATGAGTATTAGACAATTATAAGAGTAATGCATTACTCCAAAAAAATTTAGTGAAGAAAAATTTAATTTCAGAAGAAAAGATACAACAGGAGAGACAAAATCATGCTTCAAAAATTGATACTTTGTTTTAAAAAAAAAATTGGGAAAAAGTAAAAAAAGAAATACACAAAAATATATAGGAGGTGAAAGAAAATAGATCATGCTGCTTGCTACTACTAACTAACCAAACATAATAGAGAAAGTAGACAAAATAGGAAGTGCATTTGTGGATAATATAGCAAACAATTTCTGTGAGATCCACATAAAAATTTTCGACAAAACAAAAGATAACATCACTTTTGTTAGAAGTGCAGGGTTTACAGGGTTTTTTCTTAATCACATCGATGTACCACTCACACGATGTGTTTGCCACATTCTGAACAGGAAGGACTCCCCGGCGTTGAGGAGGGCGGTGGCAAGTTTGGCTTGTCTTGTGGTAGCTCGGGTGTGCCCATCTGTCGAGCTATTGGAGTCAGTGGTCGTGGGGATGTAGTTCGACCACCCACGGCATGACTTGTCATCGAGAAATACTTCGTATTCGACAAGGGAGCTGACAAATTGTAAAATAATTTCTAAATTTATATTTAGTTGATACTAACATATTTTGTTTCATGCACTTGAATACTATTTGTAAAAGCCTGCTTGCCTCCTTTCTCCTATCGCTGAAATTGAAACAATTAGTACTGTTGATTAGCAAATGTACATAACACTGGCTTGTCCCTTAAAACTCAGCTTTAAAATATATTCAAATTCGTTTTTACTTCAAGGTTCAACTGGCACACAATCAATTACATACCATTGCTTCATCAACAGCACTACACGTTACAAGTTTACTTACACAATTAATCTTTCACAATCTGCACATAGATTTTGGCCTGGAGGAAGTACGGTCTGAGGGCTTGACGGTGGTCTCGCTTCTGGCGGAGCTACATGCCTCAGCCCAGTGACTGTAGGAAGGTGTGTGGTGGGAGAGCTCACTACATGTTCTAAAAAACAAATTGTTTAATCACATCTGCATGCACGTTAACATGCTCAAAATCGCATATTAGAACGAACAATTAGAATTTAACTATTCATATTATTCTTATATTAATCACAAAAATAATTATTTATGTTGTCATTCCAAGAAAAACACATTTATTTATACTAGAAATATAATTTATATGCGTTTCATATTGCTAACATTATTACTTTGTGTAAATTTACAAGTTTTCATGTTATCTTAATAAATATTAGTTAGAAAGAATGCACTAATAATTTTTTATTAATTAAGACAGCCAAAAAGTATAAAGTTTCATGCAACATCGGTTGCACTACTTTAGGCACTTTATATGTTATTTTATTATTATTTTTTAACGAGAGTATTTTAACTATGAGATTATACAATCTCGGGATTACAATGTTTTTGAAAAAATCATGCAATTGATAACAATTTTTAATAAAAATTTGAATTTTTGAGATCAATTACTGACAAATTTGAAGATTAAAGAAATAAAAGTTGATAAACTCCCCAAAGCCATGAAAAGAGGAGCTGGGAAGATGGCCCCAAAATGCATTGCGGAAAAATAAAAAGAATAAAAAAGAAGAAAGGTTGTTAAGTTCATTATCCTCGCCACTTCCAGAAAATAAAAATATTAATTTAAAGAAATTTACATCTTTTTTTTAAAACATGCTTGACATTATACTGTGCATATCAAATGCCAATTTTCAAAGTGCCAAGTTTAATACAAATAATCAATCCATTACATATTACAAAACATGGACATTTTTCTAAAAATATATTTAAAAATTTACAATCAATATTTTTATATGTGAACAATTTTATCCAAAGAAGGAGGAAGCAATCTTTCAACATTTCAAAAATTCATCTTACAAACTAAGTTTCAAGTTGTTCCATGGTGGAACTACTTCATTTACAAACTAGTTAAGAATTGTGTAAACTGAGAAAGTTTTTTTTATGATTAAACAATTTGAAGTGCACATCAAGTATTTTCTGATCAAAAGTCATTGCATGTCATTACCAGCGAAGCATTATTTATTGATTGCTTAGTTTTGTCCAGATGTGCAATTCAACAAGAAAATATATTAGCTTTAAAAATGATTTAATAGATTAATAAACATCAATGAAAGTGTGCAAAATTAACTTTTGAAAAAATAAAAAATAAATTGTATCTAGTAATACTATTTTCTTTTTTTAATTAAATAAAAATATTTTACTTTTGCTGAATTGTTTTCTCAATATTAAAACAATCTCATGTTACAAAACTAGGTCTAATTAAGAACATTTGAACCAATTAAGCAAAAGCATACCTGGCTCTGGGTCTTTTGGTTCTTTTTCAACTTCTTTTATCATTTTGAACACTTCACTCTTCTGAGAATCGTATGTCTTTTCATTTTTCATGAAATTTACTCTAAAAAGAGAATCAGACTGTAATTGCTTGTACTTAATTTACATTTTTAAAATCATTTTTACCCAATGGCTCCACCAGCTAGAACTTCAGCTTGTGCAGACAGAGTCTCGGCGATTGTCGCCTCGCTGTACATGCCCATAGGAGAGTTGTACTGTTTGTTAACGATAGCTTTAACATCTCCTCCGTTCACCTATCAATAAATTATTAAAATAACATAAAATCTTAAAAATATATTAATTTTACCTGATGTACACCAGCAAAAGGTTTTGGTGTAACATTGTGCCCAGAAGGCATTGGAGTTAAATTTGGCTTAGCAGCAAGTGATGTCTTTGTCACCGTCTGCGGTGATCTTCCACCAGGGCTAGGCATAGCTCCCACAGGAGTGACTGATGGTTTCCATGTTGTTGTCCCTCCTCTGGATCCAACATAAACTTGATTAATGAAGAGTAATTATGATTTTGAAAAAAAAAAAAAAATGAAGTGAGCCTTTAAACTATGATCAGAAAAATGAAGAAAAACTGGACTTTAGTATAAATAAATAATTTTATATTTGTGTAATATATATGTGAAATACTTTTGTTTTATACCTACTCTCCTATTTAAAAAGTGTAGTCTTTTGTACAATTTGAACATAACTATTACTAAGTCTGGACTACTTTTGTCTTTCCTTTTTCTTGTATATTTTATTGGTGAGTTTGTATGTTTGGTTTTCTAATATTCATTGATGAAATAATACTGTTTGACGATTGTGCCATTTTTATTTGTTATATTGCAAGAATTGCATTCTTTGATATTCTTCTTGAATTGATGTATGTGCTATTCAATCGAGGTGATTATTGAGCAATTTTTTTTTTGTTCTATTTAATTCTTAGTTTATCCTTGTGTGTTTGTGTGATATGTATTTTTATGTTAAGATGTCAGTTTCTACAGTTGATTAAAAATGATGAATTTTAACAAATTATCAAAATTATAAAAAGCACAAATTACAAAGCATGTACATATATAATGTAAATAATTACATTATACAAATATAATGTAAATATAATTCATTACAGTTGATAAACATGTCCCCATCCATCCACACACACACACACACACACACACACACACACACACACACGCACGCTCGCTCACTTTCTCTCATTCACTCACTCGTTCGCTCACTCACTCACTTTCTCTCACTCACTCACTGTCACTCACTCTCTCACTCGCTCACTCATTCACTTTCTCTCACTCACTCATTCGCTCGCTCACTCACTTACTCACTCACTTTCTCTCACTCACTCACTCACTCACTCACTTTCTCTCACTCACTCATTCGTTCGCTCATTCACTCACTTTCTCTCACTCACTCACTCACTCACTCACTCACTTTCTCTCACTCACTCACTCACTCACTCACTTTCTCTCGCTCACTCACTCACTCACTCGCTCGCTCACTCACTCACTCACACACTCACTCTCACTCACTCACTCACTCACATACGCACCTACATTATAAATGAAAAGGAAAAATCCTTAAGTCTGTCATGCATGTGTTCAACTGGATGAAACAACAAAATATGATTTAGGAAATTTAATTAAAACGTCTCTAATTATTATAATCATATCTTTGATTCCACGCAACTTTCGCCAATTAAGGGGCACTCAATCAGGCTTTTTTTAAGCTTTCCGTAAAATATATAAAAAATTGGACGAACTGTTGTCTGCTAGTGTTTAATATTATCTGGAGATGATTCATCAATGACAAAAAGCTTAATAAAATGAGTAACGCCAAAGTCACCTCTGGATCGTGAGCTCAAAGCCGTTTCCAGCTCTTACAATGGTGTCTTGGGCATCTTTATGACGCATGTCTTGCACATCGACGTTGTTGACTTTGATCAATGCGTCGCCGACTTGCAAACCAGCTCTTTCCGCCAGACTTCCTCCATTCACCTGAAACAGAAAAATATTCATATTATGTTTTATGTATAAAACTTGTCATTCAATAATAAAACTTTAGTAGATTAACAAATGATTTACATTGCATTAGTATCAAATTAAGTTGGACTTTCTTTGCTCGTCCATAAAATAAAGGAAAGGGCTTTTGCAAGTTGCCGAATAATCGGACACGCGATTACTTATGTATTCTCCTCGTTGGCATTTATGCAATTTGCCTAACTTCACCGATATGGTCATGTATATGAATGAAAGTAGACGTAATGCATTACGAAAAAAACCCAAAAAGAATAAAATGTACGTCGATCCGCTAGGTACAAATGATCAACATAGGAAAGGTCTCTGATTTCATTTTTAAAAGACGTTGCTCAAATGGCCATTGAATTTAATTTAACCCAGTTTCTTCAATAATGTTAAGATATCAAGTAATTTTATTCCATTTGTAGGACACTTTTATTAGCTGTCTTGGTTTTAGGTCTCGCGTCGAATGGTGAAAGTTAAGAAGTGGACAACGTGTGTGACAAGATCCGAAAATTATCTGTGCCAGGAAATAAACTCCAGGGCACGATAGCGTAATCTTTAATGCGAACTGGGTATTAAAATATTACCAACACACATTGGCAAATCATGTCTTATAAATCGGACACTTTGTCAGGTCAGGCGTTAAACATTTACAAGATAATCAAGTTAGATAAACCACTCAACAGTCATAAAACGTAAATTTCTTTACAAACTGCTTAATGAATACGCAGTTTGAAGAATCAGCTTATCAAACGTATTTCGGCCTTTCGCCACCGTTGTTGGTCTGTGTGTTTTAATGTAAATTGTGTCCTTTTATAATTTACAAAACGTGAAAGGGTGGGCTTTGTTTATGTTCTGCCTGAATCTTTGGTTTTTATTTTTTTTAAATATATTTACGTATTTTTTTAATTGTAGATATTTCTCAAGACCACATATTTTCCATTGCAATGGAAGTTCTCTATAATTATTAAAATGGTTCATAAGCCAAATAAATCTTCTGATCTTCCAAGTTCCTCTCGACCCATCAGTCTCCTTTCTACCTTGCCAAAATTCTAGAAAAAACTACTTCTCCGACGATTATTGGCAATAATTGAAATTTCTAATATTATTAAAATGAACAAAAACAGCATTGCTGGTGTGTTCTTGATTTAGAACAGGCCTTCGATCGAGTCTGGCTTTGAAAACTGAACAACATTCTCCCTCATACGTTCTCTCTCTTATACTGAGATCTTATCCGACTGACCTATTTTGCCGAGTCCATCAGGGAACTGAATTCCCACCTTATATGAGGGCGGGTGTTCCTCAGGGTTGCATACTTGGCCCATTTCTATTTTCAACATACACTGCAGATATTGCAGACATGATTACATTTCAACACATACAATCGCTGATGATACCGTGATTCTTAAACGTAATTCGGACCCCTCAATTAACACTTACAAAACCTGAATGAATTAACAGTATGGTTCACAAAGCGGAAAATGAAGATAAACCTAATGAAAAGTGTACAGATCATAAATGGAATCCCATCGCCTTCCACTGACCTTGTGAGTTATCTTAGAGTTTCATGGATCTGACTTGGAATCCGCATAAAAGATTGACAGGACAGCAAACAAACAAACGTTATAAATTATTAAAAAGACTACTTGATCCACGGTCAAACAAACTTTTAATTTACAAGCAATGATTAGACCTCTCTTTGTGAAGTGTGGGGCTCAACCAAGGATTCCAATTCCCAACGTCTCCAATCAATCCATTCTAAAATTCTCCGTCAAATTATAAAACTTCTTTTTACGTTTCAAATTACACTATTCATAATGACCTACTAGCACGACGTTTATCACTTCCAACCCTACCTGACAATCCTCCAAGATGATTGAAGGGAAAATGGCCCCGAGACCTCCTCATTGTGAGAAGATTGAAAAGATATAAGTGTGACGGAGTGTTGTCACTGGGCAACTTTACCTACAAGAGACTTAAATGATAAATTCAACATATATGAACATATTTACTTAATACAATATTTGTAGTTGTAAATCTCAAATAAATGCAATAATAAAAAATGTAGCGTATTTGATGGATGTATGTTTATTAGTTTAGTGTCTAGTGGTTTTAGTGTGTTTGTTCTTTTCAGTGCACTTCAGTGCTACCTGTTGTTTGTTTTGGTATTGGTTGAATCAAGGAAGTTTATGCTGACGAGGAAAAAAAACAAAAACAAACGAGAATGGGCGGACCAGGATCAAATTTCAGTTTCATCGCCTTGCACTCACCACGTCTGACAATAAACCAGACGTTCGGTTCAAATCCTCATCTTTTCTATAGAAACCGGCTTCTTCAGTCTACAGGGTTCGGGCGAATCCTACCTTTAGAATAAGACTTGTTTAATGCTTGAAATTTTGAGCTGTGAAATGTAAATTTTAAGTGACGAGGGCAAACAATGATGTACGTGTGCAGGTGATTGTTGATCCTTATTTGAAAAGGCTTTCGAAATTTCTTTTGTCCTACAACAAACGGCTCATAAACAGCGGCTCTCTTTGTATGTATTTAATTCGGTGGTAATTTGTCCCCTTTTGTCGGATTGCTAAAGCATTCCTGTCACGCTCGCTCTCCGCCGTAGGAGTGTTTTTTCCTGTTTAATTCTTCAGGAACGTCCTAGACAAAAAGGTGTTTTACCTAATTAAACACGATTCCAAATCCTCGGCTGCATTGTCTTCGCCTCCCTGCTTCACGGTTTGTTAGAAAGGATAATGCTTTTTCCCCGACGGAATCCCACGCATTTCTTTCGCTTCCGAACTACCACAAAATGTGAGGATGTTATACTGCCCACCCACTTGGCAGACGTTTTTTCAACGATTCAAGAAGTGTCCCTGAACGTTTCAACATTCCGTATTTCTAAGGACTATGCGAGTACCAGAACTTGATGGTATCTATGATGGATAACAAGAAGGACTTAGTGTTCTATCAGATATGTATCTTGATTGATATGTATTTGCTTTCTTTTATCCTTTCTAATTTCATTTTTGACAAAATCTAATATAAATGTTTAGTTTTAACTTTTATAAACATAAATTTTCTGAAACTCACTTATTTCTAAAACGATTAGAAACTTTTGTTACTGCCTTTGGGCGAATATGCCAGGTCGCCATTCGACATGGATTTTCCAAGGAGGTCAAAAGGTTTTATTTTATTTTTTTGTAAACTTTTCGGTAGCCTTTGACAGAGTTAATGGTAGGGAATTATTTTAAAGATATTTAATTTGGGAACATCGTCAAAATTTCATTACTGTAATAAAGTCTATTTTTAAACAAAAAGTGGCAGCTGTAAGATGACAAAATGGAATTTCCGAGTTCTTTAGTATAAACAGTGGTATGAGACAGGGATACATATTGAGCCCTTTATTACTTTCTATATTCTTTCCGACGATTTATCTGATTGTCTGGAGGGTGGAGTACGAGTTTCTTATAATGTTATTAAAATATTTATGTACGCTGACGACATTGTTATTATCTTGGGATTAATAAGTGGGATAAGGACACAAGTGCTTCGTTGGCGTCGAAACGCTGGGCTACATGTACTTTTGTCTTGAGGGGCCCAAAAAGACGAATGTTACAACGAGGCAAGTCTTCACTATAGGGTGGATGTTCTAACTTTTGCCATCCAATTATTGCTTTGTAGCGTAAGCGTATGCAAACTTAAATTCAGCACACAACGCACGAAGTTCCTAGATCCTACATCCAAATCCATTCACTTAATTTGGTGGTGGAGCTGAGAGCTAAGTCTATGTCTTCATCACCTCGGTGGGGTACTCAATATTCGCCATCGGCCCTCTCATATAACACATACATGCTATTAAATACATTCACCCTTAACAAACACTAGGTACACAAAAGTATCATATACAATAAAACTGCCCTGTTTCTTCCGAGAATCGGAACAGGGGTACCAGATACTCCGTGCTCAAGCACAATTCCCATACCAGGTGGAATTTCTAAGCGCTCTCTATATACAGCCAAGGAATTGCACCACTCAATCAGGGTGGCAAAGCGGATCTAACAGTGTCCGTGTGTTAACCTCGCATGGCTTATCCTTAATCGGGCGAGGATAACCATCGTACGAGCCTATCGACAGTGCTCTTGGTACACAAGAGCTTCTCTATTATGTTGTAATTCTTTTTTGCTTATATTGCTTTGCCGCTTTCTTCACGTTAGTTTTTTCTGTATTGTTTTTATTAATTGTTAACATTATATCAAAACTAGGTATCACACTCCAGATGACAGATATTCAAACAATACATCCTTTTGTATAGCTTCTTTATACTATGCAAATTCGTAATTATTCATAAATAAAGTATCCTATTATTATTATTAATTTTTAAAGGAGTTTTAACGGCTAAGGTCATTTTACGCCCTAACGTTTAAACCTTCTCTCTTAGTTCAATTAATTAATCTTTACGTAAGGTCTTGGTTGAAATGAAAAAGTTAGTGTCAAGAGCGGGATTCGAACCCACGACCTTCGGCTAAATACGCCGCTGCTCTACCACTTGAGCTACCTTTTTGTATTTAAATTGCAATTTTGGGCATTGTAGTTTATTACCACGCAATTTGTATTTTCTTTTATTTCATTTTTCCGCTCCGGCAGCCTCAAAAATTCCTGAAAAAAAAGAAAGAAATTTTCCACGCCGAACTCTCGTTCAAACACGAGCAGACAAACATTCAAAAGTATAAGAATTTGGGAAAAGGCCTAAATCTCATTATAAATTCCAATAAATTTAAGAAAACTGGAAAGTGCTCTTCGAAACAAACTTATTTTAAAAATATATTCCTGTTATTAATGAAACATCACAATAACAACAACAAACCGAGGGTCGATATGACCTCTACTGTGCGAACCCTGATAAAAAAGATAATAATAAATAATAATAATCCATTAGAGTTTGTGGTCCGATTGACCAAATAACTTCTCTCAATTAATTAATC